TTAGAAATACAGGGACTGACATAACAAGGCGACGTGACTTGACTCTGCCGAAACCTCTGCATCCAGTCGCATCATTACGGCTGAAGCAGGAATCGGTTCTAAATTGGCTTCTTTTCAGGCCGACCGTGACTCCAGAGGAGTATGATTTCAAATAAGCGCATGAATCTAAGCTTAGGCTTTGCCATTGGTAGGCAAGTTAATATCGACTGTGCTGAAGTGTTACTGTAGCCGTTGACAGTCGTGGTTCATTAGACTCGCTGGGGAGTGTAAAGCTCAGATGCCCTGTGATAGAATGTGCTGCCCGCACTCACATTAACACGTTAGTACGACGCATTCCTCTTTTCCCACACCGGGGCCCTGTGTTGATCCTTGCTGGTTTGGACTGTGGCGTTCTCAGATCTGTCTGACGCATTTGTTTAATGCATTTAACGGATTCTAATGCGGTCCGGTGCAGCTAGGCGTGAATTTCAGTTTTGATGGTGCCAACCTCTTCGGTTAGGGGGGATTTTATAGTCTGTGTGCCTAAAGTCAGCCCACATCACATCTGAGATGATACCCTGACATACTTACCAATTCAACTCTCTTCCTCAAAGCCCCCCCATAGCTCCCCCAGGAGATGCATGGGTGAGCAGGCTTATTCTCCTTGTGGGGTGTTCCCCATGCATGACTGATGTTTAGATTAATATCCTTGACTGATTCCTGCTCTGCGGTGAAGAGGAGTAGGCCTATCAGAGTACAGCCGCCCCCTCAGGAGTCCATTGATTTTCGCACCATTCTGACAAACATAAACCTTCTAGACCCAGAAAATACTTTATTTGTTGTCCATTCAGATGCCATCTCCTCGGGCCCAGCTGTCCGCATCAGCTTTTGTTTTTTTTAAACATCATCTATGTATGCAAAGTAGAGTCTGCTGCCTGCGTGATATTCATGGTTCATATTATTAGATTATTTTTTTCAAATGTATGCGATACGTAAACGCTGAATTTTAATAAAGACAAATACAAATCTGGTTGCTTCGAACTTGCTTATTTATTTTTTTCATTTGGAGTCCAGATAGCTTCTTCTAAAGCACTTAAATGATCAAATCAATATTTAATAAACAGAACTATAAAATGTATTACCTCAGACAGGGGAAGGCAATCAACAGCATAATGTAAATGGAGACAAAACAAACTAAATCATCATCAACATTCGTGTTCTATAATGACTTGCATAGATTCATGTGTAATGGGAGTTCTAAATGTGGTCCAGCAGCTGCCCAGTGTTGATTTGGCTCCTAACGCTTCAGTATTTGCCATTGTGTAAATGATTCTATCACAATAAAATGCCGCTCGCCGTCATTAATATCATTAATATAAGTGCAGAATAAGCTGCTAAAGAGCAACAGCCATATCGGGTCTGTAATTACACTGTATTTGTAAAAGGTTCATATGCACAATGTGTTGCTGCTTTTTCAGATATCATCCAAAGAGCCTCAAGTGGTAAAAGCTGAATGCCAGGACGGGGAAAATGGTAACATCGCCCCCTGGTGACACTAACCAGACAGCAAAAAAGCACTGTGCTTTTGAAAGGGGATCCAACTGCATTTCAGCACAATTCAAACTCTAAAGTCAAATGTATTTTGTAACGACTGTTTATTTGGTTGTCTATCTCTCATTAGCTTTTCATTCACAAAACAGCACATTAGATGCAGCACTGGCACGTGTGATACAGCTTCAGACATAATCCATTTCAGCTTTGAATGAGGGGTTCATTCAGTTATGACAACACTTGAGCTCATCAATTGAGCAGGAGAGTCAAACCAGCTTTCCTAATGCGTTTTGCTCAGAACTTAAAAACCGACACGCCGCTCAGAAAGTGAGTCTTTTTTTCAAGGACAAATTGTCTTGGATTGCAAAATATATCAAATAAGTATCAAAGTTACAAAACATAAACGATTATAAGTGAAAGCAGCACTGCAGCTGCATGGTGTAGCAAAATCAAGAAAATCCCATCAAATTGTTTCTGACACATGGGTTACACTTGCACTGACAGAATGAATTATCCGTCGCTGGAAAAAACAGGCGAATGCTGAAACTGACAGCTTTTAGGCGAGAGGAGCGGTTGTTAGGAAATATTGCATTTTTATTTCACCATTGGGACTAAACTTCTGCTGTCTGCTTCCGAACAAATGAGCAGCCGTGAACCAAACTGAACTAACAGTGTATGCAGAGTTGAAAAATACATTGTGTGACTGAGGTTGTGCAGCTGTTTTTCCTCCCTGTTCAGCTGCTCTTCCACAGTCTCCTCAATCTCCAACTAATTGGACTGTTTCAACAATACCTACAGGTCTTCATTTCACTACATTGCTCATACGTGACAAGTTATTTCTCAAGTTCCGCATCTCGAACCAGAAGGCCTGACTCGCTCTTCATCCCTCAGGATCAAGTGCTGTGAAGCCAGTTGGTCTTTAGCCTCCTCTCTGGTCCTCTCCGCATCATGAAGCAAGGCCCAGAGTTTACAGCCCCCTTTGGATTATAAACTGTAAACAGAGTGTATACCACTGTTCAGGATGTTGAAAGGCTCCATTTTTTTCTTTCTGGCCATTAAAAGTGACGAGGAAAAGTCTACTGATACGACATTTCCTTATCAAATGACGCCAGACCGTTAAGCTCCCAAATGGAGTCCTGAATAATCCTGTTTGGCCTTTACTTTCCTTAATTTCCCCTTTCTACAAATATGTGTGAAACGTCGTTTTATTCGTCAGATCAAGTCACGGATCGAAGTCTATGGGGCCTCTTGTCCATCTGTGTCTATATACCAATGAGTCACATTACATGTAATTTAGCGGACGCTTTTATCCAAAGCGACGTACAATAAGTGCATTCAACCGCAGGGATACAAACTCAGAAGAGCAAGAAACAAGAAAGTGCAATTTCCGCAAATAAGCCAATTTACAACTTGCTATAGATAATTGGCGTTAAGTACAATTTAAGTGCTACAATTTGTAAGTCTTTTAGTCGAAGAGGTGTGTCTTTAGTTTGCGGCGGAAGATGTGAAGGCTCTCTGCGGTCCTGATGTCTTCAGAGAGCTCGTTCCACCATTTCGGCGCAAGGACAGCGAAGAGTCGTGATCTAGTCGAGGGATTTGCTCTCAGTGAACCTTGATTTAAAACAATGGGCCCCAAACTAATGGGATCTTTTTACCTCACATAAATATGATAGCTTGTGTTGAAGTGCACTGGAATATTTCACAGTACACATTTTTACACCAATTGTTTTTTTTAGTGTTTAGAGCAGGAACTTCAGGCTTTTAGTCACAATTACAAAATGTCAGCGCAGAGTAATTTGCTAAACCTACTTTCAAACAGGCCATACACTGCTCTGAGTACTACACACACACACACACACACACACACACACATGCACTAATGGTAGTCTGTCAGCGTGGGGTTATTGGGAAAAAAAAGGGCATCAGCCAACCAAAGCAGGCGCTGTGGGATACATTAGATGTCTCTCAAATATTATTCACTTCTCCTCTTTTCTCCGTTCATACCCCACGCCCTCGTTCATTCCTCTTTGTCTCCCCTGGCTGGTTTGTGAAAGATATTTGCCATATTGAAGCAAATCCCAAACCAATTAGTGTGGAAAGTACGCCCCCCCCATATGATGGCAACACAATGCCAAATGAGCATGGAAGAAACCAGCTGGCAAATTAGTTCTCTGTGAACTCATTTGGCAAGTATATATTTTTTATATATGTATATATATTCACTTTAATCAGACATAGCTGTTTTTAATGAAGTAGTTTCAACGAGATGTATGGCTCCCAACCAAGTCATTCAACTTTCCTGTTAATGTGGCCCTTGATAATGTTTTATCCTAATTAGAAGGATACGAATTATGTGATAACAGTGGATTTTGATTTCATAACACAAATTGATAGCAAGGAGGCCAGGAAGGATAGCCAGGAAGTGACAGTAAGTATAAATGAATAAATAAAAATAAATACATTTTGCTCTTAGGATAATAAATATCCTTTTGCACAGATAAGTTAATGCCAATCTGTTCATTTGTTTTGAGGGTAAACTGGCCCCAGTCAAACAAACAGTAAATAGAATTAGAGGTTACTGTCAATGTCTGACCTCCACAAATCCTTAAAACATTGTCCAACGGAAGCTTTATCTGGTGGGGAATCGCAAAATGCACACAGTGTTGCCACCTTATGATGATAATATTTGTATGAATGTGGTCTAAGATACCACACTTAAGGTTTAACGGTGTCCCCTCTATGTAGAGGCTACATCTGCTCAGAAATATTGCTCTGAATTAAGTGTAACACATTAGTTAACTTTATAAATGCAGGTAGGAACGCATACCATAGATTTGAATTACTGTTGTTTCCACCCTGGAGAAGGAAGACAATTATCAACATAACGATTATACAGTTTCTTATTTGGCAAATGTGGTTTGAATTAAAGTTGTTCTCAGTTGACTTAGGAGCCGCTCTACTGATGGTCAAAATAGAAAAATTAGCACCTCCTTCACCGGCAATTTACTTTTCAAGAATATGAGAAGTTTCCGGATAGTTCTTGAACACACCATATCGGACATCACGTGGGTTCAGAGTCCTCCGTGGTTTTTACCTGAGAAAGGATTTCCCTCACATTTGACTCTCAGGCAAAGTACACAGTTTTTCATCGTATCTGCCTGGGAAGAGAATGCCTTGTAATCTGTATTGTTGCACACATCATCATTTATCATATTATTATTTCATCTTTTATACATAAATCAACCTTTTTTTAAATTACTGAATTATGCAGCGGCTTCCGTCAAACCATACATGCTAAACGTCTGCCCGTGATTGCAGCACTGTGCACCCAGCGATGCCACTGGCGAGCGTGCTGAGCCTGACAAGCCACGCTCAGGGTGACACGGACCCTCGCCTCCAGTTGAGGTGGGATTGGTAGCTAAGCTAGCGCCCGTCCCGGTATCCACGCTGTTGCTAACACGCGCTAACTCGTCTTCCAGCAAGCCGCCGCGCCGCTCGTGACACTCGGGAGCACGTAGACCGTTTCTTTTGCCGCAGATCTGATTGTCGACGTGTTAGCCGTCGACCGTGCGAGGGGGACGGGAGGAGGGACGGCGGCCCGAGAGAGAAGACGGAGCCGGTAACGGTACCAACTAGCTGCGGCTACGGGTATTGTCGACTTATCGCCCTGCCTCCCGCTGCTAGCCGAAGTTCCTCATCTGCCCCTCGACGCGGGACTTGGTAGAATCAGCTAGCTTAAAAGGCGCCGAGGGGGGTGGATACATGTCCGCCTCTCAACCGCCACGACAGGGACATCTTGCAGTTCATGTTTCGTCAAGAGGTCGGTGTGACGTCTTTTATTCCATCCTGTTCGCATCTTTTCCAACACGAGAAGAGGAATATGTCGAGATATAACATTTACAGCCTGTTGGACTGGATCTACGGCGGGGTGGACCCGAAGTTTGAGGGCAACGGGGGCCCCGAGTGCGCCGCCTTCATCTCGCCCCAACAGCGCGTCAGCGAGAGTCTGGTCATCGTCCTCATCTCCGTGGTGGAGATATGCGTGGCGCTGCAGAAGATCAACCTCTCCAAAGAGCTCAGGGGGGTGGGGAAGGAGAGCGCGAGGGCGAAGGAGGACAGCATGGGCAAGAACCTGTTGCTGGTGGCCCTCTGCATGACTTTTGGAGTGGAGGTCGGGTTCAAGTTCGCGACCAAGACCGTGATCTATCTGCTGAACCCCTGCCATGTCATGACGATGGTTCAGGTAAGGATGAAGTCGTGTTTACCTGGACTGACTGAGTGTGTGTGTGTGTGTGTGGGGGGGGGGGTCTTCCAAGCAGAGAGCGGTTTATGATGTAACTCATATTGCAATCTGGGATCTGACTCTGGCACTCAGCTGCTCGTTGGACCGACCTCACCCATCTAGAATATGATCATACAATTATGCCTCCATAAGACTCCAAGCTACAAAACAAAACGGGAGCAGACACACAGTTTTTTTCTCATTTTCTCCATTTTCTTTTCTTTTTTCCATCCAGCAGTTTGTGTGTGAACTTTGCACAGCATTGACACGGCGTGTGAGTCGGTAATCATCCCACTGAAGAGACGGGTACGAGGCGAAAAAGTGGAGTCTGATGGGAACATTTTTTAAAAATATTTGTTGAATTAAACAGCACCTGCACGTCCCGCCTCCTTGTTGGCTGACCTTTGTGGCGCATGCTCGCGACCCCTGGGTCGTGGCCACTGTGCTTTAAAGTGCAGTCAGTGTCCCACGCGTGCGTGATGGAGAACAAAGGAGAAGTGTTGAGTCTTCCTGATCGTGTAGCCAGAGGACGTTGAGGAATTGGCCGACAGTTGCCTTTGCAAAATGGCCCCACGGTTGAGACCCCAGCGGGTATTTCCTCATGTCACCCAAAGGAGGTGGAAGTTTTATTTTTCACTCGTCTCATTTCTGTCTTACTTTCATAATTCAGGATAACTGAGGAAGCATTCTTTGTGTCTGCAGAGATCCTCTCGAGTTAATTTGTAGGCGAATGGGGCCGGGGGTCTGGCTGCTGATTTACTTTGTGGTTCCAGGAAAACCGGTGGAACAGGAAGCGCCGTGCGTTTTTTTCTTCTTTTTTCTTCAAAGGTGATGGGCTTGTTGGTCCGACATTAGTGCAGTTCGTCCTATAGATGGTTTCTCAATGAGATGGCTGGACCGAGATTTCACATTTGTGGAATATTTTGAGATCTTTTTCCTGTGAATCGTTTGTTCCCCGGATGCTACTTTGTCTGCCTGTAGACATGTACCACGGTTGACTCATTTGGTAATTGGATTCCACCCACCCCGGTCCACATTACAGTTTTGTATTAACAGCATATGGGTGTGGTGGCACATACTTTAATTCCCTACTGCCACATTCGGGCCATTTTTCCATGTCCCCTTTTAGCTTGTTGATCCAGCAGAAGTGCATAAAACATCAGAAACATAGAAAAGAGAGCGAGAAGTCCCGACGAAGTGTCCATTTTACAGGCTGAAAGCTGTCGGCTCTCGTAAAGTTCGACTGTTGCTCAGGGACGAGTGCCGAGACGAGTGTTGCCGTTTCCAAAGTCACCTCCGCCCCTTTGAGTAATCAAGGCATCGACTCCCTGCACGAGTCGTTGCATCCAATGCGAAGGAATCTCGCCTTGTTTTAATTCACACTGCCGCCAAAATAATGCTTTGTTGACGCCTCACATCTGACAACACTGTTGTCTGTTCTATTTTTTCCTCCACTCGTGAAACGAGAGCAGTCACGTCGCCGCACCACCAGACGTCCGGGGGGCTCCATACACAACCAAACCCGAGGGTCTCGGTGGGCTTAGCACCGCTTTCTTTGGGTTTTTGTTTTTTAGGTCTAATACGAGCAAAAGCTGCTGTAACATGAAAGCGGCGTGACGTGTTCATGTGAGGAGTCCAGTTCGGAAACATAAAATCCAGTCTTTAAATGCCAGGAGTCCAATTTTAGATGCTACAAGGGCCAAGCAAATCTAGCGATAGTCCTGATTTCATTTTATCTTGAATGTTTGCAACTCGCATCACCGTGAGCACGCCGTCCCCAAGCGGTGGGTGTTCTCGGATGATGGAGGAGGCTGAGGGAACTGAACCCCCTCTGTGGCGTCTACGGGGGAGACTCCCCACCTCCTACGAGTTTACTTTAAGCCAGACAAAGACCCCCCCTTTTTTATCATGGGAACTTTCTTCCCTTGTAGATCTTGCCAGGGCTCCAGACTGGCGGTTTGAAGCGTGATGGATCTGCGGTAGGCTGGTGGTAAATGCTGCTCCAGGCTCCAGGAGAGAATAACTCATCCCTCCGGCACCTGAGCAGCAGCTCAGACCGTGTTTGATGGGAGTTTTGAACTGCTGCTCGTTCGCACACTGTAGCGAGAACACGCAGCCGCTGGGCTTTGTCTTTGACCCGTAGTCTGGAGGTTTGCTACTAAATTGAAGTGAAAATAAACCGTGTGCAACATCATAACAGATTACACGGTTACAGTATCAGCATTATCTTTTGAATACAGCCACGTTATCAGCTGTTCACATAACACCTGGCAGAACACGTTGTTGACTCAGTCATTTGGATCGACGCTCAGTGCTCTTTACCGTATTACTTAATGACTGGACTTGTAAAGAGGAAGTGGGGTTTATCAGTAATGAATTGTGTCAATCTGTAAGTAGGCCATTGATCTTTTTTCCCGATGTTTTTTTATTTATTTACACAGTCACAACTGGATCGATTAAACAACACTGCAGGGATTTTGTTTTTTTTAGTTTTGTTTTAGCTTTTTAAATGGTTTTATACTTTCACTAAACGTGTGTGTGTGTGTGTGTGTGTGTGTGTGTGTGTGTGTGTGTGTGTGTGTGTGTGTGTGTGTGTGTGTGTGTGTATTTTTATATATATATGCAAAGACTCCCTTTTCACTTCCATATCCAATATTTTTCTGAGAAATTTCTTTGTTTGGAGATTGTCAACGTCTGTCTTTATGCCTCAGCCTGCTGATCCTCCAGATAAATGTATATTTCAGTCGTAAAAATGAATGAAGAGAATTGACAACGCTGTTGAAGCCGGTTTGATGCTCATAAATGTGATAATCAATGCAGACAGAACCTGGACCGGAATGTTTGCTGGAAGTGCAAATTTCTAGAATCATTGACGTGCAGACTCCTTGAATTGTTACATTATCGTGGTCACAAACACACACACTTTGCTGTTGAGGTTCAGACACAAAGCAAAAACCTCCCATTTTTTTCCAATGACTCGTGCCTGTTGCCACAACGGCTTTCTGGGGCGTCGCACAAAGTGTTCACACAACACAAGCACAAACTGCGACGTGTCTGAAAGAACCAAACCAACTCCCTGTAAACACTAAATGGGAAAATAAAGGTTAATGGCATGAAATGACTGAATTATACTGTAAAGAACAACTTCAGAGCAACTCGGGGCATTTCTTAGATAACAGATGAGAGGCCAAACACCTAATTACCTACAGTCACACGTTTGAGGTTCATGTGTATTATTATGACATGAAAGGAAGTGCTAACCCTTTCCAAAGAACTAAGACACACGTCCCATGAAGGCTTGATTAACTTAAATGAGATAATGACAGACGGGGATTAACCCCACCTCCACACTGAAGTGGCCTTTTAAATTACATTAAAGCAAATTCGCTTTCCCAGGCGCTTTTTGTGATTGGACCTTAATTGAGTATAGTCTCAAATAAATTGGACCAATTTATGAAAGAATATCAGTTGGTCAGGATGTGGACGGTTCAGCTGTGGACGAACACGCCGGACCAGTATTTACTGACAGTCATTTGCATGACGTCCGTTTTCTTGTGTACGAGGCGGCTGCAGTACAGGTGATGGAACAGGCGACCGGCTTCTTACGCAACTCTTTCCATCAGCTAAATGTGTTTTGGGTTCCATGTAACGTAAGAGAATGTTTGCATTACAAAGATCTGCTAGATTTCTACCATCTACCCTTTGTGGACTGTGGCCTGCGTCCAATTTTAATTCAATGTGAGTATTACTGAAAAGAAAAGTTACAAATCAATGTATTCTACAAATTCTCAATAAGAAAATATTTGCTTCACGTGCTAGTTGCTTATTGGTTTTAACTAGCAAAGTGGGCTGGTTTTATTAGTCGTTAACCCATTTTAAAATTAAAAAAATAAAACTATATGTAATAAATAAATACTGACATACTGCGTAAAAGTTGTATAACTGCCCTCTTGGCTTGGTCGTCTGGTCAGTCATCAAAACTCAAGTTCTATTACGCTCTCTGTCCTCTGTCTCCCTGCAGTCCCCCCTCTGGTTACATGGGGCTTTAGTTCCTCTTCTGTTCCCTTTTGTTTATTGTATTCAGCTCGCAACTGACACACACAACACTACTGACACCACTTCCTATGCCTTTAGACGATCCAACGGGTGCGTCTCCCACCTCGTCACGCCCTTAAGAGCCACCATAAGGATTTCTTTGAAATTTGTTTCAATAAAATGAAATGCACACCTGTCCGCTTTGGCAAACCACGTTCATAAAAGCTACATTAATGTCATGTTCCTTTCTTTTGAAAACAATGTCCTAACATTTAAGGAACGTCTATTTCTCTTAATAATAATTTAGATTAGACGAAAGGATCATATATGCGCCTTATCTCTATTAATTACCTCTATAAATCTTTTCTACTTGAATGAATCCTGCTCGGCGCTTCTCTTGGTTGCAGATGGCGTCTGCAGAACCAACCCTCGCTCCTCGTGCAGGCTGACAGGAGTTGATCGGCGTGCTGCAGATCGGTCACTGAGACATGTTGTCCCCCCGGCCAGTGTGTACTTGTACAACAGATCTCACCTAAATTGCTTTCTCGTAATTCTGTTTGCAGCCTTTGGCTTCCCGGCAGGCCGACTCTTTCCGGAGTCAGATGGCGTTTCAAACCAATCCATGTGTGCGGTATCCTCCAGGAGCCCAACGGCTCGGCCGCTGAGCATAGATGAGACCTAAAACCGGGATGACGACCCCCCACTGTGACCTGTATTCTCATTCAATTAGAAAGCCAACGCGTTGATGTGATTGCTTTTCGAAAGAGGAAATGAATGAATCGGAAACCAATTTTAAAATGTGAAATTAAATATGGGCCGCTGTTATGTGGAGCTGTGAATATATTGTTGTGTTCTGGTAAATCGCTTGTGGTTCTGCTGTAAAGTGAACCTGGACTCATAAGTTCAAGGGTTGAGTCCAGAGCCTGAGCACAATGCACCACTTCTTTCCCAATATCAAGACACAATGGCCGACGGGAACTCTTTGAGTGGACTGATTCAAAGCATCATCAGTCTGGGATTTATACGCGGCCACGGTCATGATTTTCTTGGACAGAAATTGATTATTTTCCTCCAGGTTCCAGTGAGTGGTAGGCTGCTTCGATCGACTGCCCTGAAATCCGATAATAAAGTACATTAACGGGATTGTTTGCATCGTTGGACGCATGAGACACTCGTCCGCAGCCAGTTCATTACACGATGTTCCAAATTTGAAAGAAGACTCACTTTAGCCTCCCGGAAGAAAGACATTCGGTTTTAATTTCCGTACAATGTTCATAACCTTTCCCCCCGCTTCGCCTCTCCATCCGACGGCTGAGCGGAAGCAGTTTTCTGTTCGCTCCTCAAAGCCACTGGGCTCCTTTTCAACCAAAGCTCTAATTGCGCTGTCGGTCTACCGCTGCCTGGAGCTGCCCGTTAGATTGCGTTATTGTGTGACCCGCCGACACCTGTCAGTTATTTGAATACATTCAAATCCGCCACAACCGTTGGCCCAACTTCCCTGCTCCCCGCGCTGTGGGTTTTACTCTCTGGAAGCAGGAAGCAGCAGTCTGCTGTGGCTCCGCTCAAGGCTGCTGCGCTCGTTATATTAATAAAAACTTGTTAAAGCAATTTGTTTTCCTTTCCTTGCAGCGCTGAGCGCCAGAAGCTCTTGAAGCAGTTAGAGTTAAATGTGATAATGTGGTTTCTCATCTCCCTCTCTCTCCCTTTCCTGAACAGATCTTCCTGCTGGCCTGCCCGCCGTGTAAAACAGCAATGGTTTTATTTAGGTGAGTACATTCTCGCCCGGCTTTGGTGTTAATAAATAAATATTCGGTAGAAAGAAGCAAATTATACCCCAAGTCTACAGATGTTTATTCATGGTGTTTCATTGTAATGGTCTTGTTTTAATTTAACCTTGTTTTTTTCTTCTCCACAACAGCTCTGGTCCGAGCGCTAAATTATTTACAGGCCACAACAGTTTTTTTTTCGCCATGTGGGAGCACAAAGTTGGGTTTTGCATAACTACACACCGGCTGGGTCACCTGGCTCATAAAGGCCAGGTAGTGAGGAGCTGTGGCCCTTTTGTCGGCCGCCTACCCGTCCAACCGGTACACCGGTTTCAAATTTCCTTACGGTTATGAATTCTTCTCACACCGTCGTACCGGTGCGCAGCCGTAACAACCGTTGACGCTCTTCGGCAGGCGACCGAACAGATTGATCCCCGCCGAGGGCGCCAGAATCATCACAAAATACCGTGATATGAATTTTGGTCACGCTCTTCCTTCTCATAGTTGTTGTGATACCGTATCGGCTTACCAGAGGTTTCACCGGTATTTCCCATGAGAAATGCTTTTGTGGTTTCTATCCTTCTTCAGGACATTAAAAGTTGTAGTTTGTTTAAACATGGCATTTTATCTGCACATGGATATGAAACCTGCAGCGTGCATAATATCTGTATATTATATTTACCTAAGATTAGAAAGAGCAAACGGCTGTGGTCACCTTAGCAACAGCGAGGGTGGTTTTAATCCAAGGGCAAACCCTGTTTGAGCGGCACACGTTAAACTCTGTCCCTAAAGTTGGGCCGCCCGTCTGTGTAGGAATATTTAAGACCGCAGGGAATGAAATCTGTAAACGTCATTAGTGTGATTATGAATGTGTAGTTATCAAGATAATCACAACATCGTAGAGCTTCTTTATACATGCGTCATTTTGAAATAAAAACTCTTCCTCGCCGTTCGAGGGTCGCTCACGATCGATAACCGCGGTGTATTTTAATTCTAACAAAGCGGCCCGAAAGCCCGCCGCGCCTCCCGGAGTGACAGCCGGGCTCACTTGAACAGACATTGCGACAGCACCGCTGTTCCCACGGTGACCTTGGCTGTCGCAGCAGTTACCCCGGCTCATCTCAAGAGCAGTGGCACGCACCCCCCCCCCCCTCTGGCCCCCCCCCCCTCGCGCGCAGCGGCCCGTCAGCTCCCCGCCGTCTGCGTGTGCCGCCTCTTGGAATAATTGTTGATTAAACAGAAATGTGCATCGGCCGTTGGATCGAAGGGTCTGTACGACACACGACCCCCCTCCCCTCCCCCTTCCAGCTGTTCCTCACATCAGCTCTGAAATATGTCATAACAGTGTTATGCTAGAAGAGTGATAATTGTCTGCATTGAAGTTTAACACGTGGAAAGCAGAATGGTGCGAAGTTTTCTTCAACTTTCACTCGAGGTGTCTCGCCTGCTTTGTGAGGGTCATGACCTGGTTCATATCTCCCTATACGGTGTAGTGGTTGGGATTCGGCGCCGCTGCGGGATGGATGACCTTAGTATGTGTCGATAACAGCTCTGCGTTGTGACTGCTCGGAGACGCCGTCGCCACAGAGCGCTGTAATACGTCCTCGTGTGTTTGACCTCCTGCTCGCAAGCAATACATCGATTTTCACAACTTTGATCATTCGTCAAGACTCCTGTCCTGTTTTTATCAGATAAACATTGAAACAAATCATCCTCTTCTCCCCAACCATCAGCTCTAGTTCAGACTAATATGTCAATAATGCACTGATGTGTGCGATGCGTAAATGATTGTTAAAACGTTCCTCAGGCAGGTTTGATGGAGGACGTGAGGTTTATAGGAGCGTTTGGTCTTAAAGTGTTCTCCCCTGTGTGTTCCCAGGCTGCAGGTGCACATGCTGAACGGCGCGTTACTGGCTTTAATATTCCCAGTAGTCAACACCAGACTGGTGAGTCCTCTGCGCCACTCTTCTGTCTCTGGAGTTCGCATGGATTGGTGTTTTGTTCATATTTTCTTCTGGCAGCCCAACAGGAGAGTTTGATCAGCATGATTACTATTGATTCCTCTCAAAATGTAGTTCCTGTACCAGAGTCCGACTCTGAGCAACAAATCCCAGCTCACAGATGACTCAATGTCGGGCATGATGTGGCAGAAGATTACGGCTTTAATTGATGCTGGAACTGTGCTTCTGTCTCATGCAATCTGAGCGGGTTGAAATCCGGTGACACTGCCTGCTTGAAAGACTCTCACGGCTGCAGACCGTGTGCAGTAGACAACATGAGGACTTCAAATTCCACGCGTTTGCTTGAATCAAATCAAGTCTTGGCGGTTTGACCTTTTGTCCAATTCTAACGTGATCCCAGTAAACTTCAGATGGTCCTATTACAAAACCCCGCTGACCCTGTTCCTAAAGTTCGTTTGTGTGGCCTTCAAAATATCTTCCAATAATATCTATTAAAGTGTGGGAAATTAACCCAAATCAGTTGTAATAATGTATGTATCATATGTGTTTAAAACGAAAGAACGAACTGTTAAGCATTTACAGAAGAACTACTAAATGATTTAATTGATTTTAAAACCGTAGACTTGACTATGTGGAAATATCTGAATAATGTCTTTGGTATATTATACCATGAATAATATGTCAGCTCTGTGTGTCTAGATGGGTCACTTGGTGGTCTAGTAGTTTTTCATATTGTTCATGTTCTACTCATTGGTGCACTCTGATCCCTGCGTCACGCCCACTAATGACTCCGTTTCACCAGCAGTAGAATGATGGACTATAATGAGTCTCACCCCGGATACGCCTCCTCCCTTTTTCTTCTAAGTATCTCCTCCAAGCTAGAAGCTCATTTTTGGTCAAAAAAATCAGCAATTATCATTCCTTAAATGTTCAGACACGTCTTCTTTATCGCCGCAAAAAAAGCAATACTACTGCAAGGAGGCCGTAGGTGAGTGAATACTGTGTGTTGTGAAAAAGTTTGTTCTCTCCTCAGCTTCCGTTCGAGAAGGAGATCTACTACATCCAGCACTCCATGTTGTACCTGGTGCCCCTTTACCTGTTCAGGAAAGGAGGTAGGTGTTGCTTTTATCCTCTAACCTTAATCCTCTTTGTGGAAGACCTTTAGAGTGGCGGCAGATTACCGCTTTGCGTTTGTCCGTTCAACCGCGCGGGACACCGCCGCCCTCACGGTGCCCTGGGAGGCAAACGCTGCGAGGGAGAAGTGGGGCTGTGCAGCTGCCAGGTGTATGTCACGTGAAGGCAGGCCGGAAGGATTCCGAAAAACAGGTTTCCTGCTAAAGAATTGGTCATTGCAACATAAACCAACCTATGCAGTCAGCCCTATTTCCATAGCTCCATAGGTTGAGCTGACATAATCGGTGCACTTATCTAACCCTTCTGGTGCTCTTGGCAAATGACAGCAGGGCAGAAACCGGAAAGACCAGTATGACTACACATCCTGTTACAAGCTGCGCTGCGGCTGCAGGTCGTTTCACCTGTTTTCTCGACTAGCGCGCAAATGTACCAGCAGAAAGAGGGAAGTCAAAGGGGCCTTGAGCAACCGGTTCACATGTGTCTCTCTGCAGGTGTGTACAAGCCGGAGCCTCTGGGGGACATGTGGTGGGCACTGCTCTCCACCGGCATCCTGTTCCTCTACCACTTCCTCTTCCTGCAGGTCCTCGGCTTGGTAAGACAGAGCCCCCTGCTGGGCGTTACGTGACACCTCACTTTGCAACGTGCATGGGGGGGATCACACACTTGTGACACGGCTTTCATGGATAAGAAAAAAAGTAATTTCTTCAAACATAAACAAGGCAGACATTGAGACATGATGCACTATAATTGTGCTTTAATAAATAACGGTGGTTTTATTACACACTTATCTGACAATATTGTTTGAGAAAAACAATCTAGAGAATAAGGAAATGAGTTATGCATACACATGCTTAAGCCTAGTTTATGCTTCTGCGTTTTCAGAGCGATGCAAGGAAACGCAGACGCAAGACCCCCCTTGCGTGTCCCTTGCGTGCCTTTTCACACCTCCTTGCGTGCGTTGACCCATTTTTTTCTAGGCTTGCGTTGACGCAAGCCTCCCGCAGCGCACAAGGCTGTGATTGGTCTGCTAACTACATCCTTTACGGAGTCTCACATTTCTGGTTTCTTAGCCCGATACCGCCATTATTAAGATTAAGAATTAAAGAATGTTTACGAGAGAATGAATCAGATTGAAGAACTTTTGTTGGAAGAAATGCGTAAATATAACCGTCATTGGAACTCATTTCATTTCTGCAGCAGGTTCCGTCACAATAAATATGTTCTGTGCCACGCAATTATTTCACTTTGAGCAGAATAACAGTTTTAAAGTTTTAAAAGTGAGTTTCTAAGCTTAACAGAGGTGAGGCGTGATTGCTGGATCCAGTCGTCAGGGTTTAATGCAGTGCCACTGCCTTTTTGCGGGGGGGTTTCACTCTCACAGATCAAACTGACAAAAGCCCCGGAAAATCCATAGAGGTCCAAATAAATTTGAGATCAGCAGTCAGGGCAAAGTATGCAGTGGGATAATGAGCTGCGGATGCTTCGCAGGCCACGGACTCATCCTTCAGTGACTAACGATTGTTGCAGCAGATGATCAATGACCGTGCCATTCGCCGGAACCTCATTATCCAACCGAGTTACGCTTATTATTCCAATTTCTGTCAGCGTCACATTGAGGCTGTGTGTGTCGCCTCCCCCTGCAGGCGACCGAGGTCAACCTGAACAACATGCTGTGCCCCGCCGTGTCCGACCCCTTCTACGGGCCCTGGTACCGGGTGTGGGCGACGGGCCACCAGACCCTGCTGACCCTCGTGCACGGGAAGGCCCTCACGCTCCTCTCGCACCACACAGGCTCGGCGTGCCGCGGCCTGAAGGACGCGCTCCGATTGCGCGGCAAGAAGGTCGACTGAATGTCCGCGAGGACACCACACAGAACTAGCCTTTCATTCAAAATGCCTGCTCTTTGAGATTTTTTTATTTTATTTTTCAAACATTCTAATGTATCTTTTAAGACTTACTATCTGTTTCAATGAAAGAAGCGAATAAATACGCCGTTCTTTTAGTGGTGGTGGCGGAGGCTTGCTTTCACACGCATGAGCGTTTCAAGCCTGGAAGTTCACATTGTGCAGTTAGGCGGATTTAGCCTTTTTTTTATACAATTTTAAGAAACAACAGAAGTGACTTTTGGGGAGACTTCTCACGCTGCCTTTTTGTAAATGTGAAATTTCAAGGACAGGATATCGGAGTCACTCAAATGTCTATACTGACCTGCAGTTGTTACTTTTAGTTCTGAACGTCGTAGTCATGGTCCGGTCTCAAGTGCATTTTCAAACCGATTGAATGTGTGAGCTGTTGTAAAAGTTATTGCCGGTTTAATGTTGGAAGATTTGGTTTGTCATGAACGAGTACCTCTCATGACTGAAAATAACCCAGTAATTTCATAATACGAGTGAGACATCTCACTCATATTACTCAGAGAGCCGGGGTTATGTAAATAACCTAGTTATTTATGGCGGCCCTCGGTTCCTCTTTCTCCACACATGTACTGTTAAAGCAATTTGGCCTCCTGTGCGTTTGTGTCTCCAGGCTGTTTAGATCATTCCAGTTGTGATAATCAGGGAACATGAAGATGTGTTGCGATAAATCAGTTCAATAAACAAAATGCATCGGATGATCCTTTGAGGTCACCATTCGCCCGTATTAACCAGCATTGGCAATATTGAAGTCATGGTATATCATTTCAAGTGTATAGGGTGTGTATTACTGTATTTCACTATCAAAAAAGGGATAAAACAAGCTTTTGTATTTCTATTGGTTCCTGTGTATGTGCTGTATTTACAATAAAAGTGGTTACAGTTAACCAAGGTTCTTCCAGTGGATGTTTTTGTTTCTAATCTGGCCTCGTCCAGGATGTGTTCTCCCCCTCATCTGTCCCCTCACAATTTATGAAAGCTGCACACGGAGCTGCGTAAGGCCGGACACGGGCCTGTGCCCCCAAGGCATTACCGGTAAGAGCTCGGGGGGGCTGCAAAGACTGTGAGGGAGGATCGAGAGCTAAACTGAAGCCGGAGGTGTAAGACAAACCCGATTCACCCGGTTCCGTAGTTATTGGAGTGCGCAGGGAAGGCCGCAGAGAAGCCTGATCTCAGACCAGCACTGGGCTCGTGTGTGGTTTCTTGCAGATCGGTGCGCTATTACGTATCGGAGCGCTCTGCCCTGAATATCAGGTAACCGGCAGCAATGTATTTTCAGACTTCTCCTGACCTGGAACTGACACAAGCATGTGGTAGTCCTCCTTCGCACAGCCACATGTATTCACCCTTTATGCTGCAATGCGAACAAAAGTACAAGCAGCAACAGGTATAAAAACATACGAGTGAAAGGACTTCGGTCAAAGTTCATTACCCATCCACCCGAGCTTTCAAATTGAGAAAATACAAAAACACTGCACCTACCTGTAGGCGTGTTTGCTGAAAGAAAACAGAATGACACGAGTTCTCTTTTCTGCCGATTTATTTTTTTTATTGAATAAATGATTTTAAAAGGTAATAACAATGTTTTAAACTACATTATCTTCACAGCCATTGCTTACTCAGATAACCCATCTATATAAAGTCTTTAAACACTTTAATTTTTTTTGTATATCTGTTCATTTTTTCTTTTGGAATCATACTTATCTTAAATGCCCATTTCAAATAGTCACACCAACAGCAATTCAATAGCAACGAAGGGGTTGAGCTCTACAGGGATGAAGTTCCCAGTTCATATTTTTCCACCAACATTTTTCAAATTTACCAATGAAAAAGGATCAAATTCAAAAGAAAATCAAAACATAAACCAAGCAACCCTCCCAGCCCATCAAGCCACTGCAAAAGTTATTTTGTACAGTGAGATGTCTTAAGAGGTCAGTGTCTCAAAATTTCAGAAAATCATTAAAATAATTTTGAAACTAGATCCAAAAACTTCTTTTGAAAAGAATTTATTTTGATGTACAAAAAGTCATTTTCTTTAGTTTTTTTTTTTTTTTTAAATAAAAGCTTCAAACAAGTTTATTGTAGTTCTTATTTCATTTGTAATTATTATTAATAATTCATTTATTCTTTTTTTTTAATTTGTTTTTATTCATCCATCAGTGTGATTGTACACCAGTGCAGCCAATGGGTCCAGAGTAAAGAAAACAGGCTTTTTCATCTTTAATGGCATAAAAAATAAGGAATCCATCTTTTATACAAAGTATAACTGCTGGTCTTTAGGGAAAAAACATTTAGAAACCCATAAAGCTAGGAGGCACACCATGGGATTTTCATTTTTGTAAATTATTGTAATACTAATAATCCTAGTACAACTAATAATAATAATGATAAACAAACAACTACCGTGACCACAATTTGTTTTCTTTTTTTTTTTTTTTTACTATCATTGATTCCATGTACGGCTTCAGAGATAGACTCAATAAAAATTCATTGAAAAAAAAAATAATAATTGGGTTGCTCAATAACAAAAAACATTTCGTCAATTGCAGGGATGTCTTTTGGAAGGACAGGAAGCCAGGAAGCGCAGCATTTGGGCACGGCCGCTGGCATCTTTGGTTCAGTCGAACATACGAAGGTAACATGAGCTTGAGCATTCCACAAAACATGAGAATGACCACACGAGGAATGCTGAGGCTGACCTCTCACCCTGGTACGGAACCAAATCTCAATCTGCTACAAGAAACTACGAACGTCGCTCCACCATATCCTATGAGGTATCAATGCTTTAAAACAGTTAAAGTCAGTACCCAAGCAGGACCATTTGCTCTTCTACGTGAAACGTTAACTCTGCGTCCCGTTGCAGGAGATGCTCACCTTCAGCACAGCTCGGGAAGCTGGGAAAAGGTTCTGCGATGGGATCCTTCGCTCATCGACTAATCAAACCGCCACCTTCACCCAGGTCGTAACAATTGAGCAGCTAAAAAAACAGGAAAACGGAAGGCTCTTCTCTGAAAGGAAAAAAAAAAGCCGCATTTTATCTTCGAGGAGATAAAACGGCTCCTACTGCTGCCGCTAATCTACCAAACGACGCACGCCGCACCTTGACCGACCCAGCCATGAGGATGGGACACAGTGTAGGGCGGGATCGAGGGGCGGGGAGGCTACATGTGACTTCGTGTCCTTTCAAACCCTGCAGGGGTGTTGACTTGCACTGGTAGGGGGGGGGGGGATAAAAAAAACACAAAACACCTGTTGAACAGATCTGCATATATCAAGGATAGTAAAATGTAACACATGTAGGATTTTCTCTAAACATGTCACTGTTAAATTGCACTGACGACCATGAACAGTACATTCCGTAGCCCCTATGAGGTGTTTGCTGCAGGGAGCGTCTCCTTCTTCGTTACATTTGTCAGAGTATCGGTCTCAAAGTGGCCCGCGTCGCTCAATGAAAGCAGATGCTTGGGGCTACCGTTTGTATCGGCGCCGTCACAAGTCAATTCACACCAACACCCCCGGGAGAAAATCTTACATGCAGCATCTTTAAGTATGATATGATCAATGAGTCCGCATGACCAGTCACCAGCTGTGACCACCCCAATATGAGGTCCGATAGCACCATATTTGTCTTTTAAATCTCTTTAATGGTTAAAAAGAGCGTCTAAGCCATAGATCAAGCATATCATGGATAAAACCATAGGTCTCATACTCATACATACATGCAAATAAATACATTGCATGTGTATACAAAGACATATGTAAAAGAGCATGGTCAATTTGGTTTTGCAGCAGAAGAATTCACGTTGTGCTGTGCTAAAAGTGGACCTGGAAATGAATGCCGGACTGCTCCTCTTTCAAGCTTTTTGTTTTGTAGTGTGTTCATCATGAAGGCGTACATCAGATGAGGCGTGATGCAGTCTTTCCATGCTCTTTGAACATTTGAGGGTGACGACACCACAGTGCCCGACATTAGTTCAAGAGAATGTGTCCATGTGGGGCTTTCAAAAAACGAAAGAATTGAGGGCCAGCAGCTGAGTGCGACGCGAGCAAACAGGAGACCGGACAGGACAGGAACCCCCATATGTCCAAGACGGTCTTAGCATTCACGTGACGGAAGCAACAGCTGAGGCCCGTTCCTACACTGTGGTGCGTGAAAATGGGGGTGGGGGTGGGGGCACGGGATGGAGGAGCAGTCAAACTTGCATCTACTGGTCCACCATTTACTAGATCATTCATTTAAGGCAACACAACTTAAATCTGGGTTGTTTCGGGTTACTGTGGATGGAGTTCCAAAAGCCCTTGACTTTTTTGCATAACAAATAAAATAACCTGTCAGTTAGTAAAGGCTGTTACGAAGTAAGATGTCACGTCACGAGAACCTCTCAAATGAGTCCCGCGAGCAGAACTAAAGCCCAAAGCCGGCGGGTCGCGCTGATCCTCGACGGCTCAAACCTTCCACAGAGGGCTCTCCGATCGGCCGTGTGAGACCCACGACAAGTAAACGGATTAAATTAAATGGCTTCTTGAGTCCCGACAAAGCCCCGGCTTTGTGTTCGTGGATTTGGAACTGCAGGCCGACGGGCCCGGCGCAGGGATTCTGCTCGAAATCATTTCACTCGGACTTTCGCTAAACGGCTGACCGATCTCACCGTTTCCTGCGCCGTGGAGACGCAGATCTACGGCTGACCGGCGGAGGGCTGGGTGTTTGAGCAACTCACTGAACCGGCTGCGTCGCTGCAACCGCTTCAGACTCCGGACGGCACGATGACACGGACAAACGGCAACTTGAACCCTCTTTGAACTAGTGACAGATGGGTCAGCTGGAACCTGAAGAGGCTAGACAAGGTTTCCACGGCGATTCGAGCGATGAACAAAGCATCCGACTGAAATGTTCAGCGATGCCGCCTCGTCCGAGGCTGGCTGGTGTTTGCATTCAGAGAGGGAAGACTATGTGTTAGAAGTGGACCACTAAGTTGTGACAGACGCACACGCCTCAAGCCAAACAACAGATCGCTGTTACAATGTGTGGAATAGAAAGAGAATATGGCTTTAAGTAGCTTTAGCATTTCCCTATCAAGTGACTCCCTGCAGGTAAACTCTGAAGGTCAATTCAAATTCAAAGCAATGCAAAATATATTTTTTTCTTCTTTTAGCAACCTGCTGTTGTGCCCGCTCACCTTCACCTCCAGTCAAACCCACTTGAAGCCCATTGTAACATTAAGAAAACCCCTGCCCAGATGTGATTATCCACAGACAAAATGGCTTCTTCCGCAAACTAAGATAAATTTTAAAAAGTAAAAATACAAGAGGGAACTTGGCTGACAGCTCTAGCCAAAACAAACTCGATTTGATGTGTAACAGGTTCCACCACAAACCACTTCAAATACTAGGGGGAGATTTTCACAAAATCTCGGTGGGGAATCTTTAGGTAAAATCCAAATTGTAATTCCCACTACTGGTTTTCATCTTGTGGCACACAAATATCTATATCCACACACAGAGATACACACACACACACCAGTGGGAGCTCAAAGAATACACACTACTATCAACGGGCATCACAATCCTATCTACACTTGAGTATACAGATCCCGATATATAGTTCCAACTACAACACTACAAGAGTTTACAAAGCCCCATAAGTCAGTCCGTATTTTTTTTGTTTTTTTGAGAGGAGTCAGGATAGAATCGACACAGCCTTTGAGAACTGCAGTTGCCTTGCTACATGGCATAGATGTCTGGATAGTAAAATAAAGAAAAATGGAAAGAATGTTTTTTTTTTTTTATATATATAGATAGTATAATATTGTAGCAAAGCTTTAACAATGTGCAAGATTAATCCAGCGAAAAAGACTTTCTTCCATCCACAGAAGCAAACACCTGATTAGGTTTGCTGAAAAGAATCTAATAGTGGTTTGATTTCCAGAAATGTTATTGATAGGGGTGTGTTCTAAATATTCGAATACATGAGCTGCAAAGGCAAAGAAAAAGAAATGTGGATCTTGCCGTAATGATGCTTCGTTGCCACCCGTTGCCATGTCAACGTCTGGGAGACGGCCAGCATGGCAACGGAAACTATCATCATAAAATGGTACAGTAGTAGAAATAGCTAGACCAGGAGGGGGCTGGCTCTCCTGGGAAAAGGTCCGCAGAGAGGTCCAATGATTGGTCATGCGGCTCGCTGTCAGGAATAATGGTTGTAGGGTGGTAGAGGGTGCCCAATGCCATTCTGGTAGTGATGGTGCTGGCGGTGGGCGATGTACTCTGCATAACCCATTGTTATCTTCTCGCTACGGTACCTGGGGATAAGACGAGAGGTGTTGGTAAAGGCGGGCTGACCTTCACGGAAGGAAAGCTGGGATCAGCCGCCGCCCGCATCGATACACAGGACCTGCTGTGACCCGGTTTAGCAGACGAGTCAAAATCGGGCTTTGAACTTCAGTCAAAATAACAAATGTTCATTTCAACTGCACATATTCCACATCATTTGTTTCACATTGGAACTTTGTTTTTAGGTAATTCCATACATTCTTCTTCCTTGTCTGTTACATTACCCATAATGCTACTGAACCAAGAACAGTTTATTTTCGGATGAGTTACTCTAGCGTCTGAGTCTGTTAAGGCCACTTCTTCCCACTGCAGCAAGTTGCTGCCTCAAATGACTTAAGTCCATTGAATCAGATTTAACAGCTCCCTCTGGATCCATAAAAAGCATTACAATGCTTAATATATGAGATACAGTACCAGTCAAAGGTTTGGACACATTTTCTTATTTAATTCAATGAGTCCAAACATTTGACTGGTACTTTTTGAGATAGTAATCCCCAAGACTTGACTTTGGTGTGTTTAAAACGTATGGAGATCCCCTCTAAGGGCCAGAGGATAAAATATATACAGACATTTTTATGTTCAGTTAAATTGACTTTGCTTGCAAAACAACAAAACATACTTCTAGGCATTAATCATTGACTTTGTAGAATTTCAGGACTTTCCTTGGCCTTTTATTTGGGGACACCGTTCCAAATAAATGCATACGGTGAAGTGTACATCAGTGACACAGTAAACTGATGTCGGCCGGCAATACAATCCACGAAATCTTACCTGGTTAACTTAATGGTCTTCCTGAAGTCGTTTGTGATGGGAGCTTTGTAACCTCCCTTTCGTAGTAAGGAATCTATGGTTTGAATATGGTCCCAACCTTTATAAAATAAGAGTTCATGTGTCATTACACGTTCCTGACAAAGAGCAGACTAGGATGAAATGTTAAGATCTTACCTTGCTCCTTCGCAACCTCTGGTAGATAGGTGGCGGTGCGCTTTGATCCTTTTTCATTGAAAAACTCTATCCTAATACCGTGAACACCCACCTACAATTCAAAAAGGAAATACCATTTGTAATTTTGTCACACAATGTAAAAGCTTAAAAGGAACAAGCCTTAATGAAATACATTTAAAACACAATCATGTGTAACAGTTCAAATGGGTCAAAGCTGATTACAATTAAGCTTAGCTTTATTCGTGTTGGAGTAAGCCGATGTGGAGGAGCTGATAGTAATTGTATTAATTGCAGGAAGACTGAGCGTTGAAGCACCACAGTTATAAAAAAAATTATTATAGAATTATTTTTTTTGTTTACAAACCATGTCTCCCTTACCTCCCAGTCAAGGTAATCACCAACGTCTTCAAAGTTGGTGAGAAGAGACACTGAGCAGAAGAGGCGAGGCAGCTCATCCCTTGTCATAGGGGGGAAGCGGCTGTCTTTAAGGGCACTGCAGGCACAGAAGCACAAAGAAAACACCCTTACAAGAGGTCCACTGGCGTGACAACGCAAAGCACTCAGAACATTCTGTTTTTTCTACTCCGGGCCGTCTGTAATGTGTATATTTGTACGCGGAATCAGTAGAAGACTGTGTTCAGATACATTTGACACGTCAGCTGTCTGCCCTCTGGTCAAAAATGCAAGTGAAGAAATTCCACCCAAGGTAATTACAGATGACCATGTGTGTACACTGCAGGCACTCTCCTTCTCTCCCATTGGCTTATTGTAAATATCAGTAAGTAGATTTCTATTTAAAACACTTTACCACCGGCGCCAAAAGGTGCTCAGCCGGTGTTTAACCCACCAACGGGGGTTTAACCTGTGTTCGTCTGGTCCTCCCAAATACAACTACACAAGGACTCTTTATTGTCACAGCTTTACATTTCTTTGCATTAAAAACATGTTTACAACAGTCCATACATTACAGTTATAGTTGAGTTGTCAACACGTTTCCTCTGCGTCACTGTCTGTCCTTTTGATCCCATGAGTGCCAGGCCATGGAGGCAAAACTATTTTGGTATCTTCTACATCACATCCGTGTTGATAACAAGTTGTGTTGCTAGCATACTGTAACTGCAGTTTGTCTAACTATTAAAGAAAGTGCTTACACAGACAGTAAACTATATCAATTTCTTTTTCAAACAAATATATGTCAATGGAAAATTGTTAATGGAAAAACCTACTTAAAGACATTAATAACTTTTGAATATTTTTTGAAGCCCCAGGACCTGGGATCAATGGAGATACGCACTCCACACAGCGTTACAGCGGGCTACATGAATGAAACAGAACAAAAGTAAATACTATAAGAAAACAGAAAATTGTGTTTTGTTTTTTTGCACTCATGCACAAGCCAACCATACGTTCTGGGCGTTATATACTACTGTTGGTACAAAGTCCCCAGTGTTGGGGCTCTAGATTCTAACATGCTTGTTGTTCACTTAGATTTACTACTTCACTTTTGTACCTTTGCAGAAATTGGTCTACAGTTTTGAAACAATAGAAAGGTGACTTTGCATTGTTGCTTACCTGGTAAGGGTGTACTCCCTGAGTCCTGAGTGCAGATTCATGGCAGAAAATGTACCTATACAACCCCTCAACCGCTTGTCTCTGCCTATTTTCCATGTGACAAACAGCGGGCTGAAAAACAACAAGGGACCATGTTTAAGCAGTTGAACAATTGATAACGTGCACATCCTTTCTACATTCCTGTAGGACTCAGAAGTTGGTTAGGAGCACACATTGGTTAATTGTGGTGCAGTAGGCCACAGCTGCGGTTCACATTTGGCAGAATAGGCACACTGGTCTTCTACACTCTGATTGGATTAGCGTCAAAGAAAGACTGCAAGCTTTTGTTAATGATGCCTGGCCGACCATGACCAGGCAGTAACTTTATATCTTCCACAAATAGGGACTACGACTTCGTTTTGCAACTGCTTCCAAAATGGCATTTAGATAAGCCTAGCGTTTGGATGAAAAAAATAATTGTACATGTCCAGATCTTAAAAAACGTATTACTAGATGAATAAAATGAGTTGAGTGACAATGATGAACCCCATAAATGATTGATAATAGAAGCCACCGGTTCTACCGAGGAGTAAATGATGATAACCGGTCAGGGGTATATAATTTGGGTTTGCACAACTAATGTCTATTACACACACACACACACACACACACACACACACACACACGTCTGGTGGAGCAAATCGTTTTTCCTAGAACAGTCTACACGAGCAGCACAACAGCTGCTGCTTCAATGTAACCTCTTTTATGTTTCACTGTACTTTCTGCCAGAGCACTGCAATGTTTGTGTATTTTGGTGAGTGTTGTAGAGCCTTCAGGTCATATTCTTCTACCGGGGTTGCTCAGCAGTGAATGAAAGCTCTGGTTTTGATCATTCACTGCGGAGCATGTCCATTTTAAAGCGCATACATTAACCTCAGATTCAATTCAACACATTTCAGGCTTTATTTCTGTCTGTGTTACTTGATTAACACAGATTGGATAGCTGATTTGATCAGAAACAAGGGTTTTCTCATCTCCTTCAGAACTAAGTGACTCATTACAAGCGCAGAGACGTTGCTACTACTTTTGTTGTCGAAAATAGACAGTTATCAAGCCTCTGCATTTTCTGTAGGTCTTCCTTTATTAATGAACATGAAACCTTTTAAAGAGAAAGGAGAAAAGAGAAAGAGCTTAAGAGTGTTTCCTTGGTAAAGAAATGTTCAATACCAATACAAATACTTCAACACTGTCTTGCATGTTTTTGGTATAGTCCAGTCTTCAGCTAGAACTCCAATACTGTTAAAAAAAGGCTTTGAAAGTCTTAATTTTTTACAAAAAAACAAAAAGAAACATACATGAGACATTTTCTCTTTGAACATATCTTGAATTTTATTTTTAGCTTCTTCACATATAAAACCAATGTTTTACAAAAACAAAATGTTGCTTTCTTACTCAAAATTCCAGTAATAAAAAAATACAAAAAATGTACAGCTACAAGCAGGCAAAGGGTGCAAATAGTCTCATGAAAAACAATGCGGCGTCTAACGGTCACCGCAGCAGACTGTCTCACTAGACTTGCAGTCCCTCAGAAAACCTGTGCTGCTGTTGCTTCATTATACCTTTCCTGGAACTTTTCCCTCCTCCTCCAAAAGGAAACGCTGTTGTCTTCCGGTGTCGTTGGCAAAGGCCAATGTACAAAAGAGACGATTGCTAGTATTCACCAATTGGTAATACAATGGATGAGATAACATGTATTCACAAGTAGCATGTTTGCAAACTAATTTTTTACTTTGTTTTAGTAGTTTGTTTAGCTTATTAAAGCTATGCAACTTAAGTAGCTGACATCTATATACAAACATAACATTACATAGATATTAAATAGTTACCCAAGAAGAGACTACATTTGCTGCATCTAATTCAACAACCTTTCAACCAAAGAAAGCTAGCTAAATTAGCGTACTAGATATGCTCACGTACCTGCAGCAGCGCTAGCTGACTAGCATGGTCCATTGGTCTTCTTGTAGTTTAAAAATGTCTGCTTTGTTGGTGCTCCTTGAAGTAGCTACCTTTGCGCATATATTGAGTCACAACTTTCAGGGGGGTTTTTTCTTCTTTTTTTTATACTGAAGACCAACAACAGCCAGTCTAAACAGCAAAAGTTCACACTGCTTATGGTCATCCACGGACTGCAATGAGTTTACCGTTACGACTTGAAATGAAGATTGCATTTACAAAGAGGCAAGAGCTCTTGTTTCTAGAAACATCACAGCATGTTTAGGTTTTGGGGCCCTGAAATGCTGGATAACCTTGCAGAGCACCGTGTCAAATGCCGTAGTGGTTCGGAGCGTTTCAATAATTAAACGCCCCCCAAAAAAGGACATGTTCAGGAAGCCATAGAGCATAATTTGTGAGTTTTGACTCATGAACCTGCTACTTTCCTAGTCATGATTGGTTGGCTTTAGACCATGGTTTTCAAATGGTGAGGTTACAGTGAAATCCAGATTGCACACAGAAATGGGATGTTGGGAAGAAAAATATTGCATGAGAAGATCTAAAAATTTGGGTGGGCCTTTAAAATAATTTAATAAAATAAAACATTTTCCAAGTCCTGTATGAACGGTTTCCACATGTCCCTGACCTAGGATATGATACAAGACTTAAGTGTTTTAACATTGGGGAGGACAGGGAAAAAAAAAAAAAAAAGGATGAACTATTTGTCCGACTACGACCACCCCTAAATTTGTTGGACATTTCATTGTTTGAGATTTGCCTCATCCATTTCAGTATTAAATAGGAGTGTAGCGATTCAAATCGGCATTCCGGACGACATATATTGATTACAAATCGATTGAAATGGTACATAATCAATTGTATCGATACTTTAAGTACAAAAACGGTATGGATGTGTGTTTGTTTGTTTGTTTTTTAGCACTTCAGACACGTTAAACGTTACTGGATTCAGTCTGCCTGTCTGTGACGTCACCAGTACGCAGCGGCCGCCGCTCAAATCTCGGAACAACAACAAAACACAGCGTGGAGGAGACGACTGCGAGCGAGACATTTACAAACTAACTTATCGATCCAGAGTGTGGAAACATTTTGGCTTTTGCAAACACGGAGGTGTTCTAAATAAGTCGGTCGCTTTTTGTAGAATATGTAAAATAAAAAAACAAATAAAAAACCACGGAAACACGACGAATCTTTCCGGCCATCTACTAAGGCGCCGTGGGATTAAACAACGCCGACAATCAGGACCTCTAGCAGCGTCACCGCTGCAGCAGTTTATCTGTAAAGACATGCGACCCTACAATGTGGTTGAAAATCCGGGTTCTGTAAATTGATCCAAACATTGTGTAATTATTGTGTAATGTTTACATTGAAAATGGCAAGTGATTCAAATAAAAGGTTAATACATTTGCCATTAGTTGTTGTTTGCTTGTTTATAATATCCATAATTAATTTAAACCTGATTTCCTTACAAGAAACAACAGGGATCTCGGAAACTTTGCCTGCACTGTCCAGTAAAGTTACTGAATCGATTTCAAGTCACTGAATCGAATCGTTCTGAATTAACCCAGATCGTCAATGAATCGAATCGGCAACCATGAATCGCGATTCGAATTGAATCGTTAAAATGAATCGTTACACCCCTATTAAATAGTGCTCATATTTAAACGTGTATAAAGCCATTTCCCCTGGGATTTTCTGGAGGTAATTTTAAGGTTCTAAATAGAAGTTAGTGTGGTAATTAAAATGACTAAAAAGGTCCAATGTGTTGGTTTTTCCTCAAAAGGGTCAACATGCAAGGTTATCATACTGTCAGTTTTTGTATCTGAAAACTAACATGCTTCAGTTATATAACGTATTGTTTGTTTAATCCTTTCGGGATCATTGTAACTGAGGTTAATAATAACAATAATAATAATGTTGTACCTAACTATGTTTTTTCTGAGATGGTAATCGTACTTGACATATACAGAGGGATTGTTGCCAATAATATATAATGATTAACGTTACCTGCAAACACCAAGAGAGTGTTCGAACAGTTTACGTAAACAAACACATAAGCAACTGTACAAAACATCTTCAGTAGTATCATGCTAAAGTGAAGTAGTACCTTTATGAATAAATATATATTCAAAATTATAGCCAGTGACGGTTTTGATCGTTGTGATTTATTTTAACGTGGTCCCCCTGTCAGCTCAATACACTAGAATAGTACACCGGAGATGCAAGTAAAATGCCTGCAAAGTCATTTGCGATCACATTACAGCGCTCCTCTGAGGTGCGGTCAGAATGCTTCAGCGGAGGGCGCACGAGTGCGGCTACAGGCATGAAACATACATGTATGGATACAACTGTTAATTTACACATAAAAACATAAAAAAAGGAAAAGACAATTTTCAGCCAGTTCAACACATTATTTACTACTATATACGTTTTATTTAAGATGAGCTGTTTATTGGTTAAAGGTGGGCATACGGAATGCTTGGGACTGCTTAACGCTATTAACGTTAGGAAATAACATTCTCTTTGTTGTTTTGGGCTAAAGTTGTCCCTTAATTCAACATCAGGCTTGACGTTACCGAACGTAAACTAATCCTGCTGCAAACAGAGTTCGTTGAATGAGCAGTTATCCAACTGCAAGGGAGACTTCGAAGACATATAACGTGTTAGTGTTAAATTATTTCAGGTTTTCGTTGCTAAGCTAATGTAGCTTGTAGGTAACAAAGCTAACCCTGGTGTGTGGCAATCGAGAGTACATAGCGGGCAAGATATAAATAAAGATTTGTAACGTTTTACGTTTAACTTTTAACATTTTAGTAGTTTCATTGTTAAATCCTAACTGCTCAAGTTGAACCAAGAAATCTATTTTTCACGTTACACCCTCTCTTTTAGCTTAATGTTAAATGTTAGTGGCTAGCTAGCATAGCTAACATTAGTGGCTTAACGTTAGCCAGTGTTTCTCGTGTTGGACAGTTTTCCCAAATTATTTTTTTTTTACCAGGATCATTCGTGACGGGAAATGGGAAAGTACATCGTCTTTTTACATTTATGGATAGTTGACATAGAGAACACATTTCATTCCGTTTAAAGTGAACATTAACGTTAGCATAGTGCTGCCGCGGGCCAATGCCGACTGGGCCCCACATTCCAACTTGGCCAAATTAATTATGATCGCGAGCTTTTCACGTAAAATTCATTTTAAGTTCCTGTTATTTCGACGTGACAGTTGCTGCCCCGAACACTTTAGCAGCTCCCGCGGGCAATCCCTTCGAGTGTGCCGCAAAACAAATCTCTCTATAGATTACACAAACAAGCTTTGACATGCCACAAAACAACAAAAGACAAGAATACTCACTAGGGATCATTTGTAAACCTGGGTGTTCTCGGGGGTTGGTATCCGTACAGATGGCAATAAAGAACGTCAAAACAGAAGCAGCACATCTCCGCCGAGACGACCATCTTCCTGCCGCCACTTCCCGAACCAGGTCCCGAGCTGAGATTCGGGGAGAGGCCGGATGAAGAGTAACCGGCCGGGGACAGGGAGAGAGCGTTCGTGCCGCTGCTACCACTACTGCTGCTGCTGCTGCTGCTAACGTTACCCCCAGGTCCCCCCAGGCCGTTGGCTCTGCTCACGTTCGCCGCTGTCGCAACGGTGGCCGAGGAGCCAATCCCCAACTCCGAGCCACAATGCCCGGTTCCTGCCACCCCGTTTGCCGCCCCCATCCCGCCGGGACACCCCGACCCAGGCGATCCCGACAGTTTCTGCTTCTTCACCCCGCAGCACCCGGCCGCCATCTTGGAACAATCTGCACCGACACACCGCTTCCGACCCATAACCGTCACCGCGGGAAGGGTGGGGGGGGGAACGCCGACCAGACGTAGAAATCCCACTGCGCGGATACGTAGGACGGACAACACTCCACTTTCACGCTTTTTCTTTTTTGTCGGACGACAAAATAACCGATGTGTTGAGAAGACTGCAATGTCACCCTAGCCTTGCCTTTAAAAACGCGTGACTTTGCTACGCAAAATCCATAGCTGGATAAGCGTGTTTTTCCTTGAGTGGTAAGCCAGTCCAGCTTTGGACCACGGTGTTCCTTCCGATCACCGATAACGTCCAAGTCCAAGACAAATATTCACCCCCCTGGTTGTTTTGTTTTGCCTTAACACGACACCACCCGAGGCGATCCGGTTCGGTACCCCCTTATACATACAAGTTCGTGGAGTGCACGGTCGGAACAGGCCGCAGATGACGGCAGTCAGGCGGTCCAGATGTGAAACCGACAGCCAGTGCGAAGTTTCCCAGCCGCGAACCTCTCCAAGTGGAAAGCCGGGGAGCTCGAGTACGCAGGACCCATAAGCTTTCAGCACGAATGGCGCACGATGCCTTCGACGGCGCAGCTTGTCATTGCGCCAGCTCGCTTGCCAGCTGCCTCACGAACTTCTGCTCGCACAACGGGCCCAGTGCGTTGGAATTCCGGTCGCTCGGGTAACGCAGGGTAAAATGGCATCTGACGATGCGGGGTTCTGCGGCCACAACGAAACGCGTCAGCGCCGAGCTACTCATTTCAGTAACGCCGGCCCGACCGTTTGCACCTGCACGATGCTCTGCTCTTGGTACCTGGTTGACAAAACACAACCCCCACCCCCCCAAAAAAAAAATCGCAATTCCACAGCTCCGCGTCAAATTCGGGGTGGAAAGTTTTCAGCGTAGGTTTGTTCTGGAGGCTGTCATCCGTTCGTGGGGATACATGTACAACAGCATTCTAGTCCGCGAGCCGTGAGAAATCCTGCGGGTCTGGCAACCCGCGCTCCGCACTCGCCCCTCAGCTGCTACCATTGAGTGCTGTGCGGGTGGAAACCCCGCGATCGCTCCGTGGGCACCAGCGTCGGTGTCGTCGGCAGACGCCCGGAAGCGGATTCAGAAAGTGCGCTGCGCCCGTTTGCTACACATCCTGCGTAGCTTCTGGGGGGCGGTGGGGTTGGTGGTGGTGGTGGTGGGGGGTCGAATTTGTGCAGTTTTGAAGAAGTGTAGGATGCCGTGGAGGCAAGCGCGCTCCCGACGTTCGTGCGCGTGCACGGGGAGGTATCGGAATCCGGCAGCTGAAAGGCGTTATTAAGGGTTGTAGTGGTCAGTCTGAGCTGGGCCTGATTATTTAAATTGTCTGAATTAGTGCCATGAAGGGAATTGATTTGATGCTCCGTTGGCTTCAAACAAAGGTGAGTTTTATTAGGTTTGACGTACGACTGCCATACAAACATACATTCCTCATACAGATAGAAGCACAATAAAATTGACAGTTGTTTTGGTTTTCATTTGTCAGGAGAGTCATATTACATTACATTACATGTCATTTAGCTGACGCTAAATAAGTCCAAAGCGACTTACAATAAGTGCATTTCAACCACAATATTTGATCATAAATTTTGTTTCTTTGAGGTTCATGGGTCAGGTTGATTTTAAATCTTAGGCAAAGCTGCACACATCTGGGATAAAAATAGGAAAATACAGTGTTTATCGTCCAAACAATCATCAGTATTCCAGACAGAGTAAACCATCTCAGAGAAAATGGTTTCCTGTGGCTCATCCTTATAAAAGAGACAACGGGTTATGTTAATGTTTACGGTGGAGCCTGTAATATCCTCAGTGCTATTTGCTTTATGTGCGCCATTGACTCTGATTAGAGAACATCACCTACCATTCCTCTGCTTTCACTTTTCAATGTATCAAGAAAACATACGTTGTACAGAAAGCAAAAAAAGACCATTTTAAGACATTTGTATTTCAAATGAGGCACCAAATGGCAGCAAATCCCTTAAAATTCATTGCGTCACGTCTTTGCCATTTGTATTCAAACTTGAGATGATGCATGTACGATCGCTCTATTGTCACATTCAGCCCTGTTAAGTTCCAAAGTATTGATTTATTAACTCAGATGCGGAATTTAAACAAACGACTTCAAACTCATTCATTTAGTTTTATAGCAAAATAGTCATTTTAATTAGCTGATACGGAGTACTTAATTAATTTAGCAACTTGACATAGATTGCAGTTCTTTCATCATACATTACATTTTCCACAGTTAACGGAAAACCCCATCACAAAACATTTAGCTTACAGAGCGTGAAGCTATTATGTGCACGTTGCCTGCAGCTGAGCAGAGTGTATCCTCTTTAAAACCTCATTCATTCACCCATTATATTTTGGGAGTGGAAGGTTGCAAAGTGATGCACCACAGATGGTCTTTGGAATGTAATCCAGAGGAATCAGGCTGCTCTTCCTCCCATCAGCTACAGCGCCAGAGGGGACAATGCTGTTCAAGGTCAAGGTGGCTTTACAAGCCAAATAGGATGAGTTGACAGCATTATTCCTGCCTTTTTAATCTTCCTGTTTAGGAAAAGTCCGCATGCACAATCCTCCCTTACAGTATGTTCCATTCATTCTCTTTGTTCTATTCTTTGGCGCAGAGATGATCTGGCATGTTCTTATTGGGCCTTGTGGTGGAATTTCCTGCAGCAGCAGGACTCACTCGCCTCCAGTCTATGAGCACAGTGCTGAGTGAAGACAGAGAGTGAGCCATACTCATGATGATTAAAATGTTCTGTTAAACGTCAGGGGTTCAGGAATTTAGCTGATGGCATACAATGATTACTTCTTCAGTCTCCGGTCCGGATCGTTACAGTATCATAACAGTTACTGTTGACAAAACCGCATGTTTGGGCACAAAACCTCTCAATTCGCCAGAATTTGAAGGCGTTGTGAATTCCCCCAACCTTAAGTAATATTGTAGGGTTTCAACGGCTCAGTAACGGCTGAAAAATAATCTATGCGGAGCCAGCAATCAGCATTAGAAGATACTGTAACACGTGTTAAAGACCTTTCTGCTCGTACCGTGAAAATGTGCCTTCATTGTTCCTGTTCTGTCACAGGAGGGGTGGAGGCTGCGCCAGACATCTGTGTTGGAGAGGGATAAGCTCTATCGGGGTTATTGTAGCTCCACGTGGTGACAAGGTTAACCGATAGAAGCCCTGGACTGCTCAGTTACAACTCCGACTCAGTGTGTTTACATGATGTTATGATGCTCCGGTATCTCGTACATTTAATAAAGCTTCTGTTGCGTGGCTAAAACGTGGACAAATTGTTTTTGGGACTCAATGTTGTGGAAAACATTTTCTGGAAATACTAACGCAGTTTATCAGAAGCACACAACTGTAATATGAGTCCATGCTCTTGTCTTCCGGCAGTATATTGCCTACTTAGCTCTCTCTTTGCTGCAGAAACCCCCATCCCTTTATGTGCACTCAGATTCCCCTCTGGCTCAGAGTGCGATGGCCTTTCTCTTTCATCCACAACAGAGTCACTTCAGCCTATTTATTTCTTGACATAGCATGTCTGTCCTACAAGATTAGTCACATGCTGTTGCCTGCAGCAGTGTTTCGATGCTCGTTCCCTCAATTGTCTCTATCACACCCTTATTTTAAATTGTGATAACGACCATAAAGGAAGGGACAGAAAATATTATCACGTCAAATAGCAGCGGTGATTCACTTCCTGCCTTCTCGTTGACATGCTGCATAAAATTGTGGATTGTTGGTCAATTCAGCTTCCAAGTCACCAAAGAGACTTCAGTTAGGTAAGTTAAACTTGCAAACTTGGGTTGAACAAAAGTCAACACAGGAATCGACTTGATTAACAGAACGAACAGAAATGTTATTATTCTTACGGCGCTGCAAAAGTCTGACCGATAGCTTACTGAAATAAACATTAATCTTATATGTGCGTATCGCCACAAATACTTGAATGCTTAATCATTTAAGACAAGATGAGGGGTTGCTTTAGTCACAATTAACAACGTTTTTGGCCCTCAACACCTTAAAGAATATCTTACCACCCAGTCCACGAAATAGTGACCAATTCCTAGATCATACATTGAACTTATGTGTCATTTTTACCGTTGAGTTAACAAATTAAGGCGATCGATTAGTGCAGGATTGATTTTTTAAAATGGTTTATCTCTGTTGCGGTGTCGTGCAGATACTGTGTTTCATGTTCTGTCCTGCAGAGGGCGACCATGCTGCCGAGTTGCGTCGACGCAACAATAGAATGACCAGTAGAAGAAGAAGCAGGGGGCGGGGCCTGGCGTTTGAAAGTCGCGGGCAGTGACAACATGCATCGCTGAGATAATGGTGGCACGAGCAAAGGACAGTTCTTAATCACGTTATCCGGAATCAGTGACGATCTAATTTGCCCTTTTTTTTTAATCAAAAGCGTTCTACATCCTTGCTGACTGCTAACAACTAGAACACTGAATGCAGACTTTGTGATATCCAAACTTTGGAACTGGAGGAAACGTGAAGGTAACATTGAGCTAAAGATGAAGTCGTCTTCTTGCTCATAACTAACGCTAGCTTGCTTGCTAAGTCAAGACGAACGATCAACCGACGCCAACTTAAACGTATTACACCAACGTGATGTCAGCTGGGTCGAAGACTTAAGTGGTCCCCCGGCAACGTTTTCATTTCAATACCATTAAATGACTTCATTGTTACTCGACCTTTCGACCAGTGTGTGGTGGTTTCTCAACATACAGTCGCTGCAGTGATGTCATGTTTTTTTCACAACAAAAAGTTGTCACTTTTAACCATATACGTTTTTTGTCTTTGTTGCACACCGTATTCAATCAATATGTGTCTATTCTGTTGACTTGAAATGTATTCCTTATTTTCTCACCGAAGAAAAATATAATTAGCTCGTTAATAACACCGCTAGATTTGAGTTGTGTCATTCATTAAATGGTAAATGGTAAACGGAAAAAAGGAAGGGTTTCAAGAGCTCTCATGTCCCATGACTGGGCCGATGTTGCCAGGTTTCATTGTGATGACCTTTTTGTGTTTTGTTCATAGGTATCTAGTTTTTCATCATGAAAAACGAAGACGATAAGGTGATCCCGGTGAGGGTCGCCTTGCGATGCCGCCCGCTGGTCCCTAAAGAAACCGACGAGGGATGTCAGTGCTGTCTCACTTTTGTGCCTGGAGTGCCGCAGGTTTGTGCTCTATTACATCCGTGTACATAGTGTGTTTTTTTTTCTTCAAAGGCTGTGCAAGCGAGTCTTATGTGTGACAATAGTTACATTACTATTGTTTGTTTTCAGGTGATCGTTGGCACAGAGAAGGCGTTCACGTATGATTACGTGTTCGATCCCACTGCTGAACAAGAAGAGGTCTTCAATACGACTGTGTCCCCCTTGCTGTCTGGGCTTTTCAAAGGTAGCTGTGCTTTTATAACACAATTGATTCAATTCAGTAACAAAATTCTCCTCTCTTTTTTACCCCTTTTTCTCTTTAAAAGGGGTAAAAACAAGAGGAGAAGACAGGTCATTCAACATTACAAAAAATCATGGTTCGCTAAGACGCTTCAGTGAGAACTTTCCTGACCATTGGCTGCACACAAATGAAACATATAATTCAATTAAAGATTTAAGATGGTTATAGGGATTGTTTTTTCTATTTGTAATCATTTGACATCCTCACTGACGTGTCCTATTTCTAGGCTACCACGCCACAGTTCTTGCATACGGACAGACCGGGTCGGGTAAGACCTTCTCCATGGGAGGAACATACACATCAACTCAAGAAAATGATCCTTCGGTCGGAGTTATTCCGCGAGTTATCAGAAGGATCTTCGAGGAAAGGGAGAAGATGACGGCCTGTGAATTCTGTCTGGCCGTGTCTTACCTGGAGGTTGGTGGAAATGTTGCATTCCTTGGCTTTCAGCAGTAGTTTGCTTTGTTGAAGTTATTTGAATGCAGTTTTCCCTTTCAACTGTAGATCTATAACGAGGACATATTGGATTTACTCTGCACATCTAAAGATAGATCAAGCCTCAGCATCAGGGAGGACCCCAAAGAAGGCATCAAGGTGAGTTCCTGACAGAAAGAGAAACTTCCATCTCTCCCTTTGGCTACACCTTTCGCTAGTACGGTCGCGTTATTAATATGATAGTGTGACCGCTTCCGTTTGGATTGAGAAATACCCTGTTCCCCAGATCGTGGGTTTGACCGAGAGGCAGGTGTTCTCCGCCCAAGAGATGGTGGGGTGTCTGGAGGTTGGGAATTCTGCCCGCACCGTGGGCTCCACGGCCATGAACTCTGCGTCCTCCCGCTCGCATGCGATCTTCACCGTCACGCTGGAGCAACGCACAGGGAAAGACAAGTCAGTTCGGTTTGGTATTTTCTTACACCGTCACTTTTGATCCACGTGTCTATTAAGTGGATGAACATTGCACTCTCAGATTTAATGGCAATGTAAATACTTTGCGATAAACAGAAGTATGAATTCTCTGTAAATCATTGTATTGGCTCTCGTCTTATTCTAGATCTAACCATATTAATCTTGCATTCATTCAAAACAGTGTTTTTTTGTTGAATGATCAGATTTGGGATTATAGGAAGCAGTTTTGGGTTTAATTAACTTTTCTCCTAATTTTGATTGTGAAGCCTAGAGAGAGGGCGGATGTTATCAAAACGATTATGTACAAGTAAATAACTGAAAACTGCTACGGGGCAAAAGATAAATATTTGTGCGGTCTTCTGTTGCAGGTCCGACTCGGTAGTTTCAAAATTACACCTCGTGGATCTGGCTGGTTCAGAAAGGCAAAAGAAGACCAAAGCAGAGGGAGACCGGTTAAAGGAAGGTAAATAAATACATTTGTATTCTCCCAGTGCTATATTCTGTAGTGTTTTCTCTCTGTGTTGTCTCTTTGTACGGTAAAAGTGCCCTTTAACTACAGCACTTTGGTTTTGATGATGTTCTTTTAAATTTATTTTTTATCTTCAGGCATCAGCATCAATCGGGGCCTTTTGTCTTTGGGTAATGTGATCAGCGCCTTGGGGGATGAAAACAAGAAAAGTAGCTTTGTTCCTTACAGAGACTCCAAACTTACCCGCCTGCTACAAAGTAAGCTTTCATTTACATGTTCAAAAGTTCCTTGGTGGTCCGAACATTCAAACCCAAGTTTCTCTTGGCTTTCACTGTCTGATGGAAAGTTTTCCCCCTGTGCTCCACTGATCACTGTAATGTTGAACAACATCTATGTACAGCTTTAGTTTTAAGGCTAATCCAACACAGTTGCTGGTTAATACACGACAGCGGGCTGCCTGTTCAGAGCCCCGGCGATGCCGCGTGGTAGACGACTGCGGGAGGATTTCACTAAAGCCCCTTTGGAAATCGCTCTCCTTGTTTGTTGCCAGACGCTTTGGGAGGCAATAGCCACACCTTGATGATTGCGTGCATCAGTCCTGCAGACTCGAACATGGAAGAGACCATCAACACGCTGCGATACGCCGACCGAGCGCGTAAGATCAAAAACAAACCCGTAGTGAACGTCGACCCGATAGCTGCAGAAATGAAGCGCTTGAGACAGCAGGTAAATAAGTTTGTGCAGTTACTTATTGTACATGTTCAGAACCTTTTTTTTAAAAGATGCATAGAACAGAACGTGGTGATGCTGGTATTACCTGTTGGACTAAATGTCCCAACTGTATTTATTTCTACACTTGTTTAGGTTCAGGAGCTGCAGGTTATGCTGCTCCATGCGCGTGGAGGAGTCGCCCCGGTGCTCTCTGGGTAAGACCTAATATTTTTCTATAGACTAATGTCTGACCAGGATAAGGACAAATGCGCCAAGGAAATGTGTCACCCACAAATAAAAAAAGACTATTATTATTACTATTATTTTAAGACTGTTTTCCACCTTTTTACTCCTCATGCTTAAAGCATTTTTTAGATTTTCTTAGATGACCAAATATGTAAAAGGCTGATTTAGTTTGAAAGTGATAAACGTTTCTAACGGCCCCTCTGTCGCAGGCCCGAGTCGACCGAGAAGGTGGCTAAGCTGCTGGAAAGGAACCGCGCTCTGCTGGATGAGAACAATAAACTAAGCCGGGAGCTGAGTGAGGCAGCGGGACAGACTGCCCTCATGTTTGAAAAGATCATTATGGTGAGCCAGAATCTCCGGTTTCTCTTTTACGATGTTTCTCTGACACGTCGCCGTTTCACGTTGTCACCCGTCATGTTCATCACTTGGTGTTTGCTTAATCCCGTAGACGGAGCTCGCGAACGAGAAACTGCAAAGCAAAATGGAGCAACTGAGGGAGCATTCAGCGTGAGTAAAAACACATGCTGGCAGAACGTCGGGACGGGTTTAACCTGAAGAGGAGACTAAGACTTTGCTTGATTTTTAACGACAGTCAGTTTTGTTGATTGTCGCTATGTTTCTTTGTTGACGAACTCCACAACGACCACGTCAAGCTGCAATCTTTATTCACCTTTTTTTTTTTCTCTTTATTTTTTCAGCTGCACGGTGGATCTCGAGAAAGTGCTGGAGACACTGGAGGACCAGGAGTTGAAGGAGAACATTGAGGTGATGAGGAACCTGCAGCTCGTCATCAAGGAGCTCAAGGTAACGAAGTCTCCTGGCGCTCCGTCACTTGAATGCAGCACCGTCGATTTGAAGGTTCATAATACTGAATACTGTGGTTTACCGTCCGTTGTTGTGCATCAGAATGAGAGTGAAGGCATCGCCGCCTCCATTGACGCCATGGCTGCAGGAGATGGGGGCGCTGACGTGTCCCGGAATGGCAGTAAAAATGACGACTCCGCGTCGGTACGTTGGCTCTTCTGAACATCGATGTTCACGTTAGATGTTGGTTAATATCAAAGCTTTACGGTATTGAGCTTTATCTTTACTCTGAGCGTGCACATTTCGTTGACGCGCTGATGATGATGATACGTTTTCATTCATTTTTTTTTGTAGTACCACATTTAATTTTTATTGAACGCGCTCATTGATCAAACAATAGATTCTTCTCAGCTTTCATTTTATTTCTTAAACGGATGTTAATGAAGATTGTTCCCATCGAATAGGAGGTCGCCGGCCCTGCTGGCAAGGACTGTCCGGAGGGCTTTTCTACCCATCATGCACTGCGACAGGCTCAGCTCTCCAAGGAACTGATCGAGCTGAACAAAGTGTTGACCTTGAAGGAAGCTTTTGTGAAGAAAATGTGCCAGAATGACACTCAGCTTGAGCCAATGCAATCGGAGCACCAGGTAAGAACTCCCACAATCCTTTTCAAATCCTTTTCATTTTTGGGCAATCCTTTTTTATTTGTTTCATAATGCTTCAATAAATTGGTGCGAGACAGAATACATGTCTCGCACCAACAGAATACATGTTACATGCAATAGTTGGAGTTAGCGCTGAGGTGCAACACCTTTGGGACGATATTGCCACGAGAATGAAGTGTTGAATGAGTTTAAAGAATAGTATTACTGTTTGAATATGCTAAAATGACCCATATTGTATCACTTTGCAGAAATGCTGCACAGGTTTGAATCTATTTGGCATCATGTCTTACAGAAGAATGTTCAGACTCTGCAGACTGCAGTGGATTCTCTGCAGAAGGAGAAGGAGGATCTTGTCTTCGCACTTCAGTCTGCAAAGAAAGACACAAACCAGGCTAAGTATGAAAACCTCTTTTGTTGGGCTGAAGCGGGGGGGCTTTTTTCGTTTGTTTGTGCCTGTAGCTTCATCATTTGGCAAAAAATCTAATTTATTTTGCAATCTGTTTTCCGTTCCCCCTTTGTACCACTGACACTGCATTTTTCCAGGCTCAGTGAGCAGCGCAGGAAGAGACTGCAGGAGCTCGAGGGCCAGCTGGGCGACATGAAGAAGAAGCTTCTCGAGCAGTCCAAGCTGCTGAAACTCAAAGAGTCCTCTGTTAAGAAGGTTGACAACCTCGTGCAGGAGATTCAGGTATGTTTTTTTTCTTTACGTTTAGTACTTTTGATGGGGAGCGGTGCCTTTGGTATGTTGCATGCAAATGTGCACTACTACCATACTGAATGGATGGTTGTGTTCTTACTGATGCTGGGCAGCGGTTGAATCTTTTTAAATCTTTCATGATTTCAAATAATCAATTAATTCCAAAGTAGTGTATTGCAAACTTTTATTTATGCAAACACTTTAAAACAAATAGTGCTTTTTATCAGCAGCATCCCCTCACCACAGTCCCCTTACCACAATATTGTAAATCTCAACTTCCAAATCAAATATAAAAAGGAAATATAAAACCAAAGCCAACTGCCACTGCCAGGGCATTAACATTGGATCTATTTTGTTTGAATAGCTACCAGTAGAAACACAAACCGTGTCTGTTCAAGCGTTGTAGTATTTCTTATAAATGTTGGTACATTGATGTTTATAATGCTTCCTGATGTTTACAAGAAGCAGTACATGTAGGGACATACCAACGGTATTGGTGCCTAGAATATGGGCGTAACCATCTTTTTCCACTCATCTCAAGCGTTCTCGTGTGCATTGTTTTGGCACAGAGCTTCGCCGATGTTCAGTTTGACTTGTATCGCATGTTCGCCACAGTTGCCCAAATCAAAATGCGTTACTTTTTTTGTTCTCCCAGGGCATGAAGAACCAGCGTACGCAGCTCATGAGGCAGATGAGGGAGGACTCTGAGAAATTCAGACAGTGGAAGGCCCAGAAGGACAGGGAGGTGCTGCAGCTGAAGGAGAAGGCATGTAGAGTCCTGTATACCTGCAATCAACACTTTATTCATGGAATGAAATCCTTATTGTTATTTTTTTTACTGCTTCATAACATCACGTTTTTGTTTGTTTGTTTGACAGGACCGTAAACGGCAGTATGAGATACTTAAACTTGAGAGGGACTTCCAGAAACAAGCCAATGTTTTGCGTCGTAAAACGGAGGAGGTGAGCACTTTTGGTTTGCAGTCTTTGCAATTCCATTAAGATCTACCAATAAATATGCTGTATTCAATGTATCCAACATCCTTAAAGTAGCACAACCACCAACCTGGCTCCAAAGTCACTTCCCTTTGTTTCTACATTTCTGCCAGTAGTTGAGTCTCAATAGTGCGCTTATGTCAGACTCAGAGGATTTCTGAGTGTGTCACTCGAAATTATTCAAAGCAATTTATTGAACTCCTCACCTCCAGGCCGCAGCTGCAAACAAGCGACTGAAAGATGCGCTGCAGAAGAGAAGTGAGGCATCAGAGAAACGCAACAAAGGAATGGAGGGAGCTGCTGCGAGACTTAAGGTAGGAAAACTTGCTTTGAGGAAAGACCTGCACCTGTGGACAAAAATCCCAACAGTATTTTTCATGCTTCCGATATGAGAGATCAGTTACAATGTTGCTGCATTAAACTCTGATTGTCTTTACGTGATCAGACGTGGCTTCTCAACGAAGTGGAGGTGATGGTGAGCACTGAGGAGGCCCGGCGCCACCTCAACGATCTGCTGGACGACAGGAAGGTGTTGGCTCAGGAGATCAACCACCTCAAGCAGCAGATGGAAGCAGGGGACCGACCAGCAGCCAAAATCAGGGTGAGACGTAAATTCTTGTATAAAATCCGTAAGAGACGTCCAATGCGCCAGAAAAGTAGAAACACAGGATCAATCCTTCTTCTGTGCAGCGTCGGACACTAATCATCTCCGAGCTGGAGACCAACGGGGCGCTGGAAACGCCTCTGACCAAACAGGTGGAGAACCTGGAGACGGAGATGGCCCTCAGGTGACTTTTAAACTGCTTCTTAAAACGCTCGTCATCGATACGGATTCTTTGTCTGTTGTCTCCGGGAAACACTGGAACGATTCGGGTCAGATCTGAAGAGAAGATTTGTACCTTCACAGGAACGCACAGATCGCTGACCTGCAGCAGAAGGTTCTCGTCGCCGACAGCGAGGGCCGCGTGAAGCACCGCCTCGATAGCGTCCAAAGCATAGTCGATGCCAAGTGCGCACTCAAGGTCCTCTTGTCTGAGGTGAGGGAATGCTAATTTGCATTTATATTTCTAAGTAGATAACGTTTGTGTTTCTTCAAAAAAACATTTTCCCCCTCTTCTTGTTATTTAGCTGGTGTCTGCTAAAACAGCCAGCGGCAAGCTGGAGAGCGAGCTCAAGCAGGAGATGGGGAATGCTCAGGATTTGAGGAAGATGCTGGCGGATGAGAGATGCGTGATGTCCACCATGGACGTGGAGCACCAGCAGCTGCTGTTGGAACTGGAGCAGAGGCACCAGGAGAAGGTGTCCTTAGATGTTACTCCTACTCCAGTACCAGTATCTCTTTTCAGAGACGCGTATACTAATGAGAGGTTCTGTTCTCTATGCTTTTCCTTTTATTTTTACAGGTCTGTTACCTCCTTAGTCAGGTGCAGCGCAAGATTGTATGTGAAGAGTCCGATGAGGCAAAGCAGAAGGAGGAGGAGGATTCAAAGCAAAACGAGCTTCTCCAGCGCCTCAAAGTTCAGGTGAGGCTTCAGTCAGCAATTTGACAGAATTTTCCACTTATTTTGTAGGAGCAACGAAATAGTGATCATGTGGTTATCTGGAATGTCGTTTTAGGAAGAAGAGCTCGGAAAGCTTCGAGAGTTAAGTGAGCAGAACCAGGCCCTGCTGGAGCAGAATGAGGAATTTAAGGAGGTAAACTTTATAACTTACTTCGGTAGATGTATACCGTGTACCACACACATACTGTGGGTTTCATTGGCTGTTTTTGTTTTACTGCCACAGAAACTCTCATCGCTCCAAGTGCCAGGTGGAAAGAAAATTCTTGCGCTCACAAGCAACAATGAAAAGACGCTGGACGACTCTTTTGAATACATTCCTCCAAAGGTAATTACAAGTATTGTACCTTCTACCTTCCTGTTCACCTTTTATTTTTATTATTTTTTCCCTACCAGGTTTCATCAGTGTTTAAGTTTTCCCCAAATTCATTGAGGGTAATTTATTCAGAACTGATGTCTACCTGTCTAAGTTTTCACCATTAGTGAATTATTCTGCAAACAATACCCAGTAAATGGAAAATGTAAATATAGTAACAGTCAAAAGTTTGGAAACACTCATTTAATTGAAGGAGAAAATGTGTCCAAACTTTTGACTAAAATCGATAAAGAAATATTCATTTTAAATCCAAGTGTGCATTATTTTCTGTGTTTTTTTTCTGCTGACCAGCCTAAAGGGAAGCGCTTCACAACGGCTAAATCGCAGAATATGACCATCAATGTTGAAGAGCTGATGTCTCCCAGCGAGGACGAGAGCGAGGGGGAACTGGACGAGTGGCGTCCTGAGAGACCCAATAAGGGACGCAGAATATCAAAGACAGCCAAAGTAACTGGGGTAAGACTGATCGGGGGCATCTTCTATAAAACCGCTGGAAGACACCGTCTGTCCTCAGCGATATTAAATCAGCCTTCCAATGAAATGTCATATCACTGAAACAACAAACGCACAAAATAAGAGTTGCTATGAAAAAAACAAAAAGCAACCTTTCTTCTGGTGCTGAGCTGTGAACGCCTTTTTTTATGAGATCAGTATTAATTACAATAAAAAGAAATGATATCTTTCTTTAGTGTGCGTGTAAAGGTCGCTGCGGCAACAAGCAGTGCAGGTGTCGCAAAGGAAAGATGACATGCGGGGAGAACTGCCAGTGTGATCAAGAGAAATGTCGAAATCTGGAAAGCCGCGTGCCTGCTGAGGTGAGTCCTCTCATGATTCACACTCGTATGTGTAAATACACATCTTGCGTGTGTTTCATCCACACTGAACTTATTTATCCTTACTGAAAATATTACATAATAAGCATTTCTCCACGTAGTATACACTGAATGTAATAAATAATAACAATCAAAATCCAAATTGAATTATAGTAATTCTAACAACTATGTTGCAGTCATTAGAAAATACTAATTAAAAAACAGGTGTGTAATTTGGGCTTTATTACATCATCCACATTTCTTCTTTCAAGTTAGATGTACTTTATGCCAAATACCTTGATTTGCTTTGTTGATGATATTCGAGCTATTTTGGGAGAATACAATAAAGAAGTTGTTTTACTTTTTTACCCATTTCAGGATGCAAGTCAGACGGAAAGCGCCTCCAGAGGATCTGTGTCTCTTCAAGATCCAACTTGCGACAGTCCCGACAACACCACCTTCTTCAAGCCGCCGTCCTGTACGCCTACGAAGAAGGTGAGATACAAGGAGGAATGACCGGCGTGCATCGCGTCGTCGTCCTTGACATGCGTGTCGATTTGTAACTGTGTATTTTGCCGTGTGGTGTCGTGTCTGCAGTGCTCGTTGCACACAGGACCTTAAAGGATGTAATCCTCATTACATTTGCTTATCTGCACTATTTCAGGTACTGAAAGAAATCGGAGACATGGGACACACCACTGCTGACCTGAAGTTGGTCAGGAAACCTTCCTTACCGGAGGAAGAGGACGAGGAGGAGGAGGTGGATGAAGACGATAATAAGGACAGAACAACAGTCAGCTTCCTCAAGAAGAAGAAAAGACTGCTGACGAGTTTTCAGAACAGTTTCTTCTCCGGATGCACTCCGATCAGAGAAGAATCTTAATCAGGACCGAGCCGTCTTTAAATGTTCTCTGCCTGTCTTTACAACTGCAATTAAACTGTCTTGTACTGTAATGAATAAAGTCTCACAGTCAAATTGTGTTTTTAAAGAACAAACTTATTTTTTGTCTGAATATGTACTAACATTTAACATCCATCATAAGTTGATGGAAAATAATCTAATTTGATTCTTCAGTCGTTAATGATTCATTGTTTACGTTGCAGTCTCTTAGTGACGTTTTTAGTGGAAGTGTAAAATATTAAACAAAAGGAAATCTTAAATCAACTTGTATTAATGTTATTAATGTTACACTAATCTGAATTTGTAGTTTAGTACAGCAGTAGTTTTGGAGGAGTGCATGTATCCTTTAAATGCTATAAAGAACAAAAAATTTGTTTGACCCTGTTTTGCTGTTTCTTAACTTAACTATGTTGTGCTAACTTTTTTTATTTATATTTCCACCGGGGATGAAAAGCCTGAAGTCATTGAGATCTGGTGACCAATTGGATTGGATCTTATTGGCTTTTCTGTAAAGATGTTCTACAGTAACATATTTGTGTTATAATGAAATCTTCACATCTGATTCTAACGTTACCTGGAAGATAATACATAATTACGTTGCTTTAGAAGAAACACAGATTGGAAAACGTATTTAACATAGCACGCCTTCCAAGCATGTAATGGCTCCAGCTTCTCATTTGCTCAGCGACCTGCTTTCATAATTTGTGTTATTTAAGATCTTTGGGGTTTGGGGCTTTTTTGGAGCAATAATTTCCCTCCAGAGCCAGAAACATCAAGGAGGGTTTATTAAAGAATTCTCACCATAAAGTTGCCGGTCTGAGGGCTCATCGATTTGACACAAACTCCCTTCACTGTCTCAGGCAGAGAGTTTTCACCCCGTAGAGATCCTCATCTGTCACAAGCCTCAAGAAACCGCCTCTGTGTTATCAAGCCTTGACGCACGTGGCTCCGTAGCGGAGAGCGATCCGATGGCTTCTGCTGGGAGGATGTTTGGCTGCGATGGCTTCTTCCCCCCCGGGGCCAAACCGACCCACACAATGCAGCGTTGTTCTACTGCACAACATCTGTTGTTTCTGTTTATTGATCCTTTTATGACCATAACGCAAAGTACACTCAGACTTTTGTGTCCAAAAGCAGAGAACATGTTGCACCAGACAGGAACATAGAGGAGGGGGGGGGATTACAGAAGGAACACTGTACGAGATTCAAGCAAGAAAAACAAATCCAGGGGCTCCACATGAAAGGGTAGCAGCACACAGAGAGGGGGGAGAGTCCGTCCGGCCTCGGGGGAATAGTTTATGAAGGCTCTCTTCATGATTGTGGCAAATATTCACCAGATCTCTGACAGACAAGGTTCTTTTTGTTTAGGATCCTATAAATAATTTAAGAAGGAATGAGGACAAGTAGTGTAAGCGGAGTCCATCACAGACACAGTTCAAACATTCAAGACATTGGGTGGATTTAGGTGGAAGTGTCCAAGCTCCAAATATGATATTGCCCGTTAAGGACTACCTCATTGATATTACATTACATCACAGGTCCTTTTAGCTGACGCTTTTATCCAAAGCGTCTAACATTACACTTTAAATCCATGGCTTTTTACATTTATGCCCAGGGAGCAATTAGGGGTTAGATGTCTTGCTCAGGGACACTTCGACTTGAGACAACCACCAACGTTGCAGTTCCCAGTGCACCCGCTCTACCCCCTGCGCCACGACGACCCATAGAAATCCTTTTCCTGCCAAACATTTACCAACGAAATGTACTTTCACAAGTCCCACTGTGTTTTGTTGGGGGGACCTGAGAGCTCATCGTGCATCGTGTCATCTCTGCTGTGGAGGGAAGATAACAAGGTGGCTGAGCGCTCAGGAGGGGCCGCTGAGCCAGTGGCCTCCTTCAATGCCTGCTGGTCACTGCTGGGGGGCGATAGAGGCCAGAACACACCAAATAAAATCCAGAAAGTGGACATTTGAATACTAAAGTGTATTTCTACTGCTGTGTAAGCGCTGTTAGATCATCAGCCTGCGGACTCTCCTTGTATGAAATGGGTGCTTGTGTTTGTTGCACACAATATTGTGGTTTTAAGATGCAATATGATATTGATCGCTCCAATGATTACATTACAGGTCATTTAGCTGACGCTTTTATCCAAAGCGACTTACATTACATTTTTAACCCATGGCTTTTTTACATTTTGCCCAGGGAGCAATTAGGGGTTAGGTGTCTTGCTCAGGGACGCTTCAACATGGAGCACCCGGGGCTCAAACCACCAACCTTGCGGTTCCCGGCGAGCCCTCTCTACCTCTGCGCCACAACGACCCCCTGATTATGAAATCTATTGTGTGTAAATCAATTATTTCATGAGTATCATTTTCTTAAATACTGCTGTAAATCAGCAGCAGCCAAAGCGCTTTAGCCAGTCAGCTTGTTAACGCAACCTACAACCTCTTTATGTGTATGTCTCTTGAACTGTGCGTAGAGAACCCAATGGAAAACACTAGGGTTTAAAGATCAAATGAGCTAATGGGGAGGATAGTAAAATAGTTTCCACGACTCAGGTGAAGGCTGACCACCTGTGGGAAGACATGGGTGTGAATCCGAAATGGGTCAAAAACAACTACTGTAGGTCCACGTTAAAGACAAGATTAAGATATTTTAAAGCCCGTGAAAATGCTTGAAGCTCATTTCAAGGTATCGTAACACTAATCTATGTCGTATGCAATGTGCGGGTGGGGCTTCATCAGAATCGAAACGAGCAAACAGTCAGATCATCAGATTTGATTCAAATATTGTAAAACCCTGATTGGTGCAAAGAGGTATGTGACCTCACCTTTTTCCAACCGAGTTACGCCCACTCCAAGGCTGTGAGAAGATAATACTCTCATGAAACTAAAACGTTGCAGACGTCGTCCCATTCATTCCATTTCAAGTTTCTCGGTAGTACGTACTAACCCGAACCCGAACCCGTGGGTAGAAGAAATGAAAGAGGAGATGTGATGCATCACACGTGCAACATATCAACACATGCACAGTGAGAGCTGGCCAGCGTTGGTGAAAGCACAGATTGTGACAGGTGACAAGAGAAGGTGAGCTGCAACCAAACGCCGATTAAGACTTTTTCAAACAACCAAAATGCCACGATGAACTTTAAGGAACTGAAAAAGGACACTGAAAGGGTAAAAATTAAAACACAAACAAACTCCCAGACTAGGCAACACCGTGGAAGAGACCTGCAAAGAGGACCATCGGTTACTAAATTAATCACTTATGAACAGCGCTTAAAACCTTATAGAGAATCAACTAATATCTACAATGTTTATTGAGACTCGTCCCCTCATGGTAAATGGAAAGAATTGGAAAGTTCAAGCCACTTTGACACTAGTGCACTTTCGATTGATTTGATACTGATTTGTATGCTGGAGGCATTGCCGGGGGAGGAACAGTCAACTATGTATTGTTGATTTGTAAACGTTGCTTTGTATATTGGCCCTTCCCCACATTGATTCCCTCACACCCCAAACGCTGCAACCAAATACACTTCCAGCGCCATTTGACCATTTGACGTAACACCCAGTGACGCGGTGGATATATGCCGTGTACCCCATCGCTTCAGAGCGCGTCCCTAGGCTACATTACGACCCAACCTTTATCGGTTGCTCAGCCAAATGTGTCTTGTACTCAAAGGCTGCTCACATGAAGTGACACATGACATGACATATTGTCTTACCATCTCAGGGGCCACTGTTTAACTACACAAAAAAGAAACAGGCAAAAAAAGTAGCATTTACTAAATCACATTATAAAAAACACCGATGGCACAATATGCATCCAACAGCCATCAATGGATGGGACCAAGTACATGAGCATTTTCTTTCAATTTTTTTTTCAATATGTTTTCAGTGTCTATTTATTTTTGGACTGTAGCTCACTGCGAGTTCTGTTGTCACGTACAACTACCTAACAGGGTCATAAAAGTATATGAAGTAAAGCTTATCTGGGAAGCTTAGATCGGAGCAAAGTCCAGTAAAACTGTGAGTAAAATATACAAACAGCAAAGAAGTAAGACATGTGTAAAAGAGGTAAATCGGGGCTTACATCATGTCAGTGACCACCGGGTCAAAACTTGACTAAACATAATTCCTGGATGCAAAACAAAATGAAAGAAACCGACTTCAACGAGAGATTGTTTGAAAGTAGGAATATCAAGTTTAACTCGGGAAACGGAACTCCATTAATAAAACAGAGTCAATCATTTCTGAAACGAGAACTTTGTGCGATGAGATTTGAGCAGCACACGTGACTCTCGTGCACAAGATAATTGGATGCTGAGCAGATTGATGTCGTTATCTGATCTAAAAGTGCAGCATAAGTGATGATGACCTTGGGCACTGTAGATTCAAAGGGGCAACAAAGGACTTTATCTGTGCAACAGATTAATGCTGCGCACATATTCCCTCTCCTGGAGACACTGGACTCTGCACTCGGGCACAGCAACTTTTGAGATAAGATAGTATACGAATGAAAGAGGAGGCAGAAGGTGTCCGAGATGCTTTAACTTAAGGAGCATGTCTATATGCCAGTGCATATTGAATGTCTTAAGCTACATTTAAGGGGTTTATGGAGGAGACCGTGAAACTGTGACATCCATGAGGAAACTGTTTGCCCACTTGAGGACAACAGCCCGACCTGCTCACACACATTCTGTTTCATTATGAATCTGCTCATATAACTTTTGCCCCCATTAGGTCAGATAACATCTCCTTTATCCCTCAGGCACTCCTCTACCCGATTACAAAGGAGAGATGTTGGAATCATATTAATGGCAGAGAGGAGTCAGATAAAGAAATGCAGGGTACATAACAAAATATAATAAAATATAACACTCTGATGGGAAGAGATCCTAAAGGTTGAGTAAGGTCGAACCGTTTATGAGCGGCAGTTTGTGTCACACATCATGAGTTACTTTTACAGGGCCCTAAAGTTAAAGAAATACATATCTGATAGAGTTCATCATTCAGTTTTTGTCATACCGTAATGTCATATGTAACACGATACAACTTTTTTTTATTGCTCTCTTTGCACTTATTCTGAATATTTGGGACATTTTGAATACTTTGTATGCCTCAAATAGTGCCCCCTGCTCCTTTCTCCCAATTTTTAGGAACCGTGAGTTTGCTGCTTTTTTATAGCAGTTGTGTGTCGGTGTGTGTGTGTGTGTGTGTGTGTCCATCAGTAAATGTCGACCGGCCTCACTTGCTGATACTCCAATGCATCATTCTGTAGCTTGTGTTGTGCCACATTTCAAAGTAAAGCAGAAAAAGCAGAGAGGTTATAGTTCAACTCGTTTTGCCGTGACCTTTTATGCGAAGGCCAGTCTTTGCTATAACCTCAATTCATGTGTAAAAAGTCTTGTGAGTTACGGTAGATCACACGCAGGGTATTAAACCATCGGGGAGACTGGTCAAAAAGCACGTATGGCACTGGGTGCAGTGGGATTTTCTGCGGGCCTTGAATACATATGTTGTGAAGGTGACAAAGGAGATGTGCTGGAGGCCGGCCCTACCCTCTGTGTCAGTCAGTGTGGAATCAGGATGTTGGACTGAGGGGCAGGGCGCTAGGCCTGTTAAATATTGACTGCAGGTGTAATAATTAACCATCCACCAACTCCCGATCACTTAAACCGGCCGCTCGGCCTCGGTGCCATTGCTTCGCCGCCTTTGCCGACATCTGCATCGACGTGCGCCTCTTTTAGCAGCTTCCTGCTGTTGGCAAAACCCTCCGTGTCTCCACCGGTCTTGGTCTTTTCTGCTCCGTTTCTTCTTTTTCTGCTCTTCCCCACCGCTGCTCTGTTCCCGGCAGCCTGCGCCTCGTCGCCCTGCGGCTCTTGAAACCTTTGGCCTTGTTCGGCGAAAGCCTCCGGATGGGCCGTGCAACCAGAGGTGAGTACAGCTTCCACCCAAAGCCGAATCAGTCGCTGAAATGTTCAAGATTGATACAATGCACGACGACAAGTTCAGTTATTTTTTTTGTGCTAAACCAGAAAGATAAATATTGTCAGAATACTGCATTTTACATGGAAATAGCTCCGTGTTTCAGGAAACATTATGTCTTATAACACAAAATCGGTCGTTTTCTATTTTCTGAATATATATTTTTTAAATAAATAAATGTAATAAAACCAATAATGTGTAATTATAGTCATTTTCAAATTGGTAGCACTGTTTCCTTCTTCAGAGGGTCCAGGGGTGCCGTCTGATTGCTTTTCTCAACAGAATAAAAAATGAATAATTTAATTGCTTCATAGTTTTATTGCAAGGCAAACTCTACAGAGGCATCGCTCTGTACGCTGCTGGCAGGCTGAACGAGAACAAAACTCATCACAGGATTTGAAAAATAACTGAATTAGTTTCAAACAGATTGCATATTGGAAAACTATGGAGCCAATCTTTTAGTAATCGTGACGACAAATGTGTGTGCAGGCAGGAAATGTCGGGCCTGCAGGTACATAGGTCAGCCACACCCAAATATTCACATATTGAAAAGAGCCCTGATGTTGACAGCAACCATAAAATCTGTGTTATCTGCTCAGGCCGTGGCCCTTTGGCCGGGGCGATTGGAAGAGCGTGAGGAATGGTGGCGTCTACTTGAGGCAATAAAACTGGGCGGAGGAAATTGCCGGGGTCAAAGTCACTCGCGAGTGGAGACGCCTCTCGTGCTAAAGCAAGTGCCTCCAAGTCTAAATCCAGAGTTGACCTTGCTCCTTCTCTCCGCTATCCCCCTAACCCTCATCTCAGGTATTTCCACACTGAGCGTCCATGTAGGTCTGTCCATCTGCAACACGGCCGACTTGGACAACAACAACCGAAGCAGATGCGGTTCGCTGTCGGCTCTTGTGGTGTTCGCTGGATGTAACAGCAACTCCATGTGGAAGCTGCGTCCAGTTCCAGTGGAGGTGCTGTTACCTGCAGAGGACCACCCAACGCAACACCAAGCCTTAGCTCTTCCCGAGAGGGCGAAAAAGCTGGTCGGGTCCTTTTCCGTTTGTAGGTGCAGCCGAAGAGCGATGGGACACAAAGCGATGACCTATTAATTGACAGCCAGTGGTTGTAAACTCTGCCTGTCAGTTCTCTAGGCCACTGCTGTGTTTCTCCCTCCCGAACGCCGGCAGAGTCTGTAAACAATGTGCATTTGGTTTAGTGGACGAGCTAACCGCTTCTCTTGTGGCTGTAATGTAAATCAATTGTTTTTTAAATGAGGTTTTATGATGAATAAAAGCCGTTACGTTATGTGAGTGTGAGTCGGTCATGTTTGCTCTTTTGGTCTGTTGATGATTATTATTTGTTTGCCAGGTTAGTAAACTTTTTTTTTATTTATGCAATTCAAAATTACTTTAAAGGGATTGAGATAGCAGAACGTTAAGCGAACATCTATGGTACACTGGAAGAGGAATATAGTATTAATATTTAATTGAATATGGATATATATCAGCTGACAACTTATACGTCATGACCATGAAAATTGCCGTAATAATCTATTCAGAGTGTCTTTAATTGAAATCAGAAAAAAAGTGTGTTTTCAAAATACCCTTAAAGATGCTCAATACCAAATTCATCTGTGTCCTCCACACAGCTCCTAACGTGTCGGCTGAGCTGGTCGCTGCTAGCAGCGTTCACAGCAACAGTGCTGAGAGAGCATCAAGCGCTGTGTACTTCTGTGAAAACACAGTCAGGCAGGTCGTTAGAAGCTGTATCGCCCAGAAAATGTTCATTTTGCATTCTTATATAAGTTAACCATTTAGACAGTGGGACATGTTCAAATATTGTTCATTATCAGCAGCTAGTTAGTCGGTCCATTCCATATGCTTCAACATTTCTAGGTGTAATCTAAATAGCACAAGACTCAGCTACTTATATTGGCTCGGTTTTCCTTACGATACAATATTCACAGTTTTTACATATATTTACCTCTGTCAACATGTTGGAGTACTGAAGGGCCGCCTGGTCCAGTAACACAATTGGAGTGACACCACTCTGAAAATCTGCTCCATTGAATCATCAGCCACAGTTATTTGATAAAGTGTGTGCACATGGATCTCATGGTCACCAGCAATATTATTTAGTTAAAAACCACACCACAAAATTATAATAAATACAGTAATCATTAAGGTCACGTCCCTGTGGCACCAGTGAATCACTACAAAAACATGACTGAAGGAGGGGTTTTGATTGAGAAAGGCAGACGGCAGCCGTGTGCCAGAATGTGACTTGGCCGCAAGTACATTTTGGGTCACCTTGTTAGCAATGTTATTAAATGCAAATATACATTGAAATATGCACCAGGAGTGTACAGCTGCCTTTGCTTCCAACCGGTAGCCCGATGGAAACGTTGTTGAATCCATACTGGGTGTGATCAGCAAAGACACCAGACCTATTGTGTCCAATCCGACGTGGCCGCTGAGGATGGGGTGGAGTGACTCTTTTGGACAAAAGACCTTACTAATGCCTCGAGGCAGATCGAATTTATCAAACTGCCTGAGACGTGGTGAACGAAGGCAGTTGCAGTTATTTAAAAGCATTAGATTTGAGCTGCTAAAAGGGGGCGGACCGAATATTACAGTTAGGTTCAGTCCGCCCGTTGATAGAAGCGAATACGGAAGTGCAGAGGAGTGAATCGCACTGCATTCGTGTACTCTTCGTAAATAGTGACGACGCCTCCGCGAAGGTCAATCATTTAATGAGCTAAACAAAGCTAAACAAACAAAGACACCGAGTTACGTATAATGTCCGCGTGGTAGTTAATTGATTATAGACCAGGTTAATCATAATTAATCATTATAACTGTGCCCGCATCGGACAAACTGTGTTTTGAGACTCGGAACCAAGAGCATGAGGGGAGACACGGCCACCTGGCGGCGCGCGAGCACTTCCTGTGACGCAGAGAGAAACGCGGTAAAACGACGTTACGGTGTGTGAGAGCAGAGCAGCAGCAGCATGGCATCCGGCAGCAGCGAGGCTAACGTTAACGGACGGGAGACCGTCTCCCTCAACGGGGAGCCCGTCGTTAAGCGGCCGCGTGTCTCGCACGATTCTTCCCTCCGCATCCCGAAGGAGCCGCACAACAAAGTGACCGTTGTGCTCGGGGCTCAGTGGGGCGACGAGGGCAAAGGGAAAGTTGTGGACTTGCTCGCGATGGATGCGGATATCGTATGCAGGTGCCAGGTACCCAGCTACTCGATTGTTAACGTTCACATTCAGACGGACTGCTTCGCGCTTTGTTACTTAAACGCCCGCCATCCTGTGCCACGGCTTGTTTGGTGGAAATAGTGCTCTCTTCCCTCCGGCGGCCGTTAAATATTAATGATCCGGTTCCGACGTCAACAACCTTGTCTGATATCCCGGATGTGGACGTGCTAAGTTAGTGCTAAGTAGATGCTAATAAGAACTGTTAAGAACCCCAACCCCCCCCCCCCCCACACATACACACACACACACACACACACTGCGGCTGTAACAAACCGACCGCCAGCTGTTGCCCAGCTGTTCTGCTCCCCTCCGCTTTTCACCCAGCGACATTTAACAAAAATGGTGTAAAAATTAGCATAGCTCTGTAATGCCACCCACAGGCGACCTCAACCGTCCCCTGGGTGCATGGTCTCTGCTGTTTTACCCTCCTTTCGGTGTAGATACCCTCATTGCGCCGAGCTGACCCCCCCACGGTGTTTGTGCCGTTCGCAGGGAGGCAACAATGCGGGTCACACGGTGGTGGTGGACTCCGTGGAGTACGACTTCCACCTGCTGCCCAGCGGCGTGCTCAACAAGAAAGCCCTCTCCTTCATCGGTACGAGGCACTGCGTGTGTGTGTGTGTGTGTGTGTGTGTCTTATCAGTTGTTGTGTCGTGTGGGTGGGGCACACTGTTTATGTCGTGCACTTGTTTTAGGAGTATGCTTGTGTAAGTACAGAAAAGTCTGCACAACTGCACGTAAGACTTGTGCACGTGGGTTCTCTTGATTTCCCCATTTTGGTAGATGTGTTTTTTTATTTCTACTAGGCAAACAGGAACCATTTAAGGAACAGTTTTTGCTTGAGAAATGTCTCAAGCACGGGTCTATGACTTTATTCCTCATGTGGTTTGTTAAGTTAGATTTGTTTTTTTCCCTTGTTTTAGGCAATGGAGTTGTGATACACCTCCCAGGCCTGTTCGAGGAGGCTCAAAAGAACTTGCAGAAAGGGAAAGGTAAAGTTTTCTAAATATGAAGCAGTTTTTTATTATCAGTATGATAAATGGCCCAAAGCGTTGTAACACTACATGTCAAATTTCACCCCTTTCTCACGCATTTATACGCTGATTGTAGAGTCTACCGTGCAGGGGGATAGACTGCTCGTCACACGGGGGTTAATCAAACTTATAGACTTGATAACTTTTTTTTTTTTAAATGACAGTTTCATTTGCATTAGTTTTGAGACTTTTAGAAATGTGTATAATTATCTTCTAATATGAAAACATTGTATTAGCTTCGGCTTCAAAGACATCGAGGCGTCCCTAATACGCTTGAAACCTGCAGTGAAATGTGTGTGATGAGGTCATAACTAATCATTTGGATGAGGTTCAGCCAACATGGGATGTGTTTTATTGCGTGCAGGATTACAAGGTTGGGAGGAGAGGTTAAAGATTTCCGATCGTGCCCACCTCGGTGAGTCAGCATTTCCTCACTCATATTTTTGAATGAAAAATGTCCCTTATTTTTTTTAATTGACGACCCTTTCTATCCCCCTCCAGTGTTCAACTTCCATCAAGCTGTCGATGGAATCCAGGAGCAGCAGCGGCAGCAACAAGAAGGAAAAAAGTAAATCTCCTGTAGTTTAAATACTGTATAGATTTTATTCTGACGTTGATATTATGATGGATAAATTGGAGTGATTGCATTGTTTTAAGCAAAAAAGGTTGTTATGAAAATTAAGTTTGCCATTCTTTACTTGTCCTCCAGTTTGGGAACCACCAAAAAGGGTATCGGTCCTGCGTACTCCTCCAAAGCTGCTCGCAACGGTCTGCGAGTCTGTGATCTTGTGTCCGATTTCAAGGTTTTTGAGGACAAGTGAGTTTTCTGTTTGTCTCTTCAAATTTCATTCACTTTCATATATTCACCAGTGTTTACACTATTATTATAACAGGAGGGTGCTCCTCACCAAGAGTTCATCAAGCGTTAATCACATTTTAGTCATCTGCAGTGTCGGGCAAGTTACTGAAAATGAGTATTTAGTTACAGTTACTAGTTACTTCTTTCAAAGGTAATTGAATTACTTACCAGTTACTGTGTATCAAAAGTAATTAGTTACTCTTGACAGTAACTTAGGTTACTTTTATGTCTGCTTTTTAAATGTAATGAATATAAATAGTACTGAACAGTCAAACACAATAAACATATTTTTTAGACCTATTTATTGTAATCAACAGGGCAACAGGCCTTCAAATCAAGCAATAGTACAAAAGTCCTTTTTAATTCTTAACTTAATACAAAATAACTGTCAGGCATTTGCCTGAAGGCAACTGACTCAACAGTTGACAGGATGCATCTCATCTTCGACATAGCGAGCAATCAATCTATTCAGCTCTGCCCGGTTTATCGGCTGCACTGCAGTCCGTGTAAAGTGGAGCCGTGGTTGTTTGCGTGGAGCGGCGCCTGCAGTGTGGTATATTGGATCGAGCACTCAGTGCTCAATTGTGTTTGACTGTCACTACGACGGAGTTTTGTGATTGTTCATGCCTGCCGGTTGTGTGATTTGAGCGCCAGTAAATTACCTAACTTGTACTTCATCCTCGTCTCCGTGAATTTGTATCGATTTAGATAACCCACGTATAGTATACGACTATAACAATGATTATGCATGTAGCATAAAGTCACAACATGCAGCATCCGCGGGCCTGCGGTCTTTCGTCATGAGCGACGCGATGCTGTTTACATGCACGTACGGCGACTATTCTGTGACACAAACGTTTGGTGGCCACAACTATTTTGTGCTGACAGGCAGCTATTTACTTACTATTTGCCGGCCCTCCGCTTCGCATCACAAAAGAGAGTAACGCGAGTAACGAACTCATTTCAGTAATTGTAACTGCGTTGATTTATTAAAAAAAATACTTTGTTACATGCTCGTTACCGCTAAAAGTAGTGGAATTACAGTAATGCGTTACTTTGTAACGCGTTACTCCCAACACTGGTCATCTGGGGGTCCACGGTTCTATTTAGTGTCATAGTAAGTAAGTTGCCCTCATAACTGTGTCTGTATCTTCGCCTTCCACCAGGTGGCAGCACTTGAGACAGAAGCATTATGATGCTCTGTATGTCATTTGCACTTCTGATTGTTGATGATGGTTCTGATGTTGCTTACAAATGGCATGCGCATAAAGTTTTCAGCAGCCTCTTAAACTCTGTCCTCCACAGGTTTCGCATGTTGGCGGAACATTTCCTGACAATGTATCCAAACCTTAACTTGGAGGTTGACAGTGAACTGGCGCAGCTGAAGGTGAGGACGGGTTAAAACTTCAGTGCCTGGAAATATGTTTTCACTTCTGATAATATATCTTCTTCGTGGCAGACCTTTTTCTTTTTACCCGTCAGTGGGCGACGCACACGTGTAAATGTTAGAATGAAGGATTGCTGAATTGTGCTGCCGCTGTTTCAAGGTCATGATGTTGTGCGTCCCGGCTCGCTGAGACTCTAGAAAAGTTGTTACCAACTACTCAGACAATTATACACCAATAAAACCTGTTTCATTTGTTTAAATGTTGATACGGTAATGCCACTTTTAAGACTATAATAAATAGGAAATCAGGATGATGCTATTGTTAATTTACCGGTTTTGTATTCTTATACGGCGGTTACTTCTCACCTGTGAATTGTGGATGGTTGTAGTTGGTATTTATTGCTGAGCAGTATTCAGTGTTTTCATTCTTCTGGTAATATGCTGGTCACTGTTTCTATTTGTTAGGGTTTTGCAGAGAGACTGGGCCCCCTGGTGACTGACGGGGTGTACTTCATGCACCAAGCTCTTAATGGTCCCAGTAAGAAAATCCTGGTGGAGGGAGCCAATGCTGCTCTGCTGGATATTGACTTTGGTGAGCACCTCTGTATATGTGGAGTCAATTCTAAATACAAGTCTGATGAGTCTCCCTCTTTGGTTAACTGGCGTTTCTCTGTCCAGGCACGTATCCTTTCGTGACGTCTTCTAACTGCACTGTGGGCGGAGTGTGCACTGGTCTTGGCGTGCCTCCGTCATACGTTGGCCGAGTGTATGGCGTCGTCAAGGCCTACACCACCAGGGTGGGCGTCGGTGCTTTCCCAACAGAGCAGAAAAATGTGAGTGAAAATAAAAGCCTTTTCCCAACTTGTTGATGCAAAGGCTCCCGCAATGACCGATCAATGTCATCGGAGTAAGCGGACATCGAGTTGTGATTTAAAGAATCAAATTCGCTGGGAACTACAGCAAAATGATGATTGCATAATGTCTTAAAACATCCAGAGATTAAATGTTTGTGACCAAATCGTGTGAGCTGTCTTGTCTTACAAATTGGCCTCAGAGGGCTTTACACATTACATGCGTTAAATAAAAGCTCACCTTGTTAGCAGTAGCCCCCCCTACTGTGAGCAAAAACGACACTAATGGCATCAGCTTTCCAGTTCCGAGTCAGAGGCAGACTTGTGGTCAGGCGTAAGCTCAAATCGAGGAGCTTCCCGGGAGAGAGGGGAAAAAAGTCTGCCAGCTTTTGCATTCTTCCGTCAACGGCAGCGGAGGGCAGTTGTTCTGAGCAGCTTCCACGCGAGTTCACAAACCAAAGCCACTTGAAAAAGGACATGTGCACTGTCCCGACACAACACGAGCCGAATCAACACCGTATCTCTTTGGTAAAGTAAACCATGTTTCTGATGTCCCGGTAACAGACGACCGCTTGTTTCGTTGTGTTTTAGGAGACTGGAGAACTCTTACAGACCAGAGGGAGAGAGTTCGGTGTGACGACGGGCAGGAAGAGGCGTTGCGGTTGGCTCGACCTGGTCTTGGTCAGATACGCCCACATGGTCAATGGCTTCACTGCGTAAGGAACAGTCCCGCCATTTCAGAATACTACGCTATTAGTGAAGCTGCACTTAAGCTTCATCACAGCTGAAGGGAGGGACTTCTTTCCTTGCAGAATCGCCTTGACCAAGCTGGACATTTTGGACACGGTGTCAGAGATTAAAGTGGGCGTGGCCTATAAACTTGATGGTGAACCTCTACCAAGTTTTCCCGGTAGGCCAAAACTTTTATAGATCAGTTCTTTGTCTGCCCTTTACAGAATAAATTGTATTTGATTTACACAATGCATTCAAGTAGGGGGCAAAGATGAATGAAAAGTAGGGCTGCATTTGATCACTGTATCGTCATGTCATTTATTTGTACAATTAATGGCTTTAGAAGGAGAAAAATATGCACCTCACAAGTCATGGAAATTCAACATACCTTCCTTTTAAATTTCCTTCTTGGTTTCAGACTTCACATCCCAGAAGTTATACGAGCATCATTGGTATAAAACTGTGCTGGTTAAGCAGAAAATCCATATGCAATTGAGAAGCTGTAACCAGTCCTATCAATTCTCAAGGATTTTTTTTGTACTCACTAGACTACAATACAAGGTCATGTGTCATCTCGACTTCCTGATCTCTGGCCGATACATTTTCATGTCTAAGACATGATGGATCCACAAACATTCTAACGGCAGAACACTGACTACTGTAAACACAGGAAAGGACCTGTTCTCTCCATGGATTTATGTTTCTGAAGGACTACAGCTTTAATGCTCCCTAATGTGTTGTTTTACACAGGTCAGCTTCTACTAGCGGGAAATGCAACATCTTGGCTTTTCGAAAATCTATTTTTCAGCAGATTCGATGGAGCGTTTATCTTCTGCGTATCTCTGCTCGCACCGTCAAACGGAGCAAATTGAATTATTAAGCCAATGATCCAGAGGAAGATGAAGCAACGCTTTGTGTGACTCTGTAGCTGCTCTCTGCCTGCAAGTCATCAATGACGCCCTTATTTATTTATCATCTGCATTGAGCTGAACGTTCGAGTCGCCTGTTTTGTTCCTGATCTAGATTTGTTTCTGAGAGTGCTCTCTGCTTGTGTATTAGATCAATTTACATTCTGGAGTAAGGGACCTCTGATCGGGCGCTTTGTGTTGATTTACGGAACTGTTCAATGATTCTATGGCATATTTGAATGATTGTGTATTAACTTTTTTATTAACATTGTAAATTATGGTTTACAATTCTGGGATCAGTATTTGCAGACGACACAGGAAACCTGTTTCCAGCCGTGCCGTATGGACCACGGCTTGACCAAAGTAATTTATGGTCGACTGTCCAGATTCAACAGTTTTTAAATCACAGATCTGTAAAAATGTGATTCTCAGTTCCACTCCAGAAATGTGCGTCGTGCTTTTGGAGGCAATCTCACATCTCCTGTTTCATACAGAGATGCTGCCGGCTCAGCGACAATGTCCCTATTCTGTCTCTGTGCCTTTTTTAAAATACAGGACACTGAGGCGGAATCGCAGCGCACCAGTCCTGCCTTGAATAACAAGCGACCCAGAAGAACACCCTCACTCAGGAGCATCCCATCCTACCCGATAATAAACTGTATGGGGGCGGCTAAAGGGCCGCCTTCCCGTGTGTTGTTTGGACTGAACATGTGACGATGCCAGAGCTGTAAACCCGATCCGAACTGATCCCTCACTCGACGTTCCAATGTGCTTCTGCTGCAGCAAACATGGACGTTTTGACGCGGGTGTCGGTGGATTACGAGACGTTGCCCGGCTGGTGCTGCAGCACCGAGTCGGCCCGGAGCTTCGAGGAGCTGCCGCTGAAGGCACAGATCTACATTCGCTTCATCGAGAACTTCCTGCAAGTGCCAGGTTTGTTAAAGTGTCACTTTTACACCGCCACTGTTGGCACGCTTTGCCAAACATGCCAGTCACACCTTGTCATTTTTATTTTTTTTTATTTCAGTGAAGTGGGTTGGAGTCGGCAAGTCCAGAGAGAGCATGGTGAAACTTTATTGATCCGCCTGGATGAGTTCAGGTTTGGTGAGGATTACCAAAGGAGTTTAAAATGCGAACTCCTCAAGGAAACACGTCACCAGCAAGGCTGTTTGTGAAACGTTCTGTTGCTGCTTGTGCATCACATTTGCAATCATTCCCTCCCCCCAGAAATAATTTATGCATACACATAATGTTTCCTGTGTTTATTTGGGTGTTAATTTTTAAAACATGGTGCAAAGGGGTGGATCGTCCTTATTCCATTCAACAGTAACAGTTTTTTTTTTTTTTTTTAACATTTGAATTGACATTAATGCATTTAATACTGTTTGCTGTGTTTCTTTTTTTTTTTTTTTTTTTTCAACATATTTGAAGAGCCATTGCTGAACAGAAACTTTGAATTAAGGGGCAGATTATAGTAAGGGATCATTTCAGGCTTTGTAACTAGATATAAAGCCATTGGGCGACCACTTCGATAAGTAACTTTTCTATTAAACATTTTTAAAAACTTTAAAAACATGAATGCATCTCAGTTTGACGTTTGTCATGTTTTAGAATGAACGTGGTTCTTTTTAGATCATCCTCAAAATGGAAAAATCAATACTAGATGCTATCTGGGGGTTGAATAGCTGTTACTTTCTAATTGTGGAAAAGTAAGAAGAAATTCCACACAGACATTGGCTGGTCTTTAAGAAGTTTGTCTAAATGTGAGGAAAATGACAAGAATATATTTCAATGTGTTTTCTAATCCATTCACGGTCAATGATGTAAAGACACAACTGGCTGTTATCAATAAAATTTAAACTCAAATTGTTTTAATTTGTCTTTTATTTAGGTTGATGTAAGTGTGCAGCAGTTAATTCAATTGTCCCAAAGTGTTAAAGTGAAATGTTTTAATCTAAATATAATGGCTTGTGCTGTCTTATCATCCCTGCCTTGTTTTGCGGATACAGATTTGTTATAGCAGTATTTCTTGGAGGCCTTTAGGCACTATTTGCAGTGTTATTCATCATCTCTGAAAGTCTCTGATCCAGTTTTAAATCTACTCCAACCAAAATTGTTAAATCATTGACAGATCATGTGTAGAGCTGTCACTTTGGGGGAAACCAATGAAGAATTGTAATTAACTGCACTGTCCGGGGAGCTTCGGTCCGTTCGCTCAGTTGCGTCTTCACGTGCAGCACGTTTTCTTTCGAGAAAGCCCTCATAGGACACGGTGAAGGACACAGTCAGCAACCCTGTGCATCACATAGAGGCCCATTTAGCAGCTGTAGTGCTGGATATTTTAGTGTGATGGTGGACAGATGTCTGCATTCTTCTTGTGTCATATTCTCCTCCCACTCTCTTACCATACGCCCTCCTCAGTTATCGTACTTCCTCTCATGATTTAAAAGCTTCTCGTCATGGGGGTATTAGATTAAAGTGTGGAGTGGATATCTTGGCAGATCGAGGATTTTAGGTGTAACAGATTCCTGGAGCTTCTCAGATATTACAGTCTTATGCGTTAAAGTGTGGAGCCAAATCTGAAATATGATTGAGTGTGTAGTCACTGCGCGTACATTGATGTCTGTCCTGTCTTCAAACACAATTAATCCAGCTGAAGTGGCTCTGTTCAATTGACTGGAGCCCGACCGCAAAGTGTTTTGAATTGTCCGCTTGCTTCTTATTTCTATTTATAGTGAATTCAATTAGTATATGTCTTTATTCGCCGTGTAAACATCTTGTTCACTTACTTTGAATGTTTCTTTTCTACCAGCATGGTTTAAAGGTCATATCTTATTAAAAGAGCAAGTCCCAGCGGTGAACTTAAATGAAGTATTGGAACCAATCTCCCACCACTTGTCTGATTCACAGCAGTTTCACATGTGCAGCTTAGTCTGCTGAGGTGGAGGCCGACTACTTGTGATGCTGGATGCAGTCAAGTCGTCTCACGCAACCTCGCAACTCAACACAAAAGCATGGGTTCATTGAAATGGGACATCACGAAATACGAACACAATAATGATAAAAATCTTCATCTCCAATGACTTGATGTGAAAATATGATTAGACGTTGGACATTTTGGGGCTGTACACGTCACTGCCTTTTACATCCCGCATGAATCATAATGTAGAGGTTTAATATTTACAACGTAATTACTTCTACAGAGTTACAAAAAGATCATTACTTTCCTTTTTAACGGGAACCTGACTGAAATCATTAGACCATTCTGCCAAATGGAGTAAAAAATATAATTTTCTGACGTTTTTTCCTTCATCGAAAGTGCATCTCCGGTTAAATAGGCAAAATTGCAGACGTTTGCTAACCAATCAATTTCCAGTGTAAGAATTCCCTGCGTCATCAGAAATGGCAGAAAGAAAGTGAACTTACAGTAGATGACTTAATTGAAAATAAAGTGCTCATATAGCGATGTAGTCCTCCTCCCCCCCGACGCCTCTTTCGGCCCCCTTCCTCCCTCCCTCTCTTTTGTTTACCACCACCTTCCTTTACTTGCGATTGAGAGCACATGTATCATCAGAACAATCAATCGGAGCCTGTTATTCAAGTGTGGCTACTTCTCAGATGCTCAAACTCACCAATTGTTTTTTCTGCCAATAGTTGGAGGCTGTTTGATTTACCTTTAAACAGCCAGCTAAGTCCTATGTGATATTAAACTGACACCGGGAATTGAAGCCATCAACCTATAAAAGTAAGGATTTCTAGATTGTCTTTTCCTTTGCATGTGTGACGAGGCGCGAGATCTGCTTTTCTGTGAGGATCAGAAGGGATTATGGAGGTAATGTAGATCTTCAATTATGTTTTATAATAAATAACATATCGGCATGACCTTTTTTTTAGATCACCCTTTTAAAATATTTGAACTATTTTCTGTTATTATGAAGACTACGATTCATGCTGTAGGAAGGAAACGTGTGTGAGCAAAAAGTAACACGGTTGGCAAATATTTTTTCTGCGTATCCTTCAGAGCTCTCTGATCAACATTGACCACTTAAGTTACAAACGATCATTACTTTATTCCTTCTTCATCCTGCACCGGGTAATGATTTACCGTACGTAGCCATAGCAATCAGACACCTGATTCAATGGGGTTGGACTGTCTTCAGCTTTTGTAGGAAGAGAGAGAGACAAAAGCTCTCCCAGATTGAACTGAAGGAGCTAAATGTATTTTATTAGGTGAGTGCATGGAAAAAAATCCAATTCTGCAAGTGTAGACACAAGTACAAAGAATTTGCAGGGAAATACGGGAAATGATGTCCAAATACATTATGACTTAGTGTTCTTGTTTAATGGATTAATACTTGTGTAAGTTTGTGTCAGCAAAAATACTATCGTTTGCCAGCAAAAATACTATCGTTTGCCAGCTTAATTTCCAATCTTTTTATTATAGTCACTAAGCTGGTAAATCCCCCACCAGGGTTTGTAAAACCTTTCCCTTGCTTACAAGATGTGTAAAAAAACGTTAGTATTTTGTAAAGTAAAGTCATATCACTCAGAAGGTACGTTAACATTTCACTAAATCCAATGTGAGAGTTCTGCATCTCATGATTTTTCTCTCACCTTGTGCTGTTACTTGTACAACAGCCCCTCTTAGCCTGGAATGTTGCGCTGGCACACGTGGCCCTTTACCCCCTGAAAGCTCAGCTGAAGTAGCTGGTTTGTTACTTAATGGCCCCTGATTAGTACGAATTGTATTAAATAGAAATGTCTTAGGACTGTTTGACTTACTGATTGATAACCAGCATCCAAGCAGCTCCAGATTTGATTCCTCACTTCCTTGAAGCAACAACATCGATTCAGTCAGCAGGAAACGCACAAAAGCCTCATTCACAAAACAATGCATGCATAATGTTTTATGTTCAATTAAAAAAGTGTGGCCAGCTTATCAGCATCAAGTTCCTGTTTATGTTTGCTGATTAAACGCTTATTTTAACAGACTAATGCATCGGATCTCGTGGTCGGCTCAGACTGAGTCTTGGTGAATTTGCCAACTTGACTTTGTGACCCCAATGAGCCTAAATTTCCTGAGCCTAAATACTGCAAAACTATTATGAGTGACAGCAATGCAACATTACACAGTGTATTATATATTTCATAGTATATCTTGTATGAAGATAGTTTTTCCATATCATTGGAGAACATACTGCATATTCCATTTGTTGTGGTCTATTATGAACCGTTAACCAAAAGAATAGTTTTCAGAGAAATCTTACCCCACCCCTGCAAAAAACACACACACACACACACACACACAGAAAAAGAAGGAGAGCAGCAGTTCTGTCAAGCAGATTGAATCAAGGATGGGACAGCAGGGTGAACGGAGGGCTGAGCTCGGCTCCCGCTGCAGTCGGCAGTCAGATCTCAAGTACCAAGTATTGATATGACCACAGCCACCACTGCACTGGACATTCAGTCTGACTCACAGGAGCAAACTTCATGGAATAAGAAGAATTCTACGAGGAGACTGAAGCAAATCAAGCTGCATTTTGTTTTCACATAATTATCAACAATAATATCTTTATTCATACACTAAAAGAAAGTGAATTCCCAAACTCCATCATCATCTCTGCCTCATCCCTGCTGCACCCTTTCGCCCTCTCTCTTTAATTCACTCCCCCACACTGCATATCAAGTCAATTTGATTGAGTATCTTTTTCCTCACTTTAGTGCTCAGCAACAGCATCCCTCCCCACCCACCCACACACACACACACAGGAAGACACACACACCCTGTATGCGGCTGCCTGAAACACCATGCATGAGACGACTACTCGGGATTCTTATAATTTTTCCTTTTTAAGGTAAGCACAAATGGGCGTGATTCTCCAGCCCGCCGGTCGCTATCATACATTTTTATTAATCAAACAGAATCTCTGCGGCTTTGTCTCGGTTGCAGCAGCAGCAGCAGCTGCACAGTTGGCAGTTACAGTAATGCAAGCGTGTTACAATCTTCTTTCTAGTGGTGCGTAATCTTTTTTCCATGTATGTATGTATGCAGAACATAATGATGTTGTGAACGGCCACAAAATACTTCAAAATGCATTTGAAAAGTGGATCAGTTTTCTCCTCAACTGACTAGTGTATTTTTAGTATGTTTTTTCATGGACAATCACGCATGTATAGTTGTGTCTGTCTCCTCATGTAAATACTGCATGTATATAAAAACCAGCCATTTAAATAGTACTTTTAATATAGGTATGATTTACTCTGCTAACTTGTGGTTGTAAGTGAACAGTCTTTTATTATGAATATTCCCTGCTGCTGTAAATCTGTGGAGAGAAGTGTGTATTTTGTTGTCAAGCGGACACACTTTATTGTTCTAATTTGATCAGATCTGCTGACTAAAGCTGGTTTTATTGTTCAGGCTTGCAGTCCTGCGGGTCAATTTAAAAAGGCAAGCTCACTGCTACAAATCTTTGCCCCTTAAATCATTTACAAAATGTGGTGACAAAGGGGAATATCGGACACATTTAATAGTTTCTCACCACCTCGCTTTAACATGGCGAAAATCAATTAAAGTGCAAAGCCTTGGCTCCAGTTTCAGTTTTAAAGAGAATGCATCTTGGTTTGAGCCGACAATAAGGAACCGTATGGCGCTGAACCTCAGGAGCTTCTGCTTCTCCAAAGAAACGACATACTCTGTAGTCCATATCTGATGCATTTGGAGGTACCGGCCCATTACATTTCTTCTGCAACTGCTGGTCTGCATTACATAAAGAAAATCGATCTTCCTCTATGATTGTTTTCTCCACCCTGATTCTACAAAGGTGTGACGTTCCAAAGACTTACCGTTTGCGTAGGATTAGAAGATGGCCACAAATAAGGTGTAACCATCAGGAAAACAACTGGTGTTCTGTGTGTGACGCTGTCCGGCCTCAGAGCTTCACCTTGTTTTTCACTGAGGATTTCTCTCACCAATGTCAGATTTGGCGAGAATGTGAAGTTATTGACGTAAATGCTGTGAATTCCAAATATCCCGTGGAAATAGGTGCCTCTGCTTCTATCTAGTGTCCCCTCCCTCGGAGTGTGAGGTGGGCGGCCTCCCCATCGGGTACGGATCCAGGGACTCCATCCTCAGGCCTGGTGACAAGGAGCACTGGAAAAGACGAAGGCGTGGCCCACTAAGGCGGATCGATAGGTAAGCTCAACTATTATGGGGGCATCAATCCGTCTATTTATGACATGGATCGCGTACGTTGTTGCACTCGTCCAGACAATTGGCTTCAGAACGCCAGGCGGGTCCAATGAAGGCCCGTTTTATCGAGAATGTTTCATTCAACGTGTGCGTCGGCGGTGCGGTGCTGCCTGAGTCCATTTAATGCCTCATGCGTGATGTTTCAGCTGCAGCAGCTGGGATCCAGGCCACACCGGCGGCGAGGCCGGCAAAGACAAAGCGCAGGCTGCGTTCGGACTGAGCAGAGGTGCAGCAATGCGCTGCTCCACCCTACTCGGTATCCTCACTGGGGTGCTTCTCTACTTGGTGCTGGGAGCCGTGGTGTTCCGCTCCTTGGAGGCTCCGCGAGAGGAAGGCAAGCACATGCGTCTGCAGGACGCGCGGCGGGACTTCTTGTTGAACTTTACCTGCATGGGCCCAGATGACCTGCAGACGTTTATAGAGGTACAGCAGAGCTTCTCATGACATGGCACTTCACAACATAGATTTCATTTGGAGCTCCTTTGGGTCCTTCTCAAGTTTAAAGCCCTGAAAAAGTATTATAAACACAACTAGCGAGCGACAATAGCGCCTCAGTATTATTAGTGGAGTGTGTGCGTGATGCAGGTGTGGTCTGAGCGGCTTTGTTTGGCCTCTACGATTGTAAACTCCTAATTTACTACAAGTAGCAGCATCTGCGGCATTAATACATCTGCAACGCATTCAATCACAACTTTATTTTTACTCAGTTTTAGATTTAACAAACGTCTTCAAACACCAACAGATAAGAAACAGATAACTAGGTCAGGAATACGTGCCGATGCACTCGGGACAGAGTGCAGCCGTCCCAGTCGTACATCACCAGTCACTTCTTTGTCGCTGACTGCCTGCGGCTGATACCATGACAACATTGACATGGTTATTTAATTGGATAATAAAAACAAACTAATTTTACTGTCAACATGTCAAAGGGGAACTGTGTGGGCTGACTGATGAATTGCTGAATTGTTACATGAACGACCCACTAAACTCTCCTCCATTTCGCCGTGTCAGGAAGTAGTGGAGGCCGTCGGCGCAGGCGTGGATCCCGGCAGTAACCTAACCTTCGTCAGCCAATGGGATCTGGCTAGTGCCTTTTTTTTCTCAGGGACAATCATCACAACCATCGGTGGGCGTCCAAGAGGAACAATAAGCCTGCCAACATGAATTCTGATTAAATAAGACTACTTGTGTGCAAAGAGTTTCATTTGTGACCTTTACGTTCGGCTAATCTTCCAGCTCTCGCATCTTCAGGTTTTGGAAACATCTCTCCCAAGACGGAAGGAGGGCAGCTGTTCTGCATTTTCTACGCTCTGGTGGGAATCCCGATGTTTGGATTCCTGCTTGCTGGAGTCGGGGACCATCTGGGTACTGGGCTGAGGAAAGCTGTTGCCAAAATAGAGACCCTCTTCCGGGTCAGACCCTCAACAGAGCTTCCAATGTCTTCTTTGCTTGCACTGCACACGCACTGCCTTTTATTTGTCTCATGCTACTGTGTTGTTTCAATCTGCTGACAGAAATGGCGTGTTAGTCCAACCATTGTGCGGGTGATCTCAGCCGTCCTGTCCATCCTGCTCGGTTGCCTGCTCTTTGTCGCTGTGCCTATCCTAATTTTCCAGGAGGTGGAGGACTGGACTTACCTGGAGTCGGCGTACTTTGTCGTTATCACCCTGACCACAGTGGGGTTTGGAGACTATGTTGCAGGTATGCAACAGTAATGGAATATGCACGTATTTCTTGTGGTGTGCACATGACAAAGGGTTCATCTTTCGTTCCATCAAGACTTTACCATTAGGCCTGTTTACATACAAAGTATTTAAGTTATGATCCCATTCTAACATAACATGTACTTATACAACTGTCCAATAACTATAATTTTTTATTTATTACTATTTATCGCACTGTCATTATGGAAATACAGGACATGAAATCTGGATTCAAGAAAAGAGATAGAAAGAGGGAGGTATAAGACAAGATAAGTGTCCATCCATCCATCCATCTTCAACCGCTTATCCGGGGTCGGGTCGCGGGGGCAACAGCTCCAGCAGGGGACCCCTAACTTCCCTTTCCCGGGCCACATCTACCAGCTCTGACTGGGGGATCCCAAGGCGTTCCCAGGCCAGTGCAGAGATATAATCTCTCCACCTAGTCCTGGGTCTTCCCCGGGGCCTCTTCCCAGCTGGCCGTGCCTGAAACACCTCCCTAGGGAGGCGCCCAGGGGGCATCCTCACCAGATGCCCAAACCACCTCAACTGGCTCCTTTCGACGCAAAGGAGCAGCGGCTCTACTCCGAGCTCCTTGCGAATGGCTGAGCTTCTCACCCTATCCCTAAGGGAGACGCCAGCCACTCTCCTGAGGAAACCCATTTCGGCCGCTTGTACCCGTGACCTAGTTCTTTCGGTCATGACCCATCCTTCATGACCATAGGTGAGGGTAGGAACGAAGATTGACCGGTAGATCGAGAGCTTTGCCTTCCGGCTCAGCTCTCTTTTCGTCACAACGGTGCGGTAAAGCGAGTGCAAAACCGCCCCCGCTGCTCCGATTCTCCGGCCAAACTCACACTCCATCTTCCCCTCACTCATGAACAAGACCCCGAGGTACTTGAACTCCTTCACTTGGGGTAAGGACACATTCCCTACCTGGAGTAGGCAATCCATCGGTTTCCTGCTGAGAACCATGGCCTCAGATTTAGAGGTGCTAATCCTCATCCCGACCGCTTCACACTCGACTGCGAAACGCTCCAGTGAGAGTTGGAGGTCACAGACGGAAGATGCCATCAGGACCACATCATCTGCAAAAAGCAGCAATGAGATCCGCAGCCCCCCGAACTGTAGACCCTCCTCCCCCCGACTACGCCTCGATATCCTGTCCATGAAGACCACAAACAAGATTGGTGACAAGGCGCAGCCCTGGCGAAGGCCAACCCCCACCGGAAACGCCTTCGACTTACTGCCGAGCACCCGAACACAGCTCTCGCTTTGGGCGTACAAGGATTGGATGGCCCCAAGCAAGGACCCCCTCACCCCGTACTCCCGCAGCACCTCCCACAGTATCTCTCGGGGGACCCGGTCATACGCCTTCTCCAAGTCCACAAAACACATGTAGACTGGTTGGGCATACTCCCAAGCCCCCTCTATGATCCTGGAAAGAGTGAAGAGCTGGTCCGTTGTTCCACGACCAGGACGAAAACCGCATTGTTCCTCTTCAATCCTTGGTTCGACTATCGGCCGAACCCTCCTTTCCAGCACCTTAGAGTAGACTTTACCCGGGAGGCTGAGTAGTGTGATACCCCTGTAATTTGCACACACTCTCTGGTCCCCCTTTTTGAAGAGGGGTACCACCACCCCAATCTGCCACTCTTTTGGCACTGTCCCAGACTTCCACTCAATGTTGAAGAGGCGTGTCATCCAAGACAACCCCCCAACACCTATTGCTTTTAGCATCTCTGGACGGATCTCATTAATCCCCGGGGCTTTGCCACTGCGGAGTTGTTTGACTACCTCAGTGACTTCCACTAGGCCAATTGACGATGATCCCTCCTCCGCCTCCAGCTCCGCCTCCACCAAAGAGGGCATAGTAGTTGGGTTCAGGAGTTCCTCAAAGTGTTCCTTCCACCGCCCGATAACCTCCTCAGTCGCGGTCAACAGGGTCCCATCCTTACTGTACACAGCTTGGATGGTTCCCCGTTTCCCCCTCCTGAGGTGCCGGATGGTCTTCCAAAAACACTTTGGTGCCGACCGAAAGTCCTTCTCCATAGTTACCCCGAACTCCTCCCATACTCGCTGCTTTGCCTCCATCACGGCAGAGGCTGCTGCCCTTCGAGCCTGTCGGTACACTGCAACTGCCTCTGGAGTCCCACCGGATATCATAACCCGGAAGGCCTCCGTCTTCAGTCGGACGGCTTCCCTGACCACCGGTGTCCACCACGGAGCCCCTTGATGCACCTAAGACCTTGAGGCCACAACTCACCGCCGCGGCTTCAGCAATGGAGGTTTTGAACATAGACCACTCTGGATCAATGTCCCCTACCTCCACAGGAATGTGAGAGAAGCTCCGCCGGAGGTGTGAGTTGAAAATCTTTTGGACCGGGGCCTCCTCCAGACGTTACCAGTTCACCCTCACTACACGCTTGGGTTTACCGGGTCTGTCCCGAGTCTTCCCCCATCCTCTGACCCAGCTCACAACCAGATGGTGATCAGTTGACAGCTCTGCCCCTCTCTTTACCCGAGTGTCCAGAACATGCGGCCTCAGATCAGACGATACAATTACAAAATCGATCATTGATCTTTGGCCTAGGGTGTTCTGGTACCACGTACACTTATGAACATCCTTATGTTCGAACATGGTGTTTGTTATGGACAATCCGTGACTAGCACAGAAGTCCAGTAACAAAGACCTGCTCGGGTTCAGATCAGGGAGGCCATTCCTCCCAATCACGCCTCTCCAGTTATCTCCATCGTCGCCCACGTGCGCATTGAAGTCTCCCAGTAGGACTATGGAGTCCCCTACTGGAGCCCCATGCAGGACTCCATTCAGGGTCTCCAAAAAGGCAGAATACTCTGAGCTGCTGTTTGGTGCATATGCACAGACAACAGTCAGAGTTTTCCCCCCCACCACCCGAAGGCGTAGGGAGGCGACCCTTTTGTCCACTGGGGTAAACTCCAATGTAGCAGCACTCAGCCGGGGACTTATGAGTATCCCCACACCCGCCTGGCGCCTCACACCATGGGCCACTCCGGAGTAGAATAGAGTCCACCCCCTATCCAGGAGTGTGGTTCCAGAGCCGAGGCTGTGCGTAGAGGTAAGCCCCACCAGATCCAACTGATAACGCTCCACCTCCCGCACAAGCTCCGGCTCCTTCCCCCCCAGAGAGGTTACGTTCCACGTCCCCAGAGCCAGCATCTGCCGCCCAGGTCTGTTCCGTCTAGACACCCCACTGTCACTGCCACCCTTGTAGCAGCGCACCCGACCCCATCGGTTTCCTCCACAGGTGGTGAGCCCATGGGGAGTAGAGTGTTGGGCCGTCACTCCTTCGGGCTGTGCCCGGCCGGGCTCCGCGGTAAACCCGGCCACCAGACGCTCGCTGTCGGGCCCTCCATCTGGGCCTGGCTCCAAATGGGGGCCCCGGGCTTCCTCCGGGCCGGGTAACTCCTTCCCTCTTCCGTTTTTTCATGGGGGTCTTGAACCATTCTTAGTCTGGCCCCTCGCCTGAGACCACTTTGCCAAGGGTAACCCTACCAGGAGCACAAGGCTCCCGACAACACAGCCCTCAGGTTCATAGGGACACACAAACCTCTCCACCACGATAAGGTGACGGTTCCCAGAGATAAGTGTATTATTATCAATCTAGGAGAAAAATAATATAATGTTCATCAAGTGCAATCACTTCAAATTAGCCGGTCTTATCTGCTCAGGGGGTGAGTCCTCATCCGAGTACGCCATCTTGCACCATCATATTCCGAGTGAAGCCCAGAACCCACGAGCCGAATGTTACATCCAGAACCTTTTGTGTTCCCCATTTCCTGAAGGCCACCGTAGTTCTATGACGTCACTGGACATATGACACAGATCAATAAATATTATAATACATATAACTGTGCAGAGGCTGAACTTTAACATTTCCTTTTTTATATATCCGACTTGCTCTGCCTTTTTAATATTATTGCTTTTTAACAGATGAGAATGAGCATGATTGGATTTACCGCCCATAAATATAACTGTCAGTTGTAATGCATTAAGTTCACTGAGTACAGACAATTTTCATTTGCCTCATATATAATTCAGGATGACTTTCTTTGATTAATTATTGATGATCTATTTTGCTATATAGTATCTTGTATCTTAAATGTTTAGTTACTCTTTAAAAACAGGTGAATGGATGAATGCATTGCCTTTACACACTGCTACTGTGTAATGTGTCTCTCTATATTCTCAAAGGGGATTCAGGAAAGGCGGGCAGTGACCATTGGTACAAGCCTTTAGTATGGTTTTGGATCTTGCTTGGTCTTGCCTACTTTGCGTCCGTCCTGACGATGATTGGTAACTGGCTTCGGGTTCTATCTAAGAAGACCAGAGCTGAGGTACTTCTCCTCCTTTGGCGTCTGTTTTTATCTCTTCCACTCCCTCTTCCTCATCTCTGCGTTCATCCTCTTCTCTTAGATGGAGGAGCTGCGAGCACACGCGACTGACTGGACTCAAAACATCCAGAATATGTCGGTGGATTTTCGCATAGCAGGCAGAATTGATGACCCCTTCAAACGGCGTCGCCGAAAGCGTCGCCACGGCCCTCGCAGCCAAGGTCACGCAGCATCGGCCGACGGGGCCCCTGAGGGTAAAGATGAGCAGGGTGAGAGTCAGACAGAGTCGGGATCTTACTACTCTTCCTCCTCCAATGAGTCAGGGTCTGAATCAGAAACAGACTCTCAGGTCACTCAGACGGAGGCAGTACCCGAAGAGAAACCCGCGGAGAGTCCTCCAGATCCTCTGCTGTCTCAGCCTCTGGACCACTTTGGGGAGAACCTCGCCTTCATCGACGAGTCTTCCGATGCCCAGAGTGGTAAACTACATTTGGATCCTCTGCTGGATACGTTACAATCCAACCGCACACGATCTCGGATGCCCAAGAGGAGACGGCAAAGAAGGCCGGTGCCGCAGAGAAGCCCCAAACTCAGGAGCTCCAGCCGCGATAAGAAGGAGCCCAATGGGAACCCCCAACCAATTTCAGGTCTTCCAGTGGAGCCTTAAGAATGAAGCTGAAAACAACCTAAGAGATATGAGAAGCGCTTATATACTTTCAGAGAAGTTGTCAATATAGGCACAGGTATTTGTGTATATGTGTGAATATATGTACTGCTTACCTACAGACACTTAAGGGGAAAACCTGCGGCAGCAGCTTTGGCCCCTTGCGGTTTGCATTTATTGCTCTTAGCATGCGAGCGTCTGTTCCTCAACAAAAGATGATGAAGCGATTTGAATGCCAATGTCCCCACTACTTTCTGAGGAGTTACTGCCCTCTACTGGACCAAGAAAGAAACACACTACCACTCTCTCTGCCTTTCACTAATCCGAAAAATGAAAAGCCACCAAGAAAACGCAGCAGTGGAATACTCTTGTTAAAGAAAGGTAACGTTGGTTAGACAGTTACTCTTAAATATTGAATCCTGCCATCAACTAAACGGGTACTAAATAGGCTCTTTGGTATGTAATAAAACCTTTTTAAAATACTGTGTACAACCAGTCTGATGGCCAAATACATTCATCCTACTGTAATGAATTTTCCTAATAAAGTTTCCTTTTTTTAAAGGAAAGCTGCATTGAGTCTTAGGAGCACATTTACCTTTTTTAATTTTTAAAAGTACTGTACTTGCTTTTTCAAGATGCTGTCACAGCACATTTGCTCCTGTGGGAAACATGATAATCAGCAAATGTGTTTTATGTCATCACATGTTGGGTTGGAACCCCAGTGCACAAAGAATGCACAGGAGGTCAAAGCTGAGCATAAGAGAGAGCAGAACCGTGATGGGTGTTTCCCAGAATATGTATATTTTTATAGACGGGTGAATTGATAGATGGATAAATGGAAAGTTAGATAGACAAAGATAGAAAGCTCTCTCTCACTATAAATATTGACGTATTTTGTGAAAATTATTCAAGAATCGACAGCTGTTATATTCACAAAGAACTAAATTAAGTGCAACAATATGAATATTCTGCAGCCACGGTTAACCCGATGCTGGTGCCAGATGAAAGGTCACGGGATCACGAAAGACATTAAAACTGATCCTCCGGAAACCATAAAAGTCTGTAGGAAATCTCATTGTAATCCGATGAGTTATAGTCGGTAATATTTAAACTGTACCGTCTAAATAGACAGGCCAACTGCCATTTTCAGCGCAGCTATAAGCGACGCTAGAGGAATATTAGTTATTAATAACATGAGTTTTTTTCTGAATGAAGTGTGGCCAAAAACTGAAATGCAGGCCATATTTGTTGCATAAAGAGGGGGGTGAGGATGAAATGACTTATGTGGCATTAATGATCACTCTAGAGAGGCTTATGCTGGTGGCGACAAGCCAGACGCGCTGCACGCTTTCAACAGCATACATACAGTTCCGTATTACGGATGTACTGTATAGATGACCTTCAGGTTGTCAATATGGCCCTTTTAGCATGTGCTGTTGCTCCTCAGTTGATCCGTGTAAGTGATACTCCGCTGGAAACCCTACCTTTGTGTTTCAATCTGAAAATGGCACCAAAGACAAACATGGTGCTGCAGCAAATTGTAACTGCAGGAGTTTTATGCCTGTGTTTTATTTTCCAAAAGTTGATCTTGCATAATATCCACATAACAGTTGATAGTCATTTGTGATTGCCCCTCCCCTCCCTCGCTAAGTAAATGAATGTCGATTTGATTTTCTTTTCTCTCCTTGAACACAACCAGCAGATGGCACACTCAGACATTTCCCTCCCTAGGCAAATTCAAGACTTGTTAAAACATCATGCTTTCATTTATCCAAGGTTTTATGACAGAACTTGTGTTTGATTGTTGGCGTCCGAATGAGTTTGAAATGATACAAATCGAACTATGCATTTGGTTGGTGAGTCAGCACAATATTATGGTGAGTAAGCGAAATGTGTTTTGAAGGAGCAGAAACCAAGTTGACTGTTGATCGGCCCCTTAGAAATCTGACACTTTACTGCGGGATGTGTAAAAAGAAAAGGCCGCGTTCTGGCAGTGCGATCAGGAAGTCAGCAGGCAGTGATGATCTGCTGTGGCAGTGGGTGACCTTTCACTGGAGGACATACACTCAGCTGCTATAACGTCATCAGTTCCGCTGCTGCGGTCCCCGCCTGCTGCCACTAGAGGGCCGATAATGGGCAGCGTTAGTAGTGCTGATGTAGGCGACACTCCTGACCCGGAATTAAAGGGAAACTTCACCCTAAATTTATAAACAAGACAGGTTTGCACACCTCAGTTTGATGACAGAACCACAGACTGTAGTGATCCCCTGTTTGAGAGACAAATCCTGGAACTGTTCCATTGGACATATTCTTTCACAAATGGACAGCATGGACTAATGGGATTAGACATCTTAGACAAAACCTCTTTGAACACATGTAATTAGTCCTTGCAGTGGTGTGAAACGCCATCAAATTAGTTACCTTGATGGCATTGATACTCTGATCTCCAATTTAGTCAAACATCTGTCAGCATTTCTAGATCTAGACTTTTAATCATTATAATATATAATGCTCAGTTTTAGGATACTTTCCCTTTAGACTATACCGTTATACGAATATGTATAAAATACATTACGACAAAGACAAAGTTTTTGTTGTTTGGCCACAACAGATTGAAACGAGCCCCATATGCAGACCAATGTGTTTGTAGAATAGGTGGAGGCTGTTCTCTATCAGTTGCGACATGACTCACGGATATAGTGCCCAATGCTATTTGTATATCAGGCACAATGGCGTCTTGGTATTCATGTAGCCTATCAGCCGACACCTGTCTGGGGTCACAACCTGCTGTAAGGAGCAAGCTTGGGCACCTCAGCTGGCATTCAGAGTTTAGCCTCTTCCTCCACTTCTGCTCGACCACAAATCCTCAGCGACGACTAGAGACACCGATGTACTCGTACCTTTAGAATGCAATGAATCTCAGAATAACATACTGTGGCTAACAAATCCCGTTTTTTTCATTTTTATTTGGGCCTGAATCTTGTGAATATAGCATGCCCGGTTTCCCCTCTGACAGGCTGTTAATGCAGACTCTGCACCAGTATGATGCAGCCCCGTAGAATTGCAGTGTCTGCAGCAGAGCCTGGATGACCTTGCTTCAAGGTCGCAATGACACTGCCGTCAGATTTTCCTCTCGTGCGCGCACACCATGAAAAAAAAAAAAAAGCTCACGCCGCGCCTCGAGCGCGCTGCAGAGCCTGCACGCAAACGTCTCAGCGCGAGCGCAGCTCTCGCACTTATTGGTTTAGAGAGACTAGACCAACGTTTATTGGTCTATAATTAGAGGGATAATGCTGCGCTCTTTGGGGGGAAACACTCACTCATCCAGAGTACGAACGTCGGCCTCCCACGTGTTCTCTACCCAACGTCCTGTTCGTATTCTTTAGTGGACGAGGTTCTCTCAACAACTCGTGTGTGACAACTTCTGCGCCAGCTGTTAGCAGGCATGTTGCGGAGCGCATGGGGCGGCCTATTTCGAGAAGCGCTGTAGCCTCTCAGTTAACCAAAAAAAAAATAATTTAATCGTTGTATCCAACACAAGAGAATGAGACCTATTCGATGGTACTATTTTTCTGAAAACGTACCTGCAGGGTGGTGTTTTATTCCCCAAACTACTATCCCTTAATTATTTCACCGTCTCATCCCATTGCAGTGATCTCCTGATCTCCTCTTCCTTGGCTCCTGTCCAACTAGTGTAGTGGCGGAAAGGGCCGGTTCAGTGTCACAAGACTGACAGCACGACCACATGTGACATGTAACCCATTATTTAGGTCTGTTCTGAAACTGTCGCTTAAAGCGTGTGGTAAAAATAACTATACGCTACTATACAAGGAGAAATGTAACTACAATGAGGGGCAAAGAAAAACAAAGCAAAATGTAATCGTAGTTTCATTGTCGAGAGCCGCTAAAGTACTAAACATGTCCCTGTAGGAATGTCATGCATTTTGTTTTACGGTCGGAAATGTATGCCTCAGATCTTAATAAATATACATGGACAGCATTTGTAGACTGGGGGATATTTTATTCACGAGTTGCAGGCCCGCATTATAATGCAGATGACGCCAGTGGAAGGTGCGTGCGGACGTAACGGAGACTCAGCCGACGCAATTTGGTCAGAGGGAGGAGCGAGCACGCGGGGCTGGAGGCTACGTCACTGAGCTGCGTCAAGCTGAGGAAGAGGGTGGAAGTCGCGAGGGAACCGGAAGTTGATTCATTTGAGCTTGTTCAAATAAAACCACGTTTGTGAGTTTGTGTTGATTTAAGTGATATACTCGTTGATTGTGGATGTAGTGTTATGGGATGGCCAACGTTGTAACCCTAGAAATCGCTTCGGTTTTATTATTGAATTGTTATTTATTATTATGCGAGTCGAGTCAAGTTTTGTAGTGAAGCTTTTTTTTTTCTTACCGGATATTCAGTGTTGTTGCTACAACCTCAGCTGGCAGCAAGGCAAAGAGAATTTATAACCCCCCCCCCCCCCCCCCCCCCCCCCCCACGGTACGATCGACAAGCGGACAAGACGTCGCCGTTGTTGTTGTCACACCTTTCCACCGCGACACGTGATGCGACGTGAGAGCCCCGCGAAGACAAGGACGGCCCCATTAACCCGTCAACTGTAGAATTACCAGCCGCGAGGACGTGATTCGCTACAGATTTTTTTTTTAAAAGAAGAAGGAAAAACACATCAACAACCCTGCGATGCTTCTGCGTTTCCCGGTGAGTAGCCTCTCATCGCCTCCCCCTACACCACAGCGATGGAGCCGGGCTATTATTAATCTTAGTGCGGAGCTGTCAGCTGCCTCGGCGGCGGGCTGATGTGCACACGCACGATCCGCCCGTCGGAGCTGATTTCGCGTGGCCACGTTGTTTGGGGCTCGGGGGGTAAAGGTTTAACAGACTACATTGTGAAATCATTTTGCAGTCAGAAACTACACTCTGTCTACTTCCCACGGAAATACGTGCCGTACTACCATATGCGATAGCCAAAGCTGCACTCCGACCCCCCTATACCCACACACACACACGCACACACACACACACACACACACACACACACACACACACGCACACACACACAATACGCCTTAATACATGGGATGCATGCCCACTTATTGAGTAAATAAAGAATGCATGGTTGAATGAGATGCCGCGGGTGACTGTCTCGGTTCCCCCGCAGCTCCACACGTGAAACGGCTCCTGTTTAGGGAAATAACACCCCGCACTTCTGCAACTGTATACAGTAGCTTCTTTTTTGTTTATGTGTCCTAACCATTCTGAGTGATTTCTTCTTTCTGTCTCAGCACACTAAACTATGCATGACACCGAGCCTGCGGGACCCGGGATTGAGGTCGCTGATCTTTAAGCATAATCCACTGTGGCAATTAACCTTTCACCGGTCCGAGATCAGTAGACAAGGTCACCCCTGGGTGCTGTTCTCTCCGTCTCCACAGCGCGCCGCATTTAAAACCTTCCAACTGGGCTTTATAGGCCGTGCAGTCAGTGTGATGGATTACCAGTGGAAAAAAAACTATGGATGCCTAGTAAATTAAGTTGGATGAGAAAGGTCTGAAACCATTGAGGACTGGCTGGTTTCACAAAACGTGCTGGTTATTCAGAAATATACATTAATAGCCATTTTATTTTTAATGGTCATTTAAACAATCTAAATCCACATCTTTAACTTCAATTAATATTCGTTATTAAAGTGTCCCCTTTGAAAACTAAACTTGTCACACATTACAGCCTTGAAAGTTGCTTAAAGAAAACGTTTCTTTGTGTTTCAATTTAAATAGTAACTGAATTATGCTGTGTGTTTTTTTTTTTTTATACATTTAAACTGTTCTCTTTAATTATTTACAGAGAGTTATCACCAAACTTCAGCTTATGACATTGCATGACTAAGAGAGACAAGGTGTTGGCTTTGCTCTTTCTGTCCTTCAAGCATTCCTGTGACTGTGACCTTTGGAGTTAGTCGTGCGGGGGGGGGGGGGGCCTATTTGCCGCGGGCATGAATATGGACCGATACCTTCAAATATGTATTTTAGGGAGGAGAAATCAGTCATCGTGGGCCCCGTTACAACTCATTAGTAATCTAATAACTTTAAGACTTGATAGAATGTTCTGTTGTGACCATTAAAGTGACAAATGGCCGCTGAGAACACAGAAAGTGACTCTGCTGCCCGGTGACGGGCCTGAACAACTCTTGCTTGCTTTGCAGGTGTCCTGATAACTGCAGCTTTCAACCCAAAGCAACGGCACTCGTTTAAACTACCACTGGGAGCAAATACTATAGGCTTCAGACTCCAGCTCGTCTAACAGGTAATGTGTACATATCATCTTTGATGAAATATTTATGCCGTGCTCCATGGGAAATATTTTGTCCTTTATTTCTGAAGTTCATTCTTCTAAGGCTTTGAAGGAGTTGAATGTCTTGTTTTGAAAACACTTATGGCCACATGAGGGATGTGGACTGAGAAACGCATCAAAAACACCAGAGAAAGATTTTGATTGTGTTGGCCTTCCATTTCACATCCAGAATATTAAGATAAAAAAAGGAAGTGGCTTGTGATGCTTATCATTCTGTTGCAATCGATAACCTTGTGTGGCATGATGAAAACATGGGTGACTGCCCTGCGACTGCAAATAGGACAAACAAAGGACAAGTAGAGGAGATGGAAGATCACTCTCCGCTAAACCAGGATAAATCAATTCGTTCCCATCCAAAGTCTATGTGTGAGGAGAAAGGCGCAGTCCGAGGGTCCCAAAATCTATTTCTTTTGTGGATGCTGAATGTAGCCTGGGACAAATAAAACCTCTTACAGCAATCAAGATGTGTGCCTAACACAACGTAAAGCAAGACGCCTGACATTTGCTAATATGCAAAAGGAATTTACTTTGTATACCGCTGAGGATTAATGGCTATAATACAACGTTCTAGTCAGCACATTATGAGCCTATATCACGATAAATATAAATATGAATAAATCCCGCCACACGAACAGTTTCTTCCCGTCGGCAGTCGGGCTCATCAACAGAGCCCGGTCCCCCACTGCCTGACTATAACACTCCACCGGTCACTCCCCCTCACACTGCACATGCCACTTTAACTGCAATTCATCACTTTGTCACTTGTCACTTTGTCTCTTGTCTGTTACTTGTTCGTTAGTGCACTTTATGCTTAATATTTTTCTTTTTAACTTTTTAATATTTAATTTTTTTTAACTTTATTCCCTTGTTTTATACTAACCCATAGCCTTAGCCTTATTCTACTAACCCATTGCATTAGTATTTCATTCCACTTTATTTTATTACTTGTGCACTGTTGTCTTGTCTGTCTACTGTCGCGCACTAACCGCCAAGACAAATTCCCTGTATGTTTGACATATTTTGGCTAATAAATGTTTCCTGATTCCTGATTCCTGATAACAACTAGGATTTAACATATTTATCCAAGGACGCCTCCTCCCTTTTATGGCATTCAAGCCAATGCAAAAAACACACGTCTACTTACATTTCGTTCATTTGGCAGTGAAACCACGATGAAAAGGGCTTCTACAGCTCCTTGACCTTAATGTGTTACAGCTTCACTATATCCAACCATTATCATCTGCCAGCTGTTAGAGGAAGCGAGTGTAGCCCGGCCCATTCTCACACACACACGTAGACACCTTTCACACACACAGCAGGCACCGGCAGTCTGCAGACTTATTTTCTGTCAAACTTGTGTCATGGTGTCCCACCGTGGAGAGACATAGAGGCCGTCCTGGTCCCCGCTATCCGGTAAGATGCAGCCTAGTCCGGGTCAGGGAGACACAAGTACGCGTAGGCCGCAGCGGGAGAGCGCCTGGTCAGTCAGGATTAACGCTAGCTGCTACTAGCTTAGTTAGCTAAGCTAAGCTAACCCGCCGTTATAAGGCGTCCGCGCTGAAGCTAATGCTAACGCCACTCACAGCATGCCGGTGTATTAACTTAGTTCGCGGGACACGTTTCACGTCGAGTGGCCGAACCGTCGTGACTGAGACGAACAGTAACCACGGAGTTATTACGGCTTTCTTTAGAGGATTCCGCTTCTGTACGCGATGTTCCTCTTTTGCTCGAGGAGATGCCGGAGTGGCCAGCGGTGCACATGGGGCAGGTTTACTTGTTGTTGTTTACTTGTACTTGCTTTGGAGGAATCCGTGTCCCACTGTGTAACATCTGGGCTCGTGTAGCAGCGGGGGTGTCGCTGGCTCACGTACACCCCTCGGCCCAGGTGAGCTAAACTTTAAACCAGAGTTTGCAGTGACCCTGTTTTTGCTGCTTGCCAAACAGCTACAATCAAGTCCCGAGGGGGCAAACTCCACAGAGAAGACAAGTCCGCTGCCACCGGGCTGGATTATCAGCCGGGGCAATAATTATGATAAAAGGCACACTTGTTTTGCCATGGTTTATAACTGTTCCTGGACGTTAAAAGTATTTTTCTACAGCCATACTTGTATGCACATATGTTGAGATGTTGTTGTGGCATCATAGTATCCATGTAAATAAAGCCTGCCACTCTTTTCCTCAGTCGGTAACCAAGTCTGATATTAAAAAATAAAAGAAAGAAAAGAAAAAGACTTTGATTGCTCAGATTACCTGTACTTGCTCTGACTGAAAAAGGAGGCAAATCTATTTAACAGATGGATTAACAGTGTCTCTCATCTGTTGTATGTTAGTGCAAGTACAGAGCATCATCATAGGAGTGTCAGGTCTCTGAAGTGTATCAGAATGTTGACTTATCAGTTATGTATGTTATACATGTCCATAAATAAGTAAAGTAATGAATATGCATATCAGATATCTGAGCATTAGTCAGGACTGAGCTCCTATTGATTTTAGGCCTCAAACACACAGATTGATTGACACAAAACAGGATGATAGTTGATTTGTTTTGAGACTGCACAAAAATTTAAAAAATGATAATTTGATATGTTGTAAACGGTATGTACCGTATAGCCTTTTGGCGGATTACACCCATACTGACCTATAATTACGTCAGTAAACCATAACGGCGCGTACAGAGTGAACAACCACACGTAACGTTGTTGGCACGGTGAGGGATTTGAGCATTGAACCAATAAGCAATGCTTTTCAAATATTGCACCGCTTTGAAAATACACAGCCTGCAAATGTATTGTCACCTTTACTGATGAACAAGGAAAAAATCGGTTGTTAATCGCTGTCAGTTGCCAGTTTTTATCAGTATGAAAATATCCAAGTCACTTTTGGTTCTTAAATGGATTAAAGCTATTTAGGCTGCAGATATCGTCCTCACACAGGAATCTATTAAGTTGGAACAAGAGCACAATCGTTGGAGTGTGGCTCTGCATTAACGTATCCGCTGCTCAGTTGAAACCCAGAAACGACCTGCAATTCACGGCCCGCTGTTCATCCATTTTTCAGATCCCTGTTAATGGGGCCAATCAACAAAAACGTAATCTATGTCTCTATCATCGTTTGCTAATTTCAGAACAAATGGACATGCACACGTACTGACTTGGTGCCCTCATTATGCAACAGGTACACCGATTTATGAAGTGACTGACATGGTTGGGGGCATGGCAGAGTGGTGGTCACGTTAATCTCACACTTATTCAAATATTGACACTCCTTAAAAGCACAAAATGCAAGAGTTGTCACTCCTGACATTGAGTTAATAGAATTGTAATGGATTTTGTGATCATTGTCGGTGACAGGAAAATGTGAAGAACACATACAATAAATTAACTATAATCTTGGAGCCATGAGTATTGTGTAAACCACGGCTGTCTCTGCATTCAAATTGAGAACTAAAGACGGCCCTTGGCAGGCGAGCAGGTTGCCGCAGTACTCTGGCCGCCTTATAAGTTATGTGTCTGACTCGGGAAGAGCGGTCACTGTTTATGAGCAGAGTGACCTTCATCCAGTCACCTTGGCTATTTTCATGGCTGGAAATGTCACAGACCAAGACTTCCCACTGCAGGGAGGATTAGAGGACCTGTATAGTTATATTTCAGACGTAAAAGGTTCTGTTTGAGTGAATCTAAGGTTTTTTTTGTCACCCTCAAGAAAAACTGAACTGAAAAAAAGGCACGTACGACACAGGAAATAATCTGCCGTAGAACAAGATAAGGAACACGCTGGCCCTTTGTCATGTTATAATGCTGATAATGTCAAATCTCGGTGCTTTTCACAAAACATGAAGAATACTGACCGTGATGGTAATTTGACTTAACCACAGTAGATTTGGCTGCTATACACCAGGGGCAGTTTAGCGTATTTTGGGCTGTAAATCATTTTAGATGCTGTTCTCTCTGCATAGGTACTTTTGTTTTGCAACCAGATTAGGGCAACAATCTCACTACAGCTCTTTATTCCCAGTTCTAGCCGGTATCCTTTTAGCGTTTTGGAGGCCTGTTCCCTCTAATTCCTGTCTACTCTCAAACAACCCCGTATGCTTAAACTGTCAGTGATGGTTTTCACCAGGTGACATGAAGGTATTTTCAAAGAGAGGAACATTTTGTATGCCTTTTTTTATTTACCACGTTGTTTATTGTTTCCTGTGTAGATAATAATGTCTTCCAGGGAGCGTCGGTCAGACGTCTACATAAAGGCAGAACCCAGCAGTCCAGAGGGAGGAGGGGGTGGCAGGATCAGCCCTGGCGGGGCGTCTTCGGACTCCTCCCAAAGTGGAGGTGGAGGAATCCGAGGCGACGGCGTTAAGCGGTACTCCCCGCCACTCTACACACCGGCGCTCCGTTGCCACTTCAAAGACGAGGGCGGGGACGGAGCGGAGGAGGGCTCGGCAGGAAATGGAGCGGGGCGATGCAAGTACGCCCTGAGCACGCTGCCCAAGAGGCTGTGCTTGGTGTGCGGGGATGTGGCCTCCGGGTACCACTACGGCGTGGCGTCATGCGAGGCCTGCAAAGCCTTCTTCAAGAGAACCATCCAAGGTGTGTGTTGTTGAGAAGTTACCCTCCGTCTTATCTTCTGCAAGGACTTTTACATCTGGGGGACTTTGATCATGTTAAGTATGAGATGTTGAGTATGTGAGGTAATTTCCGTGATACGAACCATGACAACCCTCCACCCAGGGGCGGCGCACTGAATGGAGGAGGCTGTACTGTATGCAGGCATTCTCTAAGGCATTTCCCTCCCTGCCTCCATAACTCTACATCCCAATAGCTGTGTGGGTCTTTGTGTGTGGAGAGACCACAAAGCTACTAGAATGAATAGCTAAGGAAATTATTTTCTTTGAAGTGCTTTATTTTAATTTCAACCATAAGGGCACTGCCAGTTCAAATATCATGGTAGCCTGATTAGAACAGATATCACATTTGTATTTAATATGATCAAAATCGGTATAAAGTTTCTCATATTTTCTAAATATTTCTCTCATATTACTTTCTCGTCTCTTTGTGATCACACACTGTAGAACTGTTTCTCTACATGTTGTAGAGAAAACAGGGTATAACATTTAAAGACGGTAGTTTTCATTCGCATCAAATGCTTGTTCGTATTTGTATTATTTGAAATGTAAGTAGACGTGTGATGAAATCTTACGTGTCTTACTGTTGTTCCTTCATGAAGGTAACATTGAATACAGCTGTCCAGCATCGAATGAGTGCGAGATAACCAAGAGGCGCAGAAAGGCTTGTCAAGCGTGCCGCTTCACCAAGTGCCTCAAAGTAGGCATGCTGAAAGAGGGTGAGTGTCGCTGGTGTGCAGAGGTCCTGTTTCCGCTCTTTGAAATCAAGTCTTACGGGTTTTTTGAATGCGTGATATGTTAATTCCTGCGTCCCAATGCAGGAGTTCGTCTTGACAGGGTCAGAGGTGGAAGGCAGAAGTATAAAAGACGCCCAGAAGTGGAGAATGCAACATACCAGAGTGCTCCTCTCCCACTGACGAAGGAGAGTGAAAAAGGTGTTGTTTATATTTCTCTTGTCATTAGCGATTTGCTCAACAATAAGCAGCGTAGTGTAATAAAATGAGGTGAAAGGGCATTTCTTCAAACTCAGCAAAAAAAACGTCACCTTGGAGTCAAGGATAAACACATTGGATTCTTGGAGTCAGAGGTCAAAGGCTCTTTCACCGTATGTCGGTTCCATTTTCGTGAATGCGATACCTCCAAGAAGGCTCGATTTCAATTTGGCACAAACTTCCACTTGAACTTTGGCAGGAACTGATTTTATTATAGAGGTCAGGGGTCAAAGACACTGTGAGCTCCCTTCTGTCCCATCCTGTACACGAGTATCCCGGAAATGCCTTCAGGAAAATACTTAATTTTCAAATAAACCTTGACTTCAAGGTCAAGGATGCATTCATTTAAATTGGGTGGTCAAAGGTCAATATAAAACCAAATCAATTATTACAATTCAGCACAAATGTTTAACAAGTTGAAATGACTAAGCAAGGCTTTTTTGGATTGAATCTTAACTGGTTAGAGAAGGAACACAAATATGAGGCAGTAATTCTAGTTTGTTTGTTTGTTTGTTTTTTAACTTGAGGACCATGTTCCTCTCAAACATGCGGGACATGAAACATGAGGTTCTCAGAGCATACAAGCAACATATGAAACCGTAAGACAACGGCGCCCTCTACTGCCAAAGAAGAGATGCTGGGCCTGCCTGTACTTTGTTTCTGTGTTCTGGTGAACTAACCGGATGCTCCTGGTTCACGTACATCGTGTAGTACAGTAAACACTGGTGCAGTTTTTCTGTCTATCTGTATGTCCATAAATGTACTATGCACTTGCTCATCTGCACATCATATTAATCCCTCGTTTTGTGTCTATTTCGGGACATAGGTTCCTCCAACATCATCGTGTCCCACCTTCTAGTGGCAGAGCCAGAGAAGTTATTTGCCATGCCGGACCCTCTGCAGCCAGACACAGCTCAGCGCACGCTCACCACCCTGTGTGACCTCGCTGACCGGGAGCTAGTTGTCATCATCGGCTGGGCTAAACACATTCCCGGTAAGAGATGCTCCGAGGGGGGAAATGATAAACCCACTGCTGGCTTTACAGGTCTCCATTTTTCTTATCTTCTGCTTCTCATCAAACCTGCCACCCGCCCAACTGCAACGACACGCATTACAGAAAAAATAATAAATACATATATGCACACATATATATGATATATATGTATATGTATATATATGATAGTTAAATACATTTAATGGAAATTTAAAACTTCTGCTTACACTATTCTCTCTCCGTCTATTCCTCTGCAGGCTTCCTGTCGCTGTCCCTTGCAGACCAGATGTCCGTGCTGCAGTCCGTGTGGCTGGAAGTGCTGGTGCTGGGTGTAGCGTACCGCTCGCTTGGCTGTGAGGATGAAGTAGTGTTCGCAGAGGATTTTGTCCTCGATGAGGAGATGTCACGTGTTGCTGGACTGACGGAGCTAAACGGCGCAATTAGTCAACTTGCTCGCCGCTTCCGGGCGCTAAACGTGGACCGAGAGGAATTTGTCATGCTTAAAGCCATCGCACTCACTAACTCAGGTACTTACAGTACTTCACATTTGTTAAGAATACAAGGAATTACAGCCATGACAGTTTTTGTGTACCCTTATTAGCTATGTTGTTGATTTTCATGACATGGAACTACCCCAAAAAATGTTTTTCTGCAGCCTTTTCATTTGTTCCTGGCTGGAATAAAGAGTTACTCAGTTTAAGTCAGAGGAAATTATTACATTTATAATATTAGACTTCTTAAGGTCCAGTGCTCACCGGCAAACACACTCTGATGACATGGGAAAATAGAATATTAACAACGTTGTTGAAAAAATTACACTTAGTTTTCAGTTTATTAGGTAATTTATATCAAAAACAATTCCTAGTAATGACGGTTTTAATGTCCAAGTTCTGCTGAAACTGTTTTAGAGAGGTGCTCATTGAACTTAAGGATCATTTCGGAGGTCAAACAGAGAACAGACAAACCTACAGGATAGAGTAGGGCAGTTTTGTAATAGTTGATGCAAGGTCATTAGTTCCACCTTCATGTAATTTTCCCTTAGGGATTGACTCAGGATTACTGTCAACAAAAGGTGACTCAGCGTGTCCTGATTGCGCCACAGACGCACTTTTTGTTTTGTAAATAAAGCCCACAGTTTGTATTTGTGGTAAGTCAATGGGCAACATGCTATCTTTCTGTGGCAAAGGCTGAGAGAATGTAAACACCCTGAATGCCTTTCCATCTGCTCCCTGCTGTTCTGCTAGACTCGGTTTACATCGAGGACACGGAGGCGGTGCAGAAGCTGCGGGACCTCCTCCACCAGGCCCTGCTGGAGCTGGAATGTCAGCGGCACCCAGATGACTCCCAGCGGGCAGGACGCCTCCTTTTAACGCTGCCTCTCCTCCGACAGACTGCTGGCCGTGCTCTTACCACCTTTTACAGCATCAAGACCCGCGGTGGTGTTCCCATGCACAAACTATTCCTGGAGATGCTGGAAGCCATGATGGACTCTCCGTAGAGCAGAGGGCAGCAGAAAATAGGATGCAGAGAGAGACCCAATGGAGATCGAGGTTTCACAAGTGGACGAGTGGTTTGTGAGAAGATTTTATTAGAGAATTCTTAATGTCGGAAATGGTCCCTTTTTCCCGTTTTCCATAGGCTCCACAATATGAGAGAATAAAAGGCTCATGCATTCATGTCCTGAAGTGGGAATTGGGTATTTGCAGTAAGACTTTTGTAAAAGGCTTCAAGAGTGATGACATTTAACGCGAATGCCAGAATGCTACATGGTTTCAACCATTTTCATGGTGAGTTCCATCCTGGCATTGCTTTGCAGTTCCATACTCATGTAGGTGGCCGAGAACAGACTGACACATATGGCTTATGAACTTTTAAAAACAACACTTACTCATGGAAGTCATAACAACGTCAGGCAAAAGACCGATCGATACGCACATGGAGTGCTTGTATTTACTATAGTTTAGTGTGCCGTTGTCAGCAAACTCATAGGAACTACTCGCAATATGTTAAAGCAATATAATGAATCAATTTGTTGTCCGTCACATTTTGTGTGTGTGTGTGTGTGTGTGTGTGTGTGTCCGTAGTTCTCCACTCTCAGAACCCCAAGTGCTGATTTTTGAAATTCCCACTGCTAGCAGAGAGTGCTAAAAAAACACCAGCACTTTAGGGGTAAATGGCAGAGTTGGGAACTACTGATGTACCAAGTAGGTGGAGGACTCTTTACAAAAGGTTGTGCAGTCAATTTGTAGTGAGGGAGAAGTGCATACAAAGATTGTGGTGATTCATTCGGTGCTGCACGTACGTCCTATCGGCACGCAAAAAAACTGGCTTCCTTTCTAGTGGGCGCGTGCGCTCGCGTGCAGGCGGGACCAATGAGCTATTTGAGATCAGGGAAGAACGCAACTCTTTGACAATAAAGCGCGGCTAACAGCTAAAGAAGTGGTTAAAAAAGAAATGCAACGGCCTCATCTGCTTTTTTTTATACTGTCCTCTACCAGTCGATCTAACCAGGGTTTCTGACTTCAGCAGCTGTGCTGTTCAAAAACAACTGTCTGACCTGTTCAAATCGTGGGCTCTAATACTTATCCATATGATTGATAGACGATGGAGAGATTGTGCTGCATTTTCCGCAGCCGTGATGAGCGTTGCATATAAGACCTGAATGGTTTCAATGAGAGATCCCTCCTTTGTATGTGCACATCGTGTGAACTCAAACTTGCAAGTGTCCGTTGTGGACTCAGGACAACAAGAAATGCAAAATATGCAACATCTTCTTTTTGGATGTTAAAACCCTGGACAAAAAACCCCTGAAAGTTGATTATTATAATAAGCTTCACATGCAATGCAAGGCTACAGTATCTGATCAGACAGAGTATTTAGTGGCCAAAGAGCCATTAATCGTTCAGCCATGTACAGTTTCAATTAAATAAACCGAAACATGCAATTTCTAGTGGAAGACAATAAAGCCAGCAAATATGATAGAAATTCCCCATAACAGTTATATTTGTTCAGCTTACAGTGCTCTGAAATTTGTAAAGCTTTTTCATATATTTTCCTTTCTAGGATTCAAGGGTATTTTATTTACATTGTGACACTGTTGTGGGTTTAGTATTGAAATGACGCTTTCCATTCGGGATAATATAAATACTAATTGTTTTTTTATGTAAGCAGTGGTTTTTTCTGAATCTGATTGTCATTTTAGGGATCACTTCTACCTGGCTCTATCAATTTTAGCGGCATGGTGAGGCTACAGAGGGCTCCCTCAGGTTGCAGAGAAAGCCAGACGGCCAAATAACTGTGGAGACAAATGGATCTTTCTAATCGGTCAACTGAAATTTGAGCATTGGGCTCATGAAATATTTTGCCAGCTGTGAAAAGCAGCCAAGATCATGTACTTCTTTGTTTTCACATTATATATGGCTGGTTAATCCTGCTTCTCGGCATACATGTTCCGTTTTTTTAACAAATAAATATAGATGCCACGGTCCAACTAGAGCTGTTAATATTTCTTCATATTGACTCTGCCATTTACACGCTGGAAGCTTCATTAGCGTACAATTATGTTTTAGGTACGATGGATTTTGGAGGAAGGCAGGGCCGTTTGCAGTGTCACCGCTATAATGATACTGTCATTTGTGGTTTTATGAAATATGTGCGCATTAATATGAATGAGCAATACAATAAATTACCAAACCTCACACATTTCCTTGTATAGCCTGTGTAAATGTAACAACGCCAGTTATAATGAAGAATAGCTACTAAACGTTATATTATTTAGTTCAAATTAATGTTTGTATTTTGAAAAACTATTTAAATGATTAAATTCTATTTTTTACTCAATTTACTGTTGTTTGTTGACACCGCTTTGTTTTTGCGCGTGATATTGGCTGTGAATTTCTGTGTGTAGGTTTTTTTTTTTCTTTTCATTTAGATAAAACGGTTTGATGTCCTTGTCTAAACATGTCCACATAAAAATCACTGTGAAAAAAGTGAGATCATCCACTGTCTGACGCAACGGGGAGTGGATAATTGTAGGTGCTTTGTGTTGTGTAATAAATGGACACACCACCGCCACATATCATTGGTCTCATCTCTACCTGTGTGTGTTCGTGGTGCGTGTTTGTGTGTATTACATTGAGGCCCATCATGGAGTGGGGGTGGGCGCAATACTGTTTAAACTGTCAACTTCCTATTTCAATGAATTTTGACACTCTAAACCCACGATGAGGTAGTTGCTAAAGGAACCAACATGACATACAAATACTCGCTAGTAGTTGACTGCATACTTGAGCGTACTGCCACTGGGAACTGTGGGTTTATTGAGGCTGCAGCGTTAACCTTTACAGCTGCATTAACCTTTCAAGTCTATTGGTGTTAGGAATGCCAAAGAGTGAGCTTGAGCTGAAGTATTGCAAAGCGCCTAAAGTCTTTACTTTTTATATATATACTGTTTTTTTAAATACATGATAGTCCTACAGTGATAACATGACGCAGTACAACTGACCTACCAAGTAGTAAACACATTTACTTTACAAACTACTAAGTCAATATTACATTAAGATGTCCTCACACCATGTTGAAGTCAGACATTTGCTCCCATTTGTATTTTTTGATCATTTGTATTAAATATCTGTCATTCCATTCCCGTCTTAACAAAGACTACATTAGGCACGTGCTTTCGTGCTGCCAGATGGCGCAGTAAATAAGAGATTTAGCAGGCCCCAAATCAGGGAGCTGCGTTAAGTTCTACGCAGACAAAGTCAACGTGGGACAGCAGTGGGAGTCAGAGAGACAGACAGGCCGAAGTACGTCTGACAGCGCAAACAGCGCACGCTGCTGGAAATCTGCCTCAAGGACATTTTGCGAGCCACAATGCTTTCCGTCACGGGCACCATCGCCAGACGCAGCCGAGCCCTCCGTCTGCTACACACGTCTCCCCTTGTCAAAATGCCGATTCAGGTAGGAGCCGTCGGCGTCGAGCTGACGTTTAGCGCGTTTCGCTTCACATGGCGCAGAGTCGAGAGCGGTCGATTCACGACGTTGAGGAATAACTATCCGCTTTCCGTGTTAGCTCGCCGAGCTAACTGTCCCCGCGAGGGCCCCCTCTTCGTCGCCATGACGATCATACGAGCGGTTGACTATGTTGGTTTCTGGCCGATACCCTCGGCTTGGTGACGTCACTGTGACCGGCAACTGCTGGTCAATTGAACGTTGCACCACGCAAGCTGTAAATAACTGGTCCAAAGGCCCGTCTATGCGTTACGTTAGTCGGTAGGAAACCTACACAGACACGTGCGCAGTTAACATAAACGTAGTTTGTTCCTTATAGTGGCGTCAGTAACTGTGACACTATGTGAGAGCGTACGTTACGTATTATTTTTATTCCCAAAGTAGCTTATTTTTGGAAGTAAACTTTCGTTTACATCTATGGCGTGCCTGACCTTCTCACGTGAAAATATTGCGATCATACCAATGGTCAATGATCTTTTTTTAAATCATTGACTATATCATATGTATATATATATATATATATATATATATATATATACACATTTACAACATGCATGTACAGAGCTGCCAACTTTTCAAAAAACCTTGGAGTGAGATTTTGTCGGGGGTGACCAAAATTTTGCCGCGCACGCAGCCACACACGTTGGTGGCTCAAATATCAGGAAATTGGAATTCATTTGGCGTAGTACCCATGTTGTACGCTGCATTCTGGTGGTTTGTGGGGCCCAAAGTCGTTGATAGGGGCGGCCTACTGGAGATGGACAACATTGGTTACATTCTGTGAAGCAAAGACATAGCTGATGGTCCACCCCCAGGACATTTTGGTTTAAGTAGATGTTATTTCATGCATTCTCGTGGATTTTTGGGTGGTATGCCTGAACTTATTCTGATTTATGTTCATCTGCTCATGACTTGTTGGGCCTTCTAGACTTGAGTTGAACATTCAACCAGAAAACTATTGCTGTGCCTCAATGACTGTCTATGTACCACAATATAGCCTAATTAATAGACCTGTGTTTAAGATTAGATTAGCAGCAGTGCTGCTTGTTATGACAGCTGAGTTTACATTCACCACTCAAAATCACACGCACAAACACAACAAATAATTTCTTTCAAGATTTAAAGTTAAGAGAGTGAGTACTTAATTGAACCACATGCCATTAACATACCTTAGTCTTTGCTCCTCCTGAGTTTCTCCCGCGGTTGTGTCTGTTTGAAAATCTTCTTCTGTTGCTAACTTCGGGACTCTTTGGGGTAAATAGGATGTCTATGCAGCGAATGGGTTTACAGATGCGCTCCTTAGCGCCATCTATTGTCGGGGAGTTTGAAAAGGAACGAACGCGCTTCGGCCCAAAATCAGATTTTTTTTTTTGCCGTGAGAAATTGGTTGTGTGGCGTGAGTGCGTGTGAAAACATGCAAAAGCGTGTGTCACACGGCGAAACCGTGAGAGTTGGTAGGCCTGCATGTATTAGATGTGGTTGAAAGTGTCGCGTCGTAGACGCTCAGTATTCGGGTTAAATTTAGAATGGTGTATTCGGCCATTTTAACCGAACGCATGCATTTATAATTCTTGTGATTTGTCGCCCTCCAGTGGCATTAAGTGTGCGGTTATTACAGCTCAAACGTCTGTCTTCTTCAGATTATTTAGTCTTCGTCATTTGCTAAACCACCATGCTCATATCTTTCTTTATATTTGTTAAGGTGACCAAAGAATGCGGCTCTACTTTGATGCATTGCTGTGTTCTTAATCCCGGACAGGTTGGTGAACAGCTCCCTGCCGTGGAGGTCCACGAGGGGGAACCAGGAAACAAGGTGTCCATGGATCAGCTCTTTAAGGGGAAGAAGGGAGTCCTCTTTGCTGTACCTGGAGCTTTTACCCCTGGTTGTTCCAAGGTTGAGACCACTATGTCGTCTCTTTTTTTTTTCTTTTTTGTTGCTGTGTCTTTGCATGATCAGCTTATGTTGTATTTCTTCTTGTTGTTTTCAGACTCACCTCCCAGGTTTTGTGCAGCAGGCGCAGGACTTGAAGAGCAAAGGTGTGCAGGAGGTCGCTTGCATTTCCGTCAATGATGCATTTGTCATGGCTGCCTGGGGAAAGGAGCACGGGTCAGATGGCAAGGTATGGAGTGTATTTTTTGGTGCAATGGGCAATCTCCATGACAAGGTGCATCTATTCAAATTGTGAAATAAAGCTGACCACGTATTGCCATTTTTCAGAGCATATTAAAATTCGAATAACCATAAATTCCTGTCAGTAGCAAATATAGTAGGAATTCTAATTAGTGATGGATTTGACCAGGAGGCAATCCCAGCAATCTCTTGAATAAAAACATACTGTGCACCAGAGAGGATTTTGAAAATAGTAACTAATGGCACACAACTGAGCAGTCGGCTTACTGTATGTGTCTTCGGCAGGTTCGAATGCTGGCTGATCCTACTGGAGCTTTTACAAAGGTAAATCTAAATATCTGGTACATATCAATTATTCTTTCCTGTGACTGTATGTACTCATTTTCTTTTCTTCCTCTCAGGCAGTTGATCTGCTACTTGACAGTGATCAGATTGTGCAGGCACTTGGGAACAAGCGATCCAAGAGGTATTCATCTTTTTGCCAATTTCAGTTTCTCAGCATCAATTGTATACAATTTTATTTTGAGAGTATAATTTCTAGAATAATTCAGAGATAAAACCCTAAAATGTGTTATCACTAGTGCATTATAGTCAGTGTGTGGCTTTTACTGATATATTTGAGGTCCATAGCTACAAATCCTTGTTCTTCATTCTGTCTTTCAGATATGCCATGTTGGTGGAAGATGGCGTTGTGAAGAAGATCAATGTAGAGCCAGATGGCACCGGACTGACCTGCAGCCTGGCTTCCGATGTTCTGTCTGCGCTCTAAGCTTATTTAGAGCTCAATAAACCCAACTGCAAAGACCGTACTTGTAAAAGTTGCATTAACAAAGCCCAGCCTCTTCAATCTTTCTCCTTTTCCCAAAGACGGATGCAAAAGTCACATGACATTTGTTCTTTTCTAGTTCTGTCAAACAAAACTTTTTTTTTAATGCGCACAACTGATATGACTGGCAATCCAAAGCAACTGCCTTCCTCCTCTGTATACCAGTGAGTAAATAAAATTCAGTATGAAAGCAATAATCACGTTGTTGGTGTGCATGTATGTGCGTATCCGAAAGCTATGATCTTACCATATGAACAATATTGACAGTTGTTAAAGGCGATCCAGTATTTGCGCCGCTCCACCCAGAATTTAACATTATTAATGACCGATCTCTAAATCGCGGGAGGAGACAAAGCGAACGATTAAACATTGTATGGCAATACATGAGTACGACTACCATAGACCTGCTCTCAAATAGATGTAACCGAGGCGATCTATATATACATAGATATCTACACATGTGTGTGTGTGTGTGTGTGCGCGCGCGTGTATATAGATGTGTGTAGTGGCACCCCGCATCCAGTTCAAAACATTGGTACTCACATACCATGCTGTGTCTCTCTCTCTCTCTCTCTCTCTATATATATATTTTATATATATATATATAAAATTTGGGTTCCTCAGCATTGGGTAGCTACTGATCAAGCTCTTCTCCAGGCACAGTCGGTTTCTTTGCTTTTTTTTGATCACAGTTGCAAAGAAGGAAGTCTTGACAAAAATATGTGAAGACGAAAGGGTAGAAGCTGCTTGTAAGCTTTCTGTTTCAGGTCTGGGTACTGCTGGTTCACACAAAACCAAAACTATGTGTGTGGATGTGGCAAACTTCATCTGGAGGCCACAGTCACAGGACACTCTCATGCAATCCAGCTGTGCAGATTTCTCCCCCATCTTAGGAAAGTGGGAATGAAAATCTTGAATCAAGTTGGTTAAATGTCCCGTTATGACCAACATGACTGCTGTCCACATCCTGACTTGACTTGTGGATGTTGCTGCATGTTTTTCAGCTCTTTTCACAAAAGAAGGTGTTGACAACATCAAAAGTTTTGCAGAACAGATTGTGTAACAATGTATCTCACAAAAACAAAAAGTTGTGTATTCCCGCAGAGATCTGTGGATTCGTCCAGCTGGAGTGAGCCATTGATAAAGTCTTTAATGTCTCCACTGGTCTGCAAAACAATGGCTGGAAGGTGCAGGTCCGTAGGGAACGATTTCTTTGCTTTAGCTTTGAGCAAAGACGCCGTATGAGAGACCTCCAGGGCTTTTGCCGATGTAGCGGAGGCTTAGGGGGACCAGCATGACAGTGATTGACAGGTGATAGCAGGTGGTGTGTGCCAGGTTGGGTCAAACCATCCCGGTTTGGGGGAGACTCTGGGGTTTTAGGATAATTAAATTGAATAACCTACTAAATATAAAATTCTGTTCATGAGCTTATGTAACAGATGTGTTTAGGGCATGGAAGAAGTCGACTCAGACACTGATCGTTCTAGAATTTTTTGGTCCTGCAGAAGACAATAAAACACAGACATTGCCTTCTGGTCTCTCTCTGCACATCAGCTCTCTGGACACAGGATCTGCAACAGAGTAACACTTCTGTGAAGGAAGAATGGACCGCTACCCCAAATCTAAATTATAACTTGTCCAAAATTTGAATCATGACAAAAGGGGAAAACAACAACCCCAAGTGAACAAAATAAATTACTGAGTGACAACTGCAAAAATTCCAACATTAAAGAAAGGAAAACACATACCTGCAGGAGACAATAAAACACAGACATTGCAAATGACAAAGTGTATTTCTAACTCTGTTACACTTATATTAGATTTTATTGAATATTTATGAAGTCATTATTTTTTATAGAATGTTTTTAATGGATGATCATATCAAATATATATATTTTTAAATCTCACGTACCTCGAAGGGTACGCGTGCCCCCCTTTGAGAACCAGTCCTATGTCAATCAGAAGCGCAACCCTCACACGCATCTGGTGACGTAGCGACGTAAGAAGCGGGCGCATTGCATTGTGGTCTCCGGTGCCTGACGGAAACTGAAAGCATCCAACTTTTCAGGCAGCTACGCTATTATTCTGTCAGCACGGAGAAGCAGTTGGTAAGTTAATAATACTCAACAATACGGCCATTGGCCCCGAACATGCCGTAAACGAAAAGTAGCATCACGCGACAACAGTTAAAAGTGTTTATCAATGGCTCCTGCTTAATGCTTTTGAGGGCGCCTGAATTGTAAGCTAGCTGCAGTACTCTCTCGGGTCAAAATGCTAACTCAACGTTAATCGATAACGAGTTGAGGAACATAACCCCATTCATTAAAAAACGACTGGACCGCTAGTAAGAAGCTGCTGTGATTCGTAGTGAAGCGAACAGTAACGCGGTGTGAGCCTCGTGAACGTTAGCTCTATGTGCTACAACAGTTAGCAATGGACTGTAGCGCGCGCGCAAATCCATAGCCGCGTACCCGCTTTGTCGCTGTAACGATGAGCGTAAACTCCTCCGGCGCGGCAGTATATTAAGTACTACGCAAATTTTTATACTTTAAGATATTTACCCCAGCGTGCGGGCTGCTCGTTTGCAGCTGTAGGCTTCTTTTGTCAAAACGACGTGTTCTTGTCAAATATCTAAAGCTTTAAACCCACATTTGAGTCACGCGAGTTACTTAAAAATACATCGTAACGTTAATCCATAACGATCTCTGACCCCCTACAGCGCAGCCATGTCGTCGACATCCCAAAAGCATAAAGATTTTGTGGCCGAGCCCATGGGGGAGAAGCCCGTCGGGGCTCTTGCAGGCATCGGAGACGTGCTTGGCAAAAGACTGGAGGAGAAAGGTTTCGATAAGGTAATGAGATTCTTTCTTTGGCTTTTATGTAATATACAAATGTTTACAACATATCAAATGCACTGTTTACCGGGGGGGGGCTTAAACTCAACGCTATAGTGTGTTTTATATGTATTCAGTTTTGGAAATTCATACAAAAAATAAGCAATGCAACAAGTTCTGATAGTTAATCATATTACTTTAAGTCCGACTGTCTGTAATGTAACTAAAGTAACACATCAATTTTAGTTCATATATATATATATATATATATATATATATATATATATATATATACTCAGAGAAACTGCATTCACAAGGGAAATGTCCTCAACCTCTATTGTCATAGAACTGTAAGGTATCTCAAGCCGCCCCCTTTCTATAAAACAATCGTCTGTTTGTGCATTCATCACTATGCAGCTGGAAAGATGTATGTGTCATCACATTGACGGTTTGACAACAGGGCCGTCAATGTGGTTAATACTGTGACGGATACATTCTTGGCTTGATTCAATTTTTTTAATTATTGTTTTGTTGCTTTTATTGTATTGATTTTATTGTTTCTGTCTTCACAGGCGTATGTCGTCCTTGGGCAGTTTCTAGTGCTAAAGAAAGATGAGGAGCTTTTCCGGGATTGGCTGAAGGACACTTGCAAGGCAAATGTGAAACAACAAGGTGACTGCTATGGCTGCCTTAAAGAATGGTGTGACGCCTTCTTATAAGGTATTCTGCAATGGGTTTGTACTTCTGAAGTCCAAACTGTACATTACCTCTTCTGTGACCTTTGTTCAAATCAGCTGCACCATATTTATATGAACCCACTCTTCACACAAATGGGGTTGTTGAAGTCAATTTATTTTGTACTTCTACCCAAAGCTCTTGGTGTATTTCTGAAACCCTTTGACAGATTTTACATACTTCCTTTAATGGTCTATCACTAGTATGTCTGGACTGATACTTGCTCAATTTCTTGAAATTGTCATTGTAAAAAAAGGAAAAAAGAAAAGTTAGGTGGACCAAAACGTGACGTTTGTTCTGCCCGTCTGCCCACCTTATTGAAGTCATTACACATCTTTGTACTAAAAGCACGGGTGAATCTAATTATAATAATAATAATAATAATGGCCATTCTCCATTTTATCGCGAGCATGGAGCCAGAGTACATGTTGGCAGTACTGTGACACTAAATGTAATGCAGGACACGTGTCATTGGGGGGCGGGGGCTGCTTCTGTTCACCCTATTCAATTTTTCAGATCAGTAAAATACTGCATGTACTTTTTATCAAAGGTTGAATTTTAAATTTGTGATTTCATCTATTGTCTAAGTGCTGAGAATTTATTTTTCTCAAGCCAAAATAACCACGTTGTTCTACATTCAAACCTTTAGTGTCAGCTCGCGGCCTTCGTCCCCCAATTGCCTGTTTTTAAAAGCCGTTGGAAAGTTAATGTAAGCTGTGTTATTTTAAATGGTTCATTGTTGCACACTTTTCCATCACCAACGATGTTAAAAGGATTTCTCAAAGAGGTGGATGGTCTGTTTCAAGTATCTTGCAGAAGATGTAACTGTTTTATGTGACAAATACAAAACCTCAAACCTTATGCCACACTTGTCTCGGAAAATATGTAGATCTTTTTTTATTTTATTACAAAAATGTAACTTGATTTTGTAAATCAAGTAGTAGCATGGACTTGATGGGAAAGTATCTAAATAAAGATGCAGAAGCAATGACTCAAACCATGTCAAATGTGTCAGTCTATTGCAGATGAGCAGTACACGTCTCGGCTCACCATCCAATCTATGGCTTCTTCTAAACAAATGTAACTTCTGGTAGCTTTAACTGACGCAAGCTGAACATGTGGCGTGTGTTGTCCAACCCACAGTTCTCATAACTGGTCTTGATATTATCATTCAGCTGTGTTTCCTAAAGTTGCCTTAAGATTTGTTCAGCTGAGCTATCAGACATGCATGTCCAGGCTGTTTATCTTCATCTCCCACAAGCAGTTTGAGGAGGTCACCGGTGTGAAGCAGCAGCAGCTTTTTGTTGAATTCTGGCTGAATGTATTTGACGGAAAAACTCTTTTTAATGCTCATCATTAAAATCAAGACCAGTATTGAATTTGCAGTGTTTTTTTTTCCTAACCTGTCCATCTATATTATTCCATTTGTATCAAACAAAATCACAAATGAGAATCTTTGATAGCAGGGAGTTTTATTTCAAGACATGATGTTCCATGATCTCTTTAGCCAAAGCTCATCATTTGGTATTTGCCTGATATTGACAAAGCATCAGTCCATTGTTTTTAAATGTTCACGATCGGGGGTTCACAAAGATTGTCATATTGAGCGTGCCATCAAACTCTGTGGCTATGATGGAACAGACCTAAAGCCTAACTGCCTTCACAGTGACCGTAGATTGAGGAATAAACCCACAAGTGACTGACACCTGTGTAATTAAAAAGGAATCCCCCAGTCGAGTAAAGACGTCCGGCTGCTCTGCAGAACCCCACGTCTGATTGTTTAGAACGATGACAGACAATTTGTTAAAAGTACATTTTAACTACTCTGTCTAAAACGAATATGACATTTATTTAAAGGCGCAGATTTTTATGTCCTTATGCCCTGGAATGTTGTTTTGTCGGGAGGAGCTGTGCAAGCGATTTATAAAATGTTGATTTAAATGAACCGATGCCCCTAAGCTGCTTACCTTTCACAGTAGCACCTATTCACACCCTCGCAAAAGCATAGAAATCAGCTAAATGCTAACATTGATGATACTCAAATCATAAGCGGCTGTCGAAAGTGGATGAGGAATCCAAAATGTGTACACAAGAGATGGGATGTTTCTCTCAAAGACAATCTAAATGTTGGACAGAGAATGAAGACCTTTACCTGTAAGTGAAGCACATTGAAGCGTTATTTCCTCGACCTGCAAGTAATCACCACGTGGAAAGTACTTCATTACCTCATACAGGCTGGTCCTTTTTTTTTTTTTCCCCTCATCACTCACACTGGATTTCAAATGCATGGACAGCTTGTTATGGCAGAACTGATCCCCCTGACTTATCAGAGCAGCAGCTGAGACACGTAGCACCAACACAATCCAAAGACCTAATGTGGGAGTTCCTCCCAGAAAGAAGAGTCACACGCTGCAGAATCCATGAGTCTGTTTTCCTGTGACCATTAAGACACTCGATGCCCACAAGGTTTTTTCTTTTTTTTCTCCCAGTTACTTGTCATATAAATATAATGAAGATGAGCGTGAAAGGTTTTTCCAAAGAGATGAGAGCTTTTTCTTGCAATGAGCCTAAGACTTCCGGTCTTATTTTTCATAATATCTGACTGATTTGCTTTCTGGTTTAGTTTTTTTTCTTCTTTTCTTTCTCCTCTCAACACCAACAGACCTCTGCAGGCAAAGAATTTAGTTCGAGACGCTTTGTAGTTGATCATGTGTACTGTACATTGGCAGCTTTTATGCAAGGTTACTATGGTACATCGATGTCTTATTCCGATCAGTACATGTACACACTGTGCATACATGTACATACATGTACAGCTGTACTATCAATCACAACAATCCCTGATTGGTCTCAAAGGAGAGCGCAGAAGAATTTCTTCTCCCTGAAAGGGTTCTCTGAGGTGGGCACGGGGCTGATGAGCGGGTCGTCACGGGAGTGCGTGTCGCAGTACGCCATCAGGTCGGCCGCTGCCTTTGACACCTGCAGATGAGGAAGATCACATTTAGGGAGGATGAACATCAGTACATTCCATATTCCCGTTTTCATGTGATTTAATTATTCTCTCAATCTGGATTTATATTGCTTATGAAGTGAAAGGTTTCCACCTTAGTCTTAAATATTGTGTGTTCAGAAAATATTTTTTGTCAATGCATTATGTTCCCAAGATGTTTCTTTAACCTTTTTCCTCTTTTTGTGGAATGTGCCGCATGTTCAACTGTTCATTTAACTGCAATTATCAAACACACTTTATTCAGGGTGATACAGATGTAGCAAAGTTTATAACAAAGATCTGTTTTAAAACCTGTCTGTTTGACCCTCATGAGGATCCCTGGTGAATTGTCTCATTTCCTTATTTCATTTACATTTTGTAAGCCTCCGTCTTGTTTCAGTGTCTTTTATTGGCAGCTGAGATTGGGCTGAAGAAGATTAAACAAGTCAAAAGCTAGAATGAATCGTTTCAAATGTTTATTCCACCGAAGCTGCAATGATGTCTGGACATTTGAAAATGCAAATGACTATACTGACAATAGGACTAACAGAATGAGCAGTTAAATATTGATTTATTTGAAGATACAAAGTTATGGCGGTAAAGCAACAACAGGCGTAATTGAGCAACGGAATGATACAGAATCCGTAACAGTATTGAGTTGTAAATATGGGCATCAGTACACAACTGATTGGATTTGAGGGGTCGTCGTGGCGCAGAGGGTAGAGAGCGTGTGCTGGGAAGCAATGTAAGTCGCTTTGGATAAAAGCGTCAGCTAAATTACCTGTAATGTAATTTGAATTTGAGCAGTTTTTAGAAAATATATATTTATTTTTTTCTCTGAATTTGACAGTAAATTAAATTTTTTTAACAGTTCCACTTGGAAAGCTGTGCTGGCTCTGGCAAAGTCTTGGAGTAAAGTGAAGAAAGTATATTTTGGAAAATGTGCTAAACATGATATTATAATTATTTTGTATGTTTAATATGTTGAGTTTTTTTTAAAGAGGAAAGAAACCTCTGCAAGGGTTTTTTAATGCCATTAGGAACACGACAGAAGATGGTAACCTTTATAAACTCCAAGTCCATCCCAGTTTTATCTTTCACATCAGGATCCAAGGTGTTTTCTTACCTTTATCCTGCAAAAACTAGCTTCTATCTTCAGTTGCTCCACCAGCTTCCTGGCTTGGCCGACACTCATGGCGCTGTTCACTGGGGTGTCTCCTTTCATCCTGGCCACAAAGACACAAACATTTAAGTCCTCGTGGATGGAAATACTCTTTGTAAACCCTTACATTTGTTTCTTAAAGTGTTTTATGAAATAGTTCCCCTGTAGACCTGCTTCTCGGCGAATGGTGCATTCATATACCCTAGTACCCTTTGAATAGGTCTATTTCTAAATAGCGACATTTGAATAAATCATGTTTACAGACTGCAATTAGTTGTGGTCCAAACTATTATTTCCTATTGATTGCAAAGTTTGCTTTTCAGTGTGGATCAAATTAACTAAAGTATATGTGTGAGCTAAAAGTCTAAAGACAAATACAATTTGCAATATATGTCACATGATAAAATCTATACTGATCAATTATAACATTGATTACTTATTAATATATTTAATTGCATGAAACAAGTCAGTCCCAAATAATGGAGAATAAATACTGGTCAACATTGTGTTATAAAATTGTCCCATCTAATACCTTGTGTCATCCCGTCAAATGCAAAAGAAACATAACTAGGCCGAATGGTCACCATGTTCAACAGATTCTCCCACTACAAGAGTAGCCACAAAAATATCAAATGTAGGATGAAATGAGCAGCCATATATATTCCTTAAAATTGTGAATAAATGTGCCAGAAAATGTGTCTCAGATGAGAAAGTAATCAAGTAGGATTAATTGTCAACAGGAGGGATGGGGGGCAAAGCAGCAAAAGGAACAAATCTATTTGAACCATTCTCGACCTTTCTCCATTGTCTTTTCCCAACCATCTCCATTAACCGCCCCTTTCTCCTTACCCGTATTATAGTTATCCTCAGGTGCAATCCTCCCCCCTCTTCTCTCTCCTGTTTTCCTCTCTTTCTGCCCCTCTGTAAGCTTACGTTTGGTGGTATCGGTGTAGCCGGACCCCACCCCTCACAGACAACAGCCTGGCTGGCACCCTGCGTTATACAGTCCAGTTCACCGCAATCCATCCACAATGAGCACTTGGTTTGTGGTGGATGGATAGCATCACCCCCACTCCCCCGCAGCAGTAAGTGGTACATGCCAAACAGAGGGAGGGGGAAACCATTAGTGAGGGTTTTATCGTGAGGGTGGATTGTACCATATCTGTGCCTGGGAAATTGGGGCTGATGGATATCTCTCAGGTTTCAACTTATCACAGCGAATAGGATGATTTTGTTTTTAGGGCTGAAAGATTATGTACGGCTTGGGTTTTGAAATAATGTGCCCAAGCTCATTACGTATCTCTCCTTTAGCCCTTTGTGATGCGCACCCTCTCCTCTGTTGCCATGGGGACTGCTGCAGTCTGATTTAGTGGTTCACCACTGTTGAAATTGTGAATATCTCGCAGCCATTTACTGTGGATGTCATAACCTACACATGGGAAGAATGTGTGCTTTCTCAAATACGTTTATACAGATAAAATGAAATGTATTTGAGGAAAAAAAGCGCAGTTGATGTTTTTTGTCAGGAACTATTATGAGGCTTTCAGACCAAAGACCCTGTAGAGGAAAGAGTTGCATTATGCCACAACAGCTCTGTCTAGGTTGCAACGCTATTTGAGTGAATACAAATCATTTTCCGTGTGTGTCTGTAACTGTTGCTTTACAAAGATACTTTTCCCTCATGTGATGTTTTCCATTGTTTCAGAGGACACACATCCAAAGGGGCTTCGTCTTACTAGCAACGGATGGCTAGAAAACAGTCAGCCTCCATCTTTGCTGGCTAGCTTTGAGCTTTGCGCTATGAGCATGTAGCTTGCTTGTGTTTTTCGCCGGTGACCTCTCTCTCCAGTTGTGTGGTCTCTGATTGGTCGAAAAAGGCTCGCTCGTTCTCGCTTGTTTATCCTTAGTTTGTCCTTAGTGCTTGCCGTCGTACACTTCTGGCAGTAGTCGTGGGTTTCATTTAGATCTTTTTTTTTATAAAAGCAACGTTTAAAAAAAAATGTATTTACATTTCTGGGAATTCGATATAATTATAGGTATAATAATGTAACAAGAATGGTTTAAAATTACCATGAGTGATGTTTAGAATCCACTAAATATGAAAATATGCGTTGATCACTCTTATGATTGTTATTTTTAAATTTAATTGTTGTTAAACATTGTGTTGATTAAAGAAAGATTAAAGGTAATTTATATGTGAAATAAATGACTGTTTTAGTTGATTGTAATGAATTGAAGGCCAAAAGGATAATTATGAAAACGAACTTTCCCAGCATAAAGTAAAGAACTGTCCTGCTGCTTGATCTCAACATTTTTGTTCTTCATTGTGTTGAACTGACCGATTTTGATCTTGATTACCTTGCTTCATTTGTATTTTTAAACTGCGGCTGCAGTTCAATGACTCCATCTGCTGGATGGTACTAGCAGGTTTAACGTCATCACTGGCCTGCAATGACCACATTCACAATTAGCCTGCTCCTGATGGACCAGCTTGGTGATATGGGAACCCCAAGCTTCTTTTGAGAACACAGGGGAAATCTTATTTGAACTTCTTCTGCTGGAGTTGGATAGCCGAGGTTTCCCCAGAAAGAAAGGAAGAAAGAATTTCAATAGGAACTCGGTTTATATAGTTGTTCACATAATTTCATCGATAAATATGTTTTATAGCATTTGTCTGCTGTTAATTCATGCTTCATTGATGGGTTATAGTTGTTGACATCATTAATAGCCATTTAAACATGTCTTTATTTCTGCCTACAACTAGGCCACAGTGTGTTATAAACCTTTATAATGCACAATCCTTATGACTTTCCGAAAGGTAAATGCTCTCGGCTTATGAATGAACTAATTCACAAAACAATTCTGATTTATCTTTCGGCTGTTTTAATAGCAACTATCAACTGTCACACGCCATGTTTTTTCCATTCTTCTGCTGAGCAGGTTAAGCATTTATTAATTCAGCAGGGACTCCCAGAGAGCACCTTCAATCCTTGTGATTCCTTTTCTTGTTGTTGAAAATACTGAAAAACAGTGGCAGCAGGTACAAACCAGTGCATGACTGCAAGGTCTGTGTCTACACGCCCCAGATGGTCCAAGAGACCTCCTGTTTCATCTTTGCAGATTATGGTGTAACTAGTGGGGCTGCTTTCTATCCAACAAAGTCATTTGATAATTTTCTGCAATGATGATAATGATGTCACGGTTAAAAGTGTAAATGTATTTTCTGTAGAAGCGTACAAAATTTCAGCAAAAATCTGTGAATTATTAACTCATTTGTATGTGTAATTATCTATTCGTCTATAAATATTACAAATAATTTACACCTAGTTTATTTATTTAAAACTAATTAATAATCCTAATTAAGTTGAAGTTAATTACTGTCATGGCTCACTGGAGGCCTCAAGTCCAGAGACCGGAGGGCTGACAGCCTCACTGGATTTCTAGATTTTATTCGGCAAATAAAATCTGCAAATGCAAATCCAAGCAGTTTGGTAGTGAGTTTGACTAATGGAGAATGAGACCATGAAGGTATTTTGTTACCCAATTGTGTAATATTGTTGGATCATCATTGCCATCTCAAACAAAAACTGTTTAAAATATAGCCTTCATGACCCGGTCAAATGATTGTGAAAACAGATCTGCCAGCAATCGGGATGCAGGTAACAAAATGTTAATATGGAAACACTGGGGCCGATCTCCACAGAGTAAAAGATCAAAAGTCTGTGTGTTTTTTATATTGAATTAGGTGGAGCAAAGATTCCTAATTGTACAGTATGTTATATTTTGAGTTATGGGGAATTAACATGCTCTCCATACAATTTCTTTTATAATTAGATTGTCGCTAACAGATTTTAATTATTTAAATCTGAGCCAATGTATAGTGGATCAATACAAGCAGAGCAACATGACTATTTCTAGAGCAACGCCTGTAGCATGGCTAAAAATTTAAATATAGTTTTAACAGGAACAATTCTACATTACTACTTGCACTGGGATTTTTTATATAAGAGATTAAGTCAATATCAAATTCACAGTAGCATGGAGTCGGCCCAGTCGTGCCTTTCACGGCTCATCCTTTTTTATCCACAGTGGTTATTGGCAGGCAGTGAGTTTCTTTTTAACCTCTCACCAATCAATCCGCCCCGGGTGCTCAATCACACGGCTGTGAATCCCGAACCAGCTCTTATGTCATGATGGGAAATGGTCTGGGTGGGGTGATCATCTGAATCATCAATTGCAACTGGCCGTTTGTATTGACGGCAATGTAGACTAGTCAATACTTTCCAAATAGACACTTCTGACTTCATTCAGAGTGCTGGTGATCTGTCGGTAGAGTTAACTCCAGCCTATCATGTGTTCATTGTATGCTCGAGTTCACCGAAGCTTTCAGTGCACGCAGGAAAAGACAAACATGAATAAAAACAAAAGACTCTCAGGAATGATTAATTTCTCTTTCTCTTTTTTTCTCTTTTCTTTTTTTTTTAATGAAAAGAGCCAGTTCCAGTGTGTTTACTAGAAATGGACATGGAGAACAACTTCACAATCCAGCCGTCAGTTTATGGACTGCACACTTTGGAATGCGACTACGGTAACATTGTATCATATTTAGCTATAACCAACATAACAGGAAGGTAAGACAGAAACTAAATCACTTGATGGGAGAGCATCAATCCTGTCACCCATTAAGGAACCACAATTATCAGAGGTGCTACTAATCAAACATGTAAGAAATGGCGGGAAAAAATGTCATGTGTGAACTCAGTTGATCCAGAAAGCACCTCCTCAAACGTCTTTATGTGAAGACTGTGTCCATGTACTCCCCAACTGTTCTGCCTGGTTGGGAATTGGACTTCATGCCAACAAAGTCACATCTACACCGTAATAAATATCACGTTTCTTGTCACCTACATCCTTGTGAGTGCATGGGACAGATGCTGCTGTCTAACTGTGAAGCTTCTAAACCTCATTCTTCTGTGGGAGGAAACGGATACATGGTAGCCTGTGTATACTTGAGATGATAATTTTGCCACAGATCTCAGAATTGTACAGTATAACTTCACTTGATGTTTTGCATTTATATAGTGCTACACAATGGTTTAAAGATGCTAGTTTAGGGTCTTTTTATTTTTTATTTTTTAGATAGACTTGAGATTCTCAAGGTTTGTACGACTAAAGCCCCTTTAAGATTAGAGTATATCTGGTTGTGTAATGATGCAAATTAAACCAGGTACAATACTCTATATGTTAGTATTACTGAGTGCATTATCATTATACATGTGGTGTATATACTGCAGATATTCCAGTTTTTTACAGTTCACACCAAAAAGATACTGTAAAAAAACGTTTTACCGTAATGATCGTAACTCGATTGAAATATAGCAACTAACACAAATGCAGGTTGTATCACAATAATGTTAATATGAGCTGTAAAATTCATTTGGCAGACATACCTCTGTAATTTTGACAGCTTTTGTACTTTTTTATGATGTGGATTAGTCTCGAAAAAGATGTATACAGCCATGCGGGTGGCCGCAGGACCAGCTTGCTTTGAGCTAAATGCTAATGGTAGCATCCTAACATGCCCACAGTCATGATGCTAACATGTCGACTTTTACGTTAAACATCTTGATTCAGTTTAAAAACGATGCTGCATAAGAAGTCATTTTTTACATGGCCCCCTCCGGGGGCCATGAATGTCTGTAACAAAATGAATGGCAGTCCATCCAATACGTGTTGAAATATTTCATTGAGGACCAAAGGACGTGGCCAAAACATAATTTTTACCTTTTTTTTTTTCTTATGTTAATGTACCTTTTCTCTGCTGTATTTGATATAACTTAAATTATGAATCTACACTTAAAGCTTATCGTATTATGTTGCACATATCAAAACCGTATAATACGTATGTCGACAGAGGACAAAGTCTAAATTTGTGCTAAATATTCCCGTGGATGGACTTTCCCTCACATACTGCCTGAAGTTAGTCATAAAACTATGACCAAACCAAGGAAACATTTCCCACATAATAAACACTGTTGCAAGAAGAGCAACATCACAGTTTTATTGAGCACAGTGAGCGAAGACATAGCCCATTAGAAATACTTCACTGCTACATTTTACTCTCTTTTCCTCGTCTCATGCATTTAAAGGAAGACCAACAGGAACAGCTGCAGATCCTGTTGTGGTGCACACAGTCAGTCTGAGAGTGACACACTGCAGCAAGGCAGCACAACAATAAAGCCTGGATTGAGTCGGAACAATGTAAGCAGTGCCTCTGTATTCAGGCCCACTTTGCCAGGGTCACCTTTAGCAATATTCACCACTTTTGCATCGGCTAAATGTGACATACTAAATAAAAGTCATTGTAATATAGCAGCATTGTATTTGTCACAGTGCACCTCAAAGAATTCTGAAGAGTATAGGTAAATGGAGGCAAAAACATTTTCTAAATACTAGGACCAGTAAATACAATAGGAAAATATTACATTGGCTTAAGAGAAAGAATCCATCATTGAAAGAAAGAGCATAACAGGTTAGATAACATGAGTTTTTCTTTTTTTTGGAGGCGGTGGGGTGAAACAGCACAGCATTACTATGATAATCGTACCTGAAGAGTTCTTACCCCCGTTAGAAGGGAGGTGGTGATCTGCTTTTTTTCTTCTCATCATCATCATCAGTCTTTTGAATCAATAGCCGTGAACTCATTATTTGGTACAGGAAAAAGCACAATTATTTAAATTGATTAAGTACAAACAGGAATAATCATGTCCCCATAGATAAGAAATTCACGGATATACCATGTTCTCAAAAGCTTATCAGTCAGACTGTAACAACTTTCCTCTTTTCAAATGCAAAACAAAAACTAGAAGGTTTTTTTTTTCTACACACACTGAAACTCCCAGAAACACTGGCTTTACCGTTTATATGACGAAAAGGTCCGTCGGCTTTTGATGCATCTACAAACGTCTGCGGTCAACACTGACCAAGTCCATACAGCCTGGAATTAAAGAAATGGCTTTGACAGCCATTTTGCATATAAAGTCTGTATAAAAATCAAGGAGCAACAGGCTTTCTTCAATGGTAAATACTACACCAATTGTGAGCTGAGCTGGACAGACTGGGGGAAGAAACAGCATGTTTGGTTGGAAGTCTCTCCAACTAAAATAAAGGCGAGAGTTAAAAACAGGAATGCGGTATGTTGACCCACGTTTACTGAGGTCTGATAACAGTGACACTGCAGTGCTGCAACGCACAGCACGGCTCAAGATCCTTATTGTTGCTACAGAGTTGGAAGATGGCATTCTGTCCAAACAGCCTTTCATACAAAACAAAGATTCATGTAAAAAAAAACTGTAAATACAGAGTCAGAGTAAGTTTGTATACTAACACAATGAATCAGTTTGACTGTAGAAAAATATATAGCCTATATCAAAGTCAGTTTGACAGAAAACAAATACACCAGGCAAAAATCAGGACCATTCTACAAAGTCATAAATATGATGACAACATGGGAGGACCAGATTACATATGGCTAAACCGAAGGCATTTTGGTTGAGGAAACTTGGAACAGGGTATTTTCCTAAATTCTGGAAAAGGGCAACTAGAATCTGGTGAAAACATTTAAATACATAACAACAAATACTGAGGAACTCTTAACTCAAGGTGTAAAAGTTTGTATTTAGTTACGTACACTCGGTTTTGATTTGACTATCCTGAGTCCGACTGCACAACTATTTGTTTCCGCAGTTGAAGAGAAGAGAACACAAATAATAACACATGTGTTCCCTCTTCTTTAACCTGAATCTTCTCATATCTGACAATTAATGCTGTCAAAAACATTGAAAATGCTGGAGTCATAAAGTACTGTTTTACATTAACAGCATTTATGTATGTGGCATTTATTTAGAAAATGTGCAAAATAATTCTCATCCCTTTGCAACCGGATTAGAAAACCGTATTAATCCAAAAGTCAGTGATTCTCCTAAAAGTGTGGCTGAACTGATATAATATTGAGTCTGTAGATAGTATGATTTTGTTTCACACCATGTACTGCCCTATATTAGTACACTATAAGTATCAATCTGCACTTACTTTCTATATTAAAGTTGATGAGCCAGTGTCTTATGCCACTGTTTATTATAATAATAAGATTCTAAAATCGTTTTGGCCAGAAAGGTTTTGTATTACTGTAAACTATAAAATTGAACATGCAGGCGTTTGAATGTGTATTGAATACAACTCAGGCCATGGCTGTAATATATTACATAACTGTAATAATATAGTGTATCAATCTTCTCTAATTAAACCAAAGCCTACATAAAAAAATGCATAGTCAGGAGGGACACAGTTAAGAACTCCAGTACAGACAATAAGGCAATAGAACAGGGAGTAATGAATATCAACCACTCAACTTTCAGAATCACCGTCATTAAAAACTGTTTTTTTTTTCCAACTCGTTCACAAAGGAACTAAAATAATAAATATAGAGTAGGTTTGACTTTAATATTGTTCATGGCGCCGGGAAGCCAACCATTCCTATGTCGGTTCCCTTTGTACCTTTCTGGGACTGTGGGAAATAACATGTATAATCTGCCACAGGATGTTAAGTCAAATCAAATATCTGAAATAAGGGTTACAAAATAAAAGCGCATACTGTCGAGCAGTTATTAACACATAACATATTGTCTCTATGTTCCCGACCAGACGGGGTAGGTGTTAAATGTGGCCTCCTTTCTGTTACTGTGTTGTCTCCTGAATATCAAACTACCATGTGCTTTTTATACATGGCAAAATACCTGCCTGTGCACCATGACAGGCCGCTTCCATGCAAAACCACAAAAAGATAGTTTTATATGAAATAATGCAGTTTCTCAATGAATTAATAGCGAAACCTACACTGCACAGCTTGAGATGGTAAGAGAGTACCTGCCAACGTACAGCTACGGTCAAATATACTGTAAACCATAGTTTGCACAAATAACCTCAAAGTAGTCTTGAGTTGTGGTTTCAATTACGCAGTAAATGTGTTTAAATGTACATTTTTACTCACACAGATTGCTACAGTTATGTGTTGTATTGTTTAACTCTACCCTGTCAGTGCACAGTATGCTAGCCGCTTCAGTGAACCAAACCATTCATACGTATTTTCATGAGCTGTTTGTCCCTTTTGCAAAAGGTTTCCCGGGTTAATCCCGTCACGGCTCTCCTCAGTTCATAGCACTGTATTGCACAGTTTCCAAATAGAAAAACACATGATAAATCTGAGCAGAAAACAGTGACTGTGGTCTATGCTATGAATTCCTCTCATCTTTGTGACAATTTAGTCAGTGATAATGAAATGTAAAGTTTGCATTAATATCCTTTTTGCTACGTGTGATGGGAACATCAACCTGGTGTCGCAGAGGGGGGTGGCACATTACCAGTGATCCTTTTCCACAGTTGCATATCCGTTCAGCGTGCGCTTACGATTTATGGCGACCCAGTCATTGCATTTCCGTTTAGTGGCTGTGAATGTAAACGATGGGAACCAAAAGGAAGAGGCATCAGAGAAAGATGAGATCAGAGACTGATGTTAGGTCCCTACAAAATATTGGCACATTACTTTAGGAATAGTATACTGGGTGATGGTCGTGTGATGAAGCATCCGGTCTGTTGTTTGGTTCTTCGTCTCATGTTTCACAGTATTAAAAGTGCACCGGCCGCCCAAAATACCACCGTTTTCCCACCAAAGTATTTGTGGCCACGTCACTCTTCTAAAATCTGCTGCACTCTTTCAACGCTGCTTCAATCTCTTCGTCACCAGCAGTATCTCACGCGCTCCTGACCTTCCTCACACTTGCGTCTCCACACCGCTGAGCTTAGGCATTAGGATACGAGGAGTCACGCCGGAGTTGAGGTCCCTTTCGAACTCCAAAAGCTGGCCCATGAAGTTTAGATTGGGGGAGACCACTGGACGACGACTCCTCACGTATTTGTAGGCGTCTGTCATTGTCATGAGGGTGTGCTTCATAAGGTAGGCAATGACAATGGTTGCAGAACGGGACACGCCGGCCTGGCAGTGTACCAACACTCCCTGTCCACTCTGATATGCCTCCTCTGTTGATGAGAACGACAAACCCGATTTAGAATGAGGCAGAATTAAAGAAGTAAAAACTGGCCTAACATTGCACGCTGATTATATAGAAAATGTCATCACTGTCATAAAAAGGAAGAATTTGTCAACCCCATCTCTATCTGATTGAGGGATGTAGTGTTCGAAACGCCTGCTTCTTTTTGCCCATGTTCTCTGTCTTTGGGACGCAGCTGGAAAAATCTGTTGTTTTTCTGTGTATAGTGACATGACAGTGACGTTGCAAGGAAAGGAAGAAATACAGAGTTTTACGTGGCTTAGTTTGTGTAAGAAAGAAACTTGAATGGAGAAGGTGCACCATTGTATGTATCAGTTCAGGTGTAACAATATTTCCTTCATTGACATTTTGTATATATATCAGATTTAGTGACCTTGCCTCATGTGCCATGCATCATGCGGCCGGAAGCACATCTACGCAGGAGAGATCAGCTTCACCGCTCAACAGAGCATGCACCGGTGACATTATTCTTACAGCAATCTTATATCTAGCATGTTCTATGACGCGTATCATTACATCCTCAATAAGCAGTTCAAAATCTATAAACCAGTAACACCCTTCTTAACAATTCATCTGATAAACCACGTTCTCTCTGTCACACAAAACCTGTCTGAAGGTGAATCTCTTCTACCACAGCGTGGTGGCACAAGCAGAGTCAGTGATAACTGCTGTTGGAAGTCAGATTGAAATCAATAGAATCTCTCCCTTCTAAATCAACTCACAAAAACAATCAACAAGACTCTCACCAATGAACTCAAAAACCTCCTCAAAGTATTGCCGAAGGTTTTGCTTGCTGTTATCGGTGGCTGGCAGCCTTTTGTAGCGCAATCCAGAGTTGACGTGGTAGAGCGGCAGGTGCGTGGTCACGTTGACCACGAAGCCAATGTTGAGGCGCAGCAGCAGGTCCAAGTTCTGGGCGTCTCTCTCGTTCCCCAGAAAAAGGAAAGGCAGGATGGGACTCACCACGGCGTTCTCCGCATCAGGACTCATCGCGGTCTCATCGGACAGAGAAGCCGGCAAAGAAGAGGACAGCGGCAGAGAAAGGTGCACTGGATGAAGAGAAGACAAAGAGAAAGTGTGGTGAAATATTTTTCTGCAGTCTGTGCTGCCACAGAGCAAGAGATGAGAAAGGAAAATACTTTAAAACGTTCTGTTTTAAAGGGGCTAAATCACCAATAAAATCACTGATTCAAAACCGGGTCCTATTGGTCAGAACGCTGATTATCTGTATTATTTGTTGAGAGGTTGGGGGGTTTGCCCTTTGATTATCTTATAAAACATCTTGTTAGATGTTTCTAAATGTAGGTAGATATAAAGAAAAACCCTCATATTTATACCAAAGCCAGAAATGTTGGACATCTCTAACTAAAAACCAACCAAACTGCTAAATGAAGTAAAAGATGAGTTACTTCATAGATATTCTGAATATTTTCCCACTTGTACGTGAGATGTGAATTGTAAGATATTCTTACTTCTGCTTTTTTCCTCATCTTGTTCTCTGTTCAGGGAGTTGAGAGCCAGGTGAAGGGACTGAGCGGATGGCAGGGAATGTCCCCCCTCCCTGTCTCTCTGCCAGGGTTTGGGCTTGATTAGTGTGCTGGGAGCGGACGGTGGAGGAGAGAAGGACACAGGTGACGGCGGAGAGGCTGAGCGGGGAGAGGGGGAGCGTGGATATGCTGCATCTCCGTCTTGCTCTGTTCCTGCATCTTCTGTTTTGTTCAAGAGCCTCTTCAGTGAGTTCTGTCCCTCGTCACACCCGGATCCCGTCCTGCGGCCCATGAAGTCAAGGGCGGCCATTTTCCCCTGCTGAAGCCGGCGGCGGCCGGCACGGTCTGTAAACTGGGACTGCGTGTATTCCTGGAGGTTTTGACAGTCCAGGAGGGCAAGGCCTGGTCTGTTACTGCCATTTTGGTCCTGGGTTGCAGGGGCCTTCCTCGCTCCTACTCCCATCACGGTGCAGTGATTCTTTTGGGCTTTAGAATGGGTCATTTTCTTGGCCAGTTCTTCAGGCCAGATGGTGCGCACGCTGTAGTCGTCATCATCGGCTTGGAACGTACCCATCTGAGGAGTTGCTCCTGTGCCTCTGCCTGGGGGTTTGCACCTGCGAGGGTTAAATGTCACCACTATGGGGTCGCTGCTGCAGTAGCTGCAGGTGGAGCTGCCTGTTTGGGAAGCTTTGGGGTTGCAGCCTGTGACGCAGCTCTGTATGACCCGGAGAGGGGCCGAGGAGGACAGCGGGGTACAGGGCAGGCATCCCCCAACCAGTTTTTTGCGAAGGATAGCTGGACTCTCAAAGTTTCTAGCCTCCCCAGAGCAGGAGGCACAGCGGAGAGGTTTGAACAGGTTGGCTCGGCAGTCAGACACGGTGCTGTTAGAGGAGGAGGTGGTGGAGGTGGTGGAGAGACACCCGCCTAGATTCCTCAGGCCCATTTCTTTGCCTCCTCTCTTCACTGCTCCGACATTATGAGCTCGTGGAAATGAGGTGGAAGCACTCCCTCCACCTTCTTGGCAGTTGGCAGAGTGTCCCTTACAGCCTGTGCATCTTACTAACCTCCAGCAGCCACAGCTGAATGGGTGGGTGCAGTCGATGGTGCATGTGTGGTCAGGGCTGGGGAACCCTCCGGCGTGGGAGGAGCAGGGGGAGAGGGGAAGACCATGAAGAATGTGAGGGCGGAGATCCCTGGTGCGGGACGTTTGCGGCTGGCTGACCTTCTGAAAGGGGCCCGGGACATGGGTGGGTTGGGAGGGAGGGGACGACGGATAGTTGGAATTTAGGATGGCGGCACGGGGCACAGGGACGGAATTTTGGTGGTAGGGTAGATTTTGGCTATTATGGCTTTGACGGACAGTCCCCAGTTTGGAATTCTTCTTGTGACCCAGTGAAGGAAATTCTTGGTCACTTCTGTTTAAAAAACTAGCGTTTTCCTTTTCTGTCCTCAACCTTTGCTGCTGCGCCTGGGCTGGGACGAATTGCAGGATGCCCCCGGGGGAGGGCGACTGCTGACTATGGCGACTTCGCTGGGGCTTGAGTTCGGCACCACCCGGCCTCCCTGCGGCTCCAGTCCTTCTCTCACATTGTCCTTGATCCAGCTGTGAAGAGACGCATTTCTCCCTGCCACCTTTTACAATTCCGCTGCGCCCCAACGAGTTGCTGATTCCTCCTCCACGTCCTCCTTTGTCCACCGTCACCCTGATATCAATAGTATGTGTGTGGGAGGGCAGCCGTGGGGCGAGAGTGACTGTGCCGTTGCTATGGCAGTGGCTGGGGACGTGTCTGGCACCTGCTGGGACGACAGGTTGATCGCTCTTGAGTCTCTGCGTGCGAGAGGATCTACGCTTGCATTCGAGAGTCAGAGGATTACACGAAGGTGCATAGAAGTGGGACTTCGAGGACTGGAGATGGGTAGGGTGTCCATTGGACGAGGCTGATATTTGAGAGGAGCGCTGAGGGATGGTTTGTGGGGAAGCCTCACACAGGGCCAAGTTTTTAGGGTGCTGAATGACCACTATACGCTCATCAAGAGGGAGGGGAGGCATCTGGGTTTATGCACAGCTGTCCGACGACGAGGGAGAGAGAGACAGAAAGAGAGTCGTCAGGAAACTACTGTCATCTTACAATTCATGGAAAGGGCACACTTTATATTCCATCATTTTACACACAAGGAAACGTGAGCCGCACTTTACATACCATCATTTTAAACACGAACAGCACATGCTGATGCGAATTACCAAACATTGCAGCTACTAAATATGTATATGAAACAGTGAATGATGATTAAAATAATACTGTGTCATTATATTATAAAAGAATAAAGGCAAAGTATTTGTGAAATGTAAGGTCAAAACCCAAATCCACCAAAAGAATGACAACACACTGTTTACTTTCTCTTTAAGTCCGTATAATCTCTTAGATTTATCTGAAAAACAAACCAAGAAAAATGACAAAGCCAACAACATCCTTTTTTTCATTAACATGTCACACGTATTTCCTTTTACATTTGCTTCAAATGAAAGGAGAAGAGAAACCCCACTGAGATTCATGTTTGATTTGAATGAATTTGAATGCACATGTACATCAGTCTTTTAACTTAAAACGGGGCCACTTACATTAATTGCTCACCTATGTTTGTAGGGTTTCAAAATGAACCTTTGCCTGAGTGTGAACCTGTTTGCTTTTAGCCGCAAATGATCCCATCTGATACTGATGGCAGTGAGGCTTCTCAAAAGCTCAGTCACAAAAGCTGCATCAACAGAGCTGCAACACACTGCATCCTTCCAATGAGTCCTCATTCTTAACTAGACAAAATAATGAGTCAAGCCATGGCTGATGGTAAAAATAGCTTAATATGCTATAAAAAATAGCTGTAGTGTGCATGTTCACTGCTCTCGTTGGAGAGGCTTTTAAATACAACGACAAGCCACACTGTGACTCTCAAAAGCTCAGTGGGATTCTTCACTGTAAAGACAGCTGTATGCAAAAGAGCCATGCGATTACCTGAAATTAAAGTACTGTACCAGTCAAAAGTGTGGACTGGTACAGTATTGAATGAGAACATGTGTCCAAACTTTTGACTGGTACTGTACTTAAATTGAGTTTTTGCCACACCAGCTGCAGGAAAAGCTATGGCAGTCCGTTTGGATGATGTTACTATATCAATGTTAGTATTGAGTTCAAGGCGCAGCTGGGGGAAGTGGAATGGACTTCCCAGTCAAAAGTGAGTTTTAACACATAACGAGTATGTCGATGGTTTGGCATTGCAATATGTTGAGGCTATTTGTGTCTCTGCCTCCCGATGAGATTGTGAGAAATTGGTAAATGAGGACCTGCTCTTTGATTGTGATGGACTGATTCCAAAACTTGAGGTTTCACCTTGACTATTTTGGCAGTTTTACTGGATTGAAAAGGTTGTTTCACATTACTTACAGAAAAATACATTTGAACCACGTTAGGGGCTCTAGAATTGGAAACAATGTCAGTCCGCCCACAACTTTGGTCCAGTCCAAAGTGCCTCAATAACTAAATTGTTGGATTACCAGGACATTTTGCACAAACATTAATGGTCCCCAGAGGTAAATCATTGTGACTTGGCGTTGGATAAATTCCAAAACTAAGACTGCAAACACTGTAAACGTTGTACAGTTCATTCTTAAGGTCAGCATTCACATTGTGAGGATGTTAGCGTGCGGTTGTTAGCATTTAGCTCAAAGCACAGCTGTGCCTAAACACTGCCCAATACGGTCGCTAGCATGGCTGTAGGTCCTCATTCTTTTCACATAACAAAACTCATCTTTTCATCCCCTTGGAATTAAGCAAGACATTTCAGAGATAGATAGCTCAAAATCAGGACAAATAAAAAGCCACTGGGGTAAGTAACAAAACATATTTTTTCTAATTTTAAATAAGTCACATTTTAAGGTACAAAACAACATTGTTTATATTTGCCCACCAAACATCATGCTAGCCTGTAATTGCACTGCACATCAAATACAGTTGTTCAAACAGTGTTTGCTACGGTGGATTTTTGTTTTAACCAGAGGCTCATCAATCCATATTTAGCAAGAATATCTTGCTAATGGAAGACCACGACATTAGAAGAGGGACTGGGAAGAACAGATACTTAAGACAACACTGGCCGGCAGAAACAAAGTGGGTCGTGAGAAAATACAGGGGGACAGATTACAATGTGACACTGTAAACCACAGACCACAGGAGAGGAAGGAACACGTCAAAATAATCTGGGGGACGCCTTCAGTCCCAACACAACGCAGATACCAACCCATGGAAAAAGCAAACCAAGCTCCAGTGTCCCCATATCCACGCACTGAGTCTGGTGACGGCATCCTCTTCTTCCCCCCCCTTTTTTTCAGACTTGCCTGTGGTGAAGGGGGTGGGGGTTACATTGACCCAATTTATCATGGTGGAAGTCACTATCACTCTGATCACTTTGCTCTCACACACTGTAAACTGCGGGCAGGCTAGTGGCCTTTTCACTCAGTCGTAGTCACAGCCTCAGCAGAACACACAGATATGGAAAATGTTACAACAAAGAGATGTCTCTTGAAATTTCACTGCCACATGTTGACACTTCAGAGCAAAATTAACACAAAATGCAAGACAGACTTTAGTGGAGCATTACTCCATTACTGAACGGCTTATAAAGTGCGTACAATTCTACAAATGTAAGTAAATTTTTCAGATTAAGACGTGTGAGTTGTTAGCAGTGCCACCAAAGAGGGTTTTAATTCTCCATTCAAATAATCCACTATTCCTTTCCTGTCCCTTTGATTAGATTACTTTTTTTGTCATGCTTTAATGGGGCCTGACCCCTATGTTGGGAACCACTGATTTTAACAATAATAAAAAATAAATATTTCAGTCAGTCACGGGGGAAGTTTTCTTTTAAAACTGCAGATATTGGTTTAGGTTAATTAGAAACTTTGGCGGAACACTGTTAAAACTTGAAATATCCTGGCATCTTTGTGCGTTTGTTCACTGGACCTGAGGGCAGAAAGTTTCCACTTACGAGAATTAAACTGTAAAGTGGTATGCGCGCTGTTGATTAGAAGTTTAATTAAAATTGTGTTTAATTAACCGCATTAATGTGACATCCCTCCAGTTGGTCTTTCTAACACATTAATGGAATCTGATAAAAGGCTGTAAGCTACTTAATCAGCCAACATACAGCCTGCTGAGTGCCGTTGTGTGTTTGTTTGCTTGGATACAACTCAGCACAATGATAAACTCCTAAACCTGTCTGTGTTTATGCTCCATCGGTAGCTCATCGCTTCGTAAAAGTCACAACTGAATACCATTTTTATGACTCCAGCGATGTTCTACATCAGACAGCTGGTATCTGTATGTGAAGATGCATAATGTATCTTCCTGCTATTATTGACTTCAGAAGTTTGCACTAAAGTGTGAATGAGTCATGAGTTCCTCTCAGAAGAACTGAAACGTAACAGCCACTCAGTACCCTATAAGAAGGTTTTGACATCGTTAGATTATTCGGAGTAACTAAAAATGTCACAGGATGGATCATGGGGCGGAGTGTAACAGGTATGTGTGCGATTAGGTGTATGTTAACATTTGAGGGAAAGGCTAACTTGGGAATCACGTCACCGGCCTCCAAATTTGAGCACATGAAAGTGTAAAAGAAAAGTATGATTCAGATAAAAGGAGTGTCACTCTCTTTCTGTTAGCGAGAACTGCACGAGCCTGCAGGAGGGATCCCGGCGCCTCGCTGCTTCCCCACCAGCATGATGAAGATAACAGCCTCACAGTCACAGGGAGAGGAGAGCGTTACACATGCTAATGTGTTTCCAGATGATTTCCCTCTTTACCAAGCACCTGAGCAAAACCTGCAATCACAAATAGTTATAATTGGCTTGCTTAAGGCCCCGAACTGTGTAATATTTCGTAAAAATTAAATTCAATGCGAGCTGATGTCATTTTGACGGTTTCTTGGGAGGAGAAAAGAGAACCGATCACAGAGTGTACTGTTGAGATGATGATAGGACAGGGCATGACTTATGGTCAATGATCTCACAGCGCTTTACAATAATTAGGCAAAGTGTGGATTTTAGGGGCACACAGTGCGTCTCCAGCTGCAGAGGCAGTGAAGCGAGTATTTTCGTGGACAAGTTGATGTTTCCGGGAAACAGATGGCTCTCTGACTGCGCAAGATTGACGGAGATCGTTCCGTTCCCCTTCTCCCCCCCGGCTTGATGTAGCACCTTTATCAAAAATGCACCTGAGAGCCAAACACCCGTGTCAAGTCAAGTCATTTTATCATTCCCGTGTGGGAGAGTGGTCCACACCAGAGCAAAACACAGGCCATAATATCGGCATGTGCAGCTCAACTACGGGCTTGTGGAGTTGCTTGAGTTAGAGAATGTCTTCCTCTGGAGTCGAACAAGATTATTTTTCCATTACAGTGAAAAAAGAAAGAAAAAAAGGCTCATGAGATTGTAGATGGTATGAAAATGAGTCATCAGAGTTACTTTCCAGGGGCAGATGAGCAGGACATTTTTTTCTCCACATTTTTGCTTTTGCTCGACATAAAAAGGACGGAAGTCGCTCCAGTTCTCTCGTTAAATGGCCGTTCACACATACTGTGTAAGCACGCTGAGAGGTGGCCACTGGACACAAAGGGGAAAGGCACCAGCATGTTCACAATGAAAGAAATACCTAACAGCATTGAAGGTTGAGCGCAGATCCCACAGTATCGTCTACGTCCACACAAACTGTTGCTATTGTAACTGAAATCAATGAACAGGTTGGAGGAAGGAACAGACTCCCACTGAGGAGGACGCCGTGTCAACATGGGAGGGCCATGAAAAAAGGGCCTTGACGGATTTGCGCTGTCAGCAAACTGTTAAGGGTCATTGAGCAGATGTGCTGTAGTTCTAACAGGCGCTGGACGGCGTGAACCGTCTCAGGTGTCTCTGTCCTCTCGCCACTGAAACCTCGTCTCGCATCAGCGACCGAAACTGTTTCTTTCGTATGGATTAACTGTGAAAGCTACAGTTGGTAACTAATATATAGAGAACCTTTGGTCGGTTTTGTCAAACCTTCGCTATGGCCTGAGTAGTATATGATAAATAATCGGTTGAAGAAATATACGGTTCCTCTGCTTTCTGTTAGCGATCCTAACGGATTTACAAGATTCCGCTTTGTCTGAAGGAAAAATGAGCAAACCAGCCGAGGAGTCGCCAATCACTGCATCACTGTGAAGCTCGTGAACTCCGCTCAAACTGTCACTGTAGACAGGTTTAAAATAATTTGAAGATGGTTTATATCGCCAGAACAAGTGGAGTGGAACAACAGGTATTAAAGGACAAAAGTATAAAATCTGGCTTATACAGAGCATTTTGATTGACAGTAATGACTCACTAACTCTTTTCAGGCTTAGGTCACACATCTAATGATTTGGGACAAAGTAGAATGACTTGCAACTTGAGGTGCTGCTGGATGTGATGACTTGGTTGTGATTCAGAAGCCCGAATGATAATGTGTTTTGTCAACAATGGCATGATAATAGTACAATGATGGAATAATGATGAGCTCTATGTTGCCTGATGTCTAAAGAACAGGTCCTGTTAATTCATCGGTTATGATTCTCAACTGAATTAATGCTGAGTGATTTGAAAAGGCAAATTAATTTAAACGGCTAATCTTTGTTAGCATGTTGCTGAATTTGCCGTTTCACTGTAAACTGATTTGTTTTACCGTCTCATCAGAACTCACAGCACTGCAGGCGACTGAGGGGAAGTCAAAATAATTACATCACCCAATCTCCACAGTCAGCTGACGGAAAGTGATGGAAGCAACTGCAGAAACCGGCCAATCAGTGGCCAGCGGGATTGGGAACATTGAGCTGATCTCTCATTTCCCTTCTCTATTCAGTGTCAATTTAAACACTGATACCTGCCTTTGAGGATAGCCACTGTTATAGTACAAGGCTAAGCTATTTTTATGTTTATTAAATTCTTAAAGCAGCTAAAATTAGATCTGTGGCACGTTTTCTGCAGAGCAATTTAATTTTCCGCCTGTGCCCCATTTTAGACATTTAGTCAATCAAATATTTGAATCAAGGAGCAGACCAATGCTAATCAGTTGCACAGCGCCAACAGCACAGGGATTTCAGGCTACTGTGTGCCTGCACAAAGCCACATTGTGATGGTAAAAGCATTTTATAAGAAATCCAAAAAGACAACTGAATCCTAAAATAATATACTAAGAATAGAAAGTGACAAAAGCCGCTTGGAGAAAGGATTTGTGGTCGGATTTTCTCTGTCACATATAGATAAGAACAGCAGCAACGTGCTTTTAATATACTTTAAAATGTTTGAAGTATCTAAAAAGCATACTGTGACGGTTACAGACTGAAATATGAACACCACCAAAACGTAATGTCATTTTCTGACAGGATGTTTTTGCAAACAAACAGTCAAACAGACAGGGATGAAAAACGTATTCAGATTAATTAAGTGAGACAACAGCCGATCAAACGTGGTCTAATATTACATGGCGAAAGCCTCTGTGTATTCTGTATTTGATCCTTTTTGGTTTCAGAGTGTATTCTGATCCGAACTACAGAAAGATTTTCTGCTTCATAAGAATCCAGGGGCAAAAACACTTTTGCCCTCAGAAAAATAACCCCTAAAATGATACAACAATTCTATTTGACAGAAGCTTTCAAAAAGAAACATCCGTCTGTTTTATTGCGGTAATAACGTTCCGTTTATTTTACCCCTCTGGAAATGACACAAGGCCACCCTCATATCCTCAAAGAAAACCTTAGAGAAAGTAAAACTGCACGAAAACAACAATCACATGAAACCCTGAGGCAGACATGGTCGGCCTGCAGCGTCAACATTCTGAGGAAGGTACCCTGAGTGAAGTTATCGTTATTAATGGTGGGAGGGATTCTAACATAAAATGGATCATTTTAATTCTTCCTCTATTGTTCAGTCTGCAAATAATCCATCCATTGTTTATCTTTTTGTTTTGTTTCAGAATCACCAAAGATTATCCCAGCATGCATTGGGTAAAAGGAAAGGTAAGGTCGACAGTATGGGGGACCGGTCCATCACATCTGTAAGCTGCCTGTAGACTGGAACAGTTGGAGAAGAGGAGGATAGCATGTGTAAACTAGAGCTGATACAATTAATCAGCAACTACTTAGAGATTATAGTGGTTCTAAAATGTGAAGATCTGACGGTTTTCTTTGTCTTACGCCACAGTAAAGTCTCTTACTGGACAAAAAGAGACAAGATGTTGTCTTGGCCTGGAAAATTTGACCAGGTACATTATTAAGAAGATTTTTCACTTTGTTCTAGTTCTAATTATTCAATTTGATTGATGACAGAATGATTTTGTCAAAATATTCGGTACTGTGTTTGTTCTTAGCAGTAAATTTCATAAATAGCTTTTAAACATTCACAGGGTCATTACGTTTCTCTCTTCAACTGTTCCTTGGTTTCATTGTAAATAGATTGTTGATTAAGAAATGTTGAATTAGTTATTTTGCATTTTCTAACCTTTGCATTTGCTTTGAATGTAAGATCCAAATAAACACTGCATCTTTCCTTAAAGATTCTAAGTCATTTGAATCAATGTTCCATAAGCATGACACTACCAGCGATAGTTTTAAAATGGGAAAAGCAGTGAGTCACCTTGACAGTCTCTTTTGTTCAGGCCAGAAAGCCTAAATCTGAACAAAAGCAGCTCTCACAGCAGTGACTCTTATGTGTCCTGATAGTTAATTCCCCATAACAGATTATTTCAGTTTTTTGAACAAATACATTGTGACAACAAATACATTCAACCGTAGACTGAAAGTTTGATCCAAATGTAATCTTAGCAATCAACCACTAACACACGTGTGTGTCCGCTCCTTCGTATCCTTCTATGAGTTCTACTAGATTCACTCACTTAGCCTACTGGCAACGCCGATAGAGACAAACCCAAGCTGCACATCTCTCCTGCTCTGCTCTTTGAAGCATCTCATCAGCACCACCGCCAGCAAAAATAAACCAGCTATTTATATGTACCTTCTTCTCCTGCATTGTTCTTTCGAGGGCTGCTGCTCTGCGGTCCAGCGATGAAACATCTATTAGTTCCTATTCATACAGCCGCTAGGTGGCGCGCTGCAGCCTGGCTTCTCGGTGTTTTGAATCGCATCTCCGGTGCACATTCTTTGAACCTTTACCTCGATGGCAAATAAAGCTGATGTGTGCGACAGCACCCCCCCCCCCCCCTCGACCCCCCCATGCAGCAGGCCTGTGCACATGTGTATAATTAGCGTCCATTTGTTGGCTCTTTTCACATGTCTGCGGTCCTCTCTCTTCCCCCGAACCATAAAACACGCGCATCACGGGGCAAACGATCACAACTGCGGACCTGCAGAAGAAACACGAGGGTGCAATGCGCGGGTGTTATCGTGTGGCATCAGTTTGACGGCCAATGCAAACGCTTCCAGAGACATTTAAAGAGGCGCCTCCTCTGCGCTGCGTGCTAAAGCCGACCAGCACGTAGCGATGTGACAGCAGCTGCACTCGGGGACCGCGAGGCCGACCGGGACGGCGACAAGTAACCTAACCAAAAAAAACCCAAACAATTCAAAGCATCACTTACATCAAGCGTGGCAGCCCCGAAGTGTTTCCATCATATGAGCGCGATCGGAATGAGACCACCTCATGTCTGGAGTGGGTCGAGTAGCGCGACCCGCTGCGTTGGTTTGATCCAGATGTGTAACACCTTCCCTGCCTGCTCGTTTGTTCATGTATTTCAAAAAAAAAAAAAAAAAAAGGAGGGGAGGGGCGGTGGGAGGTGGGGGGCAACAAATATTTAGCCTGAATAGAAGATGCACAGCTCTGTTGGACTGAAGATAAGTAAGATGGCAGAATGAAATGTCATCTGGAGTGCTTGGCTAACTCAGCTGGCGTCACGTCACTCTGAGCTGCGATGCGCGTGTGAGGAGACGCTGACGGGGAGGTGGGCTCTATTGTCTCCGCTGTGGATGACATCATCCCAGACCAATGGCGAAACACACGAGATGGAGGGCTCGGGGGCGAGCACGCAGCATTTGCGGACTGGTGGAGGAGCAAGAGGGGGGATGTTGAACCAACAACACATCTTCAAGGAGGAGAGAGAGCAACTCAGGGCACAGCTGGTGGTCCAGTGAAAATGTAAGGTCCTTCTTGAGCATTTTTATACAATTTTTTTCTCTGGGAAGCAGCATCTTGTGCTTTATATTCCACTACATTTACAATTTAAATTACTACAATTTAACTCAGCATTTTAAGTGAACGCAGTGAAGTGCTGCTGTGTAGAAAATAAACCAGATATGCACTATAGTGTGACATGTCTAATATGTTGCAGTGTTGATATTACTTATTACTTAAAACTCTTCCGTTCACTATTGAAACGCTCTCACACACACAAATGTTGTATATGTATTGTTTAACACTAATACATTTGCAACAGATATCAAAAGTTTAGATACAAATGCAAGTGTTTGTATAAATGTTTAAATGTGTATACATTTTTGTATGTATATGCGCTTACATGACGATATGCAAGCGCATAATGATCTGCTTATTTGGTAATATGAATTATTACTTACTGTTAATAGGAGTGTGCATTTCAACCTTTGAATGTGTCATAATGATCTGCTTATTTGCTAATATAAATTATTACTTACTGTTAATAGGAGTGTGCATTTCAACCTTTGAATGTGTCATAATGATCTGCTTATTTGCTAATATGAATTATTACTTACAGTTAATAGGAGTGTGCATTTCAACCTTTGAATGTGTCACAATTAAACATACAGATACAGAAAAATACCTATGATTACAAAAAGTATCCAGAAAACATGTAATCTTATTTCATAACCCATTCTCAGTCACTGAATGAAACATTCCCTCAAGAACTTATGTCCTGGTTCATTATTCATTAGTCATTTCAGAGCAGCAGTAATGGACGGACAGTGATAAATTTCAATATGCCTTTCTAACCTCTTCATATCTGTTCAGGAAGTTAGCTCACGATCTCTGTCACTCGTTTGCTCGCAGGAATTTGTTTAAGCTTATTTAATTAGTAAAAGGGACCTCATATTAAGGATGTCCAAGTGATCTGAGCTAAAACTAACGAGATTCTGTATATGAAGGAAAAAGTAAATAAAAAGAGGATTCTAACTTGTGCAAAACCGCAATCTTTTACTAACCATAAATATGTATTTGCTGAACTGTCATATACAGTATGTATGGTAGCTGCCGTGAAGCAAGGTAATCAGAGCATATTCAATGAAAACAGCTGCCTACTACTGCTGGAAACAAAACTGATTAGAATGGTAAAGCTAGAAAATGAAGTGTTCAAAAGGGAAAAGTCTCCACCTTTCACAGTAAATATAGTACATTTATTCATACATCCAACTTTTCTCTCCTTTAAATTATTTTCTGTAGTTTGTTGCCACTGCTGAGCATCAGGCTGTTTCTCTACTCAGACAGCAATCTAATGGGTTTTGTAATAACTCACTTTAATAAAAGAGTTAATAGACTGATTCATTCTAAATCAAAAGGCGAGTTTTTTTTAACTACATGTTTTGGTATTTGATAAAGACCCAGTCTTGATGTAATCATTGAAGGATGTGAAAGTAAGACATCACAGAGTTTTATGGCATCATGAATGAGCAATATTTATTTCCACTTTTTGAACATTAAACATGCATATCAATAAAACTAAATTGATCATATAAATACTTACACCGTAATACTGTTACAATAAATATGGCTTTAAATATTCAAGGTTAAATAAAAAACAAACTTCAATATCAACCGCTGTAATACACACTCAGGAAAAACTCCGACAAGTCTTTGCTTTTATCACATGTTTTGATCCCAGATGATGGAACAACAATTATTATGAACAATTATTAGGTGCTAATTACTTTCATTACGACACTCATCTGAAAATTGACCCTTTGCTGAGCTGTGCTTTTTCTAAATTGATGTTGAAAAATAAAAACTGATATCATCTAATTTTGTTGTCATCCACACAATTTCGGCAAACATGACACAATAGTGCCATAACTTTTGCCAATTTGTGCTGGGGAGCACAAGTGCACACACACGCACACAAACACACGCGCACAAACGCACACGCTCAAACACACACGCACCGTACACAAAAAATTGTAAATGTGCTCAAAGAATATATACTTCATAAACAATTTTAAGACTTATTTTGTAAAAAAAAGCCTTTTTAACCCTGGCGATGTCCAACATGATACTGAAACTCTTTGTGCGAGAGCGGACCAGGCAGTTAAGAGATAATGATACAGCTGAGATTCACGTGTACACAAAAACATCAACACGTTAACAGCCATATCAAAATGTTACATACAGTACTTTAAAATAGATTACCGAGAAACTCTTAATCTGATCACGTGCAAAAGCAAACACGCCTACTCTTTCACAAAACTCCCACGCACAATGTTCATCTTTTACGCAATATACAATGAATAGTTAATGTATAGATTGAGTAATAAATATCAACACACACTTATGTAATTTGAGCCTCGGTGATGGCTTTCATTTTAAGTAAATTTCAAGAATAACATCCTCCCATGCACTCTTTTTAACTTTCCATTTAATAACACCATTAGAAATATACTGCTCCAATCGTTTAATCTTTAACACTTAAAATTAGCAATGATTGGATAAATGTAAAAAGTAGTTAATAGTTAAAAAAAAGGAAGGAAAGTTGAGAAGAGGCTGATTTTCAGTGGGTGGTAGCAAAGTTCCAAAGTCCAAAGATTCAAAGTCAATCAAATATTGTGCGGTATCAATGATGAATATGATAGAAATAGTTATAAACCGTTGTGAAAGTAGACAAAAACCGAGAGAAAACACGTTCAGCAGACTTTAAAAACAAGGAGAGGAGCCGTGTCTGTGCGTTTCCCTCTGTTTCAGAAGACAGGCAAATGGCAGTAAGCCTCCAGGGAGGACAACAGGATGTAGATGAACCACAGGGAGAGGAACATGAAGAAGGTGAGGAGCTTGGGTGTCCGTGGGCCCCCAAGCTCTCCGCCTGAAACGCTGGGACGGCGGCGGTAGAGCAGCACCATCACACACACCAGCGCCATGATGGTGAAGACGGTGACGGAAAAGGCCAGGGAGCCCGGGTCCACCTTGAACACCTCTCCTTTGCTCTTCCAGTAGACGGCAGCGATGGTCCACGCCACCCCGATGCCCAAGAACACATTCACCGCATTGCTGCCCGTCACGTTGCCGATGGAGGCGTCGGCGTACTGGTCCTGTATGGCAGCGACTTTACTTGCAAATGTATCTGTAAAAGAAAGAGATATAATTTGAGCATTGATAAGAACAATAAGAAAAACAGGTGATTTATTTTGAAATGAACTCCTCCCTATGGAGTTCTTTTCAGGCACAGCCAGCAGGGAAGACTCAGGACTAACTGGGGAGATTATATCTCCACCCTGGACTTGGCACGCCTTGGGAAGCCCCAGTCAGACCTGGTAAATGGGGAAAGGGAAGTTTAGGGTCCCCCGCTGGAGCCGTTGCTCCCCTGCGACCCGATAAGTGGTTAAAGATGAGATACATGAATAAATAGCTCCATATTAGAGAACCCTCATCTACCAGGGACTTTAGAGCAAATATTACAGGTATTATGAAATTAAACAACTCAGTTGACACAAAGTGAGTGAGATCATTTCAACTAACCAAGAGGTGTGGGGCATAAAACTTTGGTACAACTATATAATAAGACACATTAAGATGATTGTTACTAAGTGCAGAAGTAAAAATGAATTGTATGCCTTTATTAGATAGTGGTAGCTTTGTAGAAACAGGGATTCCCTGGATAACTAATCTGCAAACTTTATGGAAGGTTTATGGGGCTCACTGACCTGTCAACGTCTAATTTAAATATTCTGATTTAGGCCTCCCTGCGGTAGTGCGATGGGGATAAAATGAGGTAGCACGGAGAGACTGACATGCAGAACCGGCTCTGTCTTTGTTCACAACTTGTAATGTTCCAGACAAGCGCTCAGGAGAGAATTAGTCTGACAGCACAGGCCGAGGCAGAGGTTATACAAGTCGTCTACTGCAAGCCCGAGAGGAAACCCAGGACGAGGCTACGATACAGCTGTTAGAAACCACAGCGCCCACCTGGAACGGAGGTGCCGAGGGCCACGAACACCACCGCGGTGACTGAGTCTTTGAGGCCGACGGTGCAGCCGAAGTGAGAGGCCAAGTCCCCGGTCACAGCCGTCAGAGCGCCGATGAGGGAAATGGACACGATGAAACAGGCCCAGCCGTTCCAGTACTCAGTCGGTGGGACAAAAGCAAACAGGACTTTCCAGAAAACGGTCAGGAAGTGCATAATGTAGTCGAAGCAGGACGGCAAACGTTCTTCCCCGCTCTCTTCCTCGTCATCGTCACCTTGCAGAGACAAATAGATGAGTTAAGGCCCGAATAACGAATGAGATCATCATTGTTCATGAATTACTAATAAATCATAAAACAATTACAGCTTAATTCGTCAATCAATCTTTGACAATTACAGTCCAATAGAACAATATATATAATACAAATATAGCTATGGTTTCTGTGAGTGCATACTATCTCTCTCTTCTATGCCTCCTGCCTATAGATGCCTTTGTTATGTTACTCTCTGCATGAAAATATGTGTGACCTCAACAATAGAGAGAAAGAATGAAACCCGAGAGAATCACACATCTCTGGTTTCTACGATATGCTTTTAGCCCAAATGCTTTGTGCACTGCTGCAGACCTAAAAGGTTCACAAAGCCAAATTAGCCATTAATCATCCAGGCGGTGCTGGTCAGTTTAGAATTTATGTTGAGCCACACAAGGAATTTTCCCTGTCATACATTTTTAATAAAATGTCTGGGTTAAAAGAGAGTAGCATATAAGTACAGGATTGCT